GAAGACAAATCTTACTCAGCTACGAGTGATCGCCAAAGAAGAGACATTTAAGTAGGATTTGTCTCAGCATCTGCATTCTGTGATGATAGTGAATTCCTCTTGAGCTTACCTGTGTGTTTTTTTCCCTGCTAGCAAACAGTCAGCTAGCAACAGCTCCTGATTGGCCAAAGTTCCAAGGGAGGCAGGTGGAGTGGAGTGAGAGATGGTGTGAGAGATTCATGGGGTCTGGGAGTGAGATTCTGTCAGGAAAGTTTGTTCTGAAGGGGTAGAGCTGAGGAGAGCTGAGAACTCACAGTATATGCTCTAAGGTTCTGAACTGCAGAACACTGTTAAAAATAGAAAAGACACAGTCCCACATGATGTTTACAGGAAAAATGGTCCTCAGAGGGAATACTCTGACAGGAAAGGGCAGTAGTGATTCTGAAGCAAAGGAGGATTTGGGGGTCTATAAGGAAACAGTCGGGATGTGGGTGGCGCTGTGGGTTAAACCACAGAGCCTAGGACTTGCTGATCAGAAGGTCGGCAGTTCGAATCCCCACGATGGGGTGAGCTCCCGTTGCTCAGTCCCTGCTCCTGCCAACCTAGCAGTTTGAAAGCACGCCAAAGTACAAGTAGATCAATAGGTACCGCTCCGGCGGGAAGGTAAAAGGTGTTTCCGTGCGCTGCTCTGGTTTGCCAGAAGCGGCTTAGTCATGCTGGCCACATGACCCGGAAGTGGTACACTGGCTCCCTCGGCCAATAAAGCGAGATGAGTGCCGCAACCTCAGAGTCGGTCATGACTGGACCTAATGGTCAGGGGTCCCTTTACCTTTAAGGAAACAGTCCAATTAAAATCCTAAATTCCTGAAGTGTGTGTAGAGAAGTCTGATCTATGGAAGATGTGTAAAAGAAAGTAACCTTAAGCCTGCAGCATACAGCCTATAACTTGAAACCGTATTCATTTTAGTAAAAAGCAACAGCACTCTTTGTTACATTTCGGTGGAAGAAGAAGAACCAAAACTCCTTGTTTACATCTGTTATAATAAAGTTTGTTTGCAACCCACTGTTGCTCGTGAGTCATTCGCCATTTCGGGATTTCACCTGAGGGAAAGGGAAACAGAGGACTGGCCCAGTGGCCCCGGGAAGAGAAAGTGCCGTTGCGCCATTGCGTATGTCAGAGGAGCTCAAGAAAACCCCAGGAAAACATGAAGGTAATGTCTATTTCCAAGGATATGTTCAGTGTATATACGAAAGTCTCTAAAACAGTTATAATTGCTAGCCTTCTCTTTTTCACTGAGATGACATCATCCTAGAAGACCTGGAGGAAGAGCAGGGGCCTTGAAGTTGTCCATCATCTGTGAGCAGCAGGACAGCAGACTGAGAAGACAAACAGGTCACCTAGTCAAAGTCTTCCCTGCTAGGGTGAGAGGCGCTGTGTTTCCATTATGCTAATTCTTTCTAAATTTGCAGTCAAATGCATTCCTAGTGAATCTCCTCAAAGGTTTTGAGAAAGGAGGCAGATTGGTGAAGATTAATGACGCTAAGACTGTTTTGATGTATGGAAGTGATGTTATATGGAAAACGTCTGGATATGGCTACTGGATAAAAAAATAATATCCACGCAGGATTACAAACTGTTCTAACCAGCTTGCGGAGACTATCAGAGGTCACAAAGAGAAAGGAAAATATATGAAAATAACAAGAAGAGATGTGGAAAAATAATAAGAAAGGACTGGATAGTACTGTGAACATCATAAGGTTAGATTTGTGGACATTAAAACAGCAGTAAGAAGCAAGAAGTTGATTGGATCCCTTCGGAGCTTGAAATATGGGTACCCCCAACAAAAATTTAAAATTCGGCAGTGTAATTTGGAATTTATGTAATTTGGTTTGATTTGATGTGATTTGTCGGTTAATAAAAAAATATTCTTTAAAAAATAAAATAAAAATCTTTCTAAATTTGCATGTGTGCATTGAAACTAGCATATGAAAATCTGTCCCCCCATTTGGCCACCCTGATACCCTCTCTTCCAATAAAAAATTCAGAAGCAATCAGCCAGAGCCAAAGAATGGCAGTAGGGATGATAATTTAGGTGAACTGCTTTCTTCTCATGTGATACTTTATAGTGAAGGTTTGGGGTGAGGGGCCATGGAACTGCTTGGAAATTGCGGAAGGACTGTACCTCGGGGGTAGGCAGTCTGATTGACATACAGAAAGCCACAGGTGTGATTCCCAGCATCTCTGGATAAGACCAGAGGAAGCTGCCTTGTAGTTCTGGGATCAAATCAGAAACCGGGGTGTCTTCTGTAAATCTGGGACTGTCCCTGGAAAAGAGGGGTACTTGGAGGGTCTGGAATCTCTCCTAGCTCTGCTTAGAGATGCTGGGGTTTTATTTTTTATTTTTTTCAAGAAAATTATTAGTTTTCACAATATTATAAACAAACAAACAAACATAAATCATAGCCTTATTGAAAATTTCACTTATTAACTTTGTTAAGTGACTTCCTCGCTTCCCCTTGGTTGAATTTCATTGCATGTCCTTTTAACGGTTTTCCAAATCCCAATTCTTATGAAATTTAACTTAAACATTAACATCCTTAAATCTTCACCTTATGGAATTAAACATATTAATTCATCACTTAACATAAATAAAATCCTAAGCCAATTAAGTATCTGCAAGCTATTTTCATTTAATTTAACTTCACAAATTTAACTAGATAATCATTAAATTTATTCCACTCTTCCTGATACTCCTCCTCCTTCTGGTCGCAGACTCTTCCGGTTAGGTGGGCTAGCTCCGAAAAATCCATCATCTTCATCTGCCAATCTTCTATTGTTGGTAATTCTTGGGTTTTCCACTTTTTAGCTAACAAAATACAAAAATTGTGTGAGATGCTGGGGTTTTAGAACCTGGGATCTTTTGCATGCCAAACGGGTGAGCGGACTGTCCCCTGCCTGAAATGGTGGACAGCCACCGTCAGTCTCTGCAGAGCCAGGTGGGGCAAGGGCATGATTTAGTGTACGGCAGCTTCCTAAGTTTCTAACTCATTTTGTCCAGAGTGGCTGTTTCCACCAGCCGTCCTCCGTTGAGATAAGCTTTGTGTCTGGCACACGGCAGGCATGGTTTTCCCTTCCATTAGGGAATGAGAAATCTATGGAATGCATGAAAAGAGAAGCGGGAGGGAGGTCAGTGATACTGGAAGGTGATACTTTTCTCAGTTGAAGCAGGTCACACGCCTACGGAGGCTTGAATGGTGCTTGCTGGCTCTTTCTCCATCAGTACCTTTTTGTTCCTTGCCTGGGATTTGCTGGGTAGTTACATGCCTCCTCGCCTGGCTCCATGCAGAGCCCATGGGAATTTGGACAGGGTGGTACAGACATCGCCGACAGAGACCATGATCGCTGACTACCCCTTTCAGGGAGGTCTTATGACTAACACCCCACTTCTTGATATATTAAAGAAGCGGGTAGACCCAACACACGACACCGGTCTCAGCTGAAACAAAGAGAAAGGCATTGCACTGCAATCCGAAGGAAACTGCGGTGAGTAAGTCTTCGGAGCTTATTTGCTCAAAAAGGGCCGCGGTGGTAGACGTCTGTGTGTAAAATTCTGGAACGAAACAAGACATCGTGTTTCTGAACACAGAGAACCACTGAGGCTGTTTAAATCTAGCTGGTGAGTCTGTTTTGTTCATTTGCCTAGGAAGATTTAAAAGTAATATGCATTAGAAGTCCTTGTTCAGTCTATAGCTGAAAAATAGCTACCTTTGCATTTTCCCTGTTCCATAACTTTGTCTAGCTTAAGGACTTTGAATAGACTTTTATCATGCACATACCAAAGTTCAGTAATAGCAAACATTTTTCCTGTTTTGTATCTCTTGTTTTCTAGGATCAATATAGCAAAAACAACTCTCTCTCTCTCTCTCTCTCTCTCACACACACACACACACACACACAACTTGCTTTGTACCATTTTTTTAAAAAAATCAAAGTTAATATCTTGCCACTGTGTGAAACTGACTGACTAGACATTCTGGCCAACGTTCCTTATACCTGAGACATGGAATGGAGCAAGAACCTTTTTGCCATTACAGATGTTACATTATATGTCCAGCATGGCATTTAATAATCAGTAGCCTGGTACTCACAGGTGACCAGAAATTCCATGCAGGCGAATGAGTGGACTGATGGAGAAGGATGGACCACCTGCCCCTTCTCAGGTGGGCTGCAAGAGGAAGGATGCTCCCTCCTTTCCTTTTTAAAAAAAATATATTCAATTTTTATTAGTTCTCATACATCTATCATACATTATTCAACTTAACCAAACAATCGTTTTGTAAATTCCCCTCTCCCCCTCTTCTTCCCTCCATATCCGTTTCTGGTTTGTTAAACCACTTGTTGCATTCTGCTGCTTATATATAGTAGTACATTAACACATTGTTATCTTTCTTGTTCTCTCTAATTACATTATATATGTTTATTTTAAACACTGCCAAAGAATCCATGCTTTTACATTGTTTCTGCAAATATGTTACAAAAGGTTCCCATTCTTTTCCAAAGTCTCTATTATCTTTTTCACGCAGTTTGTCTGTCAATTTTACTAATTCTGCATATTCCATCAACTTTTCAAGCCATTGTTCTTTGGATGGTATTTCTCCCGTCTTCCAGTTTTGTGCCATTAAAATTCTTGCTGCTGTTGTCGCATACATAAATAGTATCCTCAATTCTTTCTTCACATCTTAAACCTAAAATACCCAATGGAAAAGCTTCTGGTTTCTTTACAAATGTTATTTTAAACGATGCTCCCTCCTTTACAACCGGTATAGAAACACAACTCTCCACCTTTCCACTGCCAGCCCCTGACAGGCTAGTAAGACTTTTTTGCAGGCTAGTAACTTTAGTGGGATATTCACAACGCTATGTTAGTATTTGGTTCGATAGTTGTTTCTGTTGGTGACTGACTATCCCCATCGCTGGTTGCTATGCAGACTTGAGACCCTCTTTCGGCAGATCTGCCTTCATGTTGCCCTTTTCCATCACTACTCTCCTTCTGTCGCTTGGTTCCTCGAACGTTGGAGGCTGCGAGCACAACCATGAACCACAGAACCTGAACACGGAATTTGCCCTCGCTCTCTACCAACGCTGGGCAGAGCGCAACCACGGAACCAACCTCGCCATCTCCCCAGTGAGCGTGGCTCTTTCTTTGGGGCTACTGCAGTTTGGGGCGCAAGGGAGGACACTGGCCCAACTGCAGCATGCTCTGGGATACAGCACTCATGGTAAGGCAACCTTCTGAGAAACAGCATTTTGGTGAGCAGTGCAGGCTGACGTGAGCTTCGCCTGACAGCTTGGACTGTCCTGGTAGGCAGAGCATATAAAAACAAAAGCAAGTCATCCAAGGGGACTTACTTCTGGGTTAACCCCCTTGCATGCCATGCTCTTCACTTCAATGGGCTTTACATGCGCATCCTACACCTTTCAAGTACATTCTTTCCCCCAAAGAGTTCTGGGCACTGAAGTTTACTCCTCACAGAGTTGCCTGTCCCAGCAACAATGAATGAATTGCAGTGCCCAGAATTCTTTCAGGAAAGAATGTGCCTCGGGGGTTGGACTAGATGGCCCTTAAAGGTAAAGGGACCCCTGACCATTAGGTCCAGTCGCGAACGACTCTGGGGTTGCGGTGCTCATCTCACTTTACTGGCCGAGGGAGCCGGTGTACAGCTTCCGGGTCATGCGGCCAGCAGGACTAAGCCGCTTCTGGCGAACCAGAGCAGCACACGGAAATTACCGTTTACTTTCCTGCCAGAGCGGTACCTATTTATCTACTTGCACTTTGACGTGCTTTCAAACTGCTAGGTGGGCAGGAGCAGGGACCGAGCAACGGGCGCTTACCCCGTCGCGGGGATTCAAACCACCAACCTTCTGATCGGCAAGTCCTAGACTCTGTGGTTTAACCCACAGCGCCACCCGCATCCCATAGATGGCCCTTAGGTCCCTTCTGTCTCTACAGTTCTATGATTCTGTGGTGTGTGCTGAAAGCTATCCACACTTTGGTTCTGTTGAAATCAGTTAGTCACAGCTATCTAAGTCCCATTGATTTATGAAAGTGTGGCTAATTTACAGCACAATCCTATGCATGTCTACTCAGAAGTAAGCCCTGTTGACTTCAGCAGGGGTTACTCCCAAATAAGTGGGTACAGGGTTGTGGATTCGTATCAGCAGGGGAGGGGGCTTTTGATTTAACTGTCTCACCTGAAATGGACAATTTATTGGGAAAGTGACTTAACAGTATAAACTTAATGATGTCTACTCAGAACTAAGTCCTAGTTTATTCCATGGGGCTTGCTCCCAAGTAAATGGACAAAGAAGTAATTACATGGCAAGAATGTAAAACGAAAAGAATAATCTCAGAATAATTATTACCACTAATATTGTGGTAGCATCCAGCACAATCCTGTATATGTCTACTCAGAGGCAAGTCCTGTTGAATGCAGTGGCTCTTGCTCCCAGGTAAGTGCAGTTTGGATTTCACCCTTAGTAAATCAGTTTTCAGCCAGTGGTCATTCATTCTATCCCAGCCTCATATTGGGGTTTCCCCCCTTCTATTTTAGCCTTATGGTTATAAACTGGCCATCATAAATATGGATTGTATGACTCTACAAAAATGCATGAATATGCAATAGTAACTAAGCTTATAAGGCACAGTAAACAAATATGAACTAATCATAGCCGGGAGAGCAGGGGGGTAGCTAAATCAAGTAAATAAACTAAAATACTTAACTAACTGACCAGTCACGCCACTGATAGCTCAGTTCTGCCCCCTCCAACATAAATCCTGCCTCCCTAACATAAATCCTGGCTATGCCCATGAGCAGGAGGTCTGAAGGATGCAATAGATAGTTAGGAGCAGTGCTTTTTTCTGGGGGGACGCATACCCCTAAACATTTTGTGAATCTTTGTACTTTTGTCCATTTACTGTATTTATTTTCCCCAGTTCGAACTATAAAATGGTGATTTTCTTGAGTCAAAATGAGAGTACCCCTAAACATTCTTTTAGAAAGAAGGCCCTGGTTAGGAGGGACACTGCCTCATTCCTTGAAATGGTCTTCTAAAGATCACGGGCTGACAGTTAAGGGCATTTTTCATCCCACTGTTTGTCCGTTGTTTAAGAGATTGATAACCCCAATAAATTACTTTGTTCTTAGATCAGGACGTACAAGACTTCCTGCACACTGTGTACAGAGAAGTGACCAACTCAAGCCAAACCCCTGTGGTGGCACAGCTGGCGTGTGCCCTCTTTGTTCAAGCCGGAACGCATCTTTTGCCGCCATTTGTTCAGCATGCTGCACTCTGGGCAAACAACACCGTACACCAGGCTAACTTCAGCGAGCCTAACAGGACCGCGGCTCAGATAAATGAATGGTTTGCCACAAGCACTGGAGGTAAAGTGACAATGCTCCCCTCGCCCACAGTTGTGCCATGCAGTTTTTAAATGCAGAACTTTAGCACCAGGACTTTGAGATGTCAGCTAAGCAGACTGCAGGAGACCTTCGGTCTGGGACCCAGGTTGATAAGAAGCACATTGGGGGTGGGGAGAGAACAGCTGCTATCATGGTAGGAATATGAGAAGCTGGCTTGTACCGAATCAGACCACTGGTCCATCTCGCCTCATTACTGTCATCACTGGTAGGCAGCACTTTTGCATGGTTTTAGGCAGGATCCTCTCCCACCTGTATGTCCCCAGCTCTATTTGAATAGACTAAAACCAAACAGAAAATCACATCTATTTCTGAGTATCCTTTTCAAATACGGTGGTACCTCGGGTTACATACGCTCCAGGTTACATACACTTCAGGTTACAGACTCTGCTAACCCAGAAATAGTGCTTCAGGTTAAGAACTTTGCTTCAGGATGAGAACAGAAATTGGGCTCCTGTGGCGCAGCAGCAGCTGGAGGCCCCATTAGCTAAAGTGGTGCTTCAGGTTAAGAACAGTTTCAGGTTAAGTACAGACCTCCGGAATGAATTAAGTACTTAACCCGAGGTACCACTGTACAAGTGATCAATGTGACCTTTGCTACAGGATTTCCCTCAATGACTGTTCTCTTTTCCTTTGCAGATGGAGAAACAAGTTACCTATCCTTGGAAACTCTTGATTCTCCGCTTAACCAGATAGCTGTGGTGAGCGTGATGTCCTTCAAAAGCACTTGGCAAAGGAAATTCACCTTCACAGATACTCAGACCTTGTCCTTTACAACTACAGAGGGCCTCACCCTGAAAGTGCCTACTATGTATCTCAGCGCAGAAGTCAACTATGGTAATTATATTGGGGAGGGATACAAACCACACAGACTGTCCACACGCAGTTTCTCGGCAATGCATACAGAGTATCATAGAATCGTAGAATTGTAGCGTTGGAAGGGACCCTAAGGGTCATCTAGTCCAACCCCCTGCAATGCAGGAATCTCGGCTAAAGCATCCATGACAGATGGCCCTCCAGCCTCTGCTTAAAAACCTCCAAGGAAGGAGAAAACAATGGTGAAAGCTGTGCTCCTCTGTCAGTTTCCTCTGCAGCAGCAGAGGCGTGTGTTTTTGCTTATTGAGATCTAATGGATCCAGAGCCTTAAAAATCAGGCCTATTTGACAGCCAAAAGCTTTTATACTGACAGCCAAGGAGAGGTGCAAATGGATATGTTGCATAGCTATTATCTTGCATGTGTCATTGTGAATATACTGTATTTTTTGCTCTATAAGACTCACTTTTTCCCTCCTAAAAAGTAAGGGGAAATGTGCGTGCGTCTTATGGAGCGAATGCAGGCTGCGCAGCTATCACAGAAGCCAGAACAGCAAGAGGGATTGCTGCTTTCACTGCGCAGTGATCCCTCTTGCTGTTCTGGCTTCAGAGATTCAGAATATTTTTTTTCTTGTTTTCCTCCTCCAAAAACTAGGTGCGTCTTGTGGTCTGGTGCATCTTATAGAGCGAAAAATACGGTGTATGTTGCTGCTTGATTGCAAACTTTGTAAGTTTGGTTTAACGGAGAGAGACAGAGAAAAGCACGCTCCACGTATTTCCCCCTCCTTGGTCTGCCTTGCAGTTGCAGCACTGAGCTTTTAGGGAAATAACTAAGCCTCACTTACTCTGAGGAATGCGGGTGGCACTGTGGTCTAAACCACAGAGCATAGGGCTTGCTGATCAGAAGGTTGGTGCGACGGGGTGAGCTCCCATTGCTCGGTCCCAGCTCCTGCCAACCTAGCAGTTCGAAAGCATGTCAAGTGAAAAGTAGATAAATAATGTACTGCTCCAGCGGGAAGGTAAATGGCGTTTCCGTGCGCTGCTCTGGTTCACCAGAAGCGGCTTAGTCATGCTGGCCACATGACCCAGAAGCTGTCTGCCTCCCTCAGCCAGTAATGGTCCGGGGTCCCTTTACCTTTACACTTACTCTGGGAGCAACCACTTCTACCTTTCGGGAAAGAGCTGTCATTCTCAGAGTAAACAAGAGCTGCCTGTTTCTCAAAAAACCTGCTATGCTTGCCACTCCACTGTATGAGTTGTGCATCAGCTTCACCCTGAATTGGCTTCATGACCCGTAGTGATGTCCTGAAACTCAGAATCCCATTACATTGCATTGCCAGCAGACCTTTGAAAAAGCCAAAAGGGCAGAGAAGCAGCTACAAAAGCAGAATGCAGGCACGGAAATGCCAATGTTACATTATTTTTGTTGCTGTCATTACTACAAAAGTGCTTTCCGATTAATCTTAACCGCTGAGTCACTTGAATAGTCCTAAACAAACATTTCCCCCCCAAAACACAGGTGAATTCCTACTGGACTCTCTGGAACGGGTCAGTGTGGTTCAACTGCCCTACCTGGGGGAGGCAGTCAGTATGTTTGTGGTGCTTCCATCTGACAGGAGAACATCTCTAGCTGAGATCGAGAGATACCTCTCAGCCCGAAACTTCCCGTTGTGGTCCAACAGCCTGAGAAGAACAAAGATGGACCTATTTCTCCCCAGGTAAAGGTTAGATGTACACACATTTGCCTGGCCTTTTTGGAATTTGATCTTTGGTTGTGGAGAGAGGAGGTGTGGGTATGCGTGAACACAACTGTAGGGATTGACAACATTATTATGAACAGGAAATGATGAGTAAAGTTGGGGTGGCTGGAATTGTAAAAAAACAGAGAAGAAAACTAGCTTTTATGAGAGTCAGTTGGGGTGAGAGGAGAGGGGGGACGAGTAGAAGTGTAATGCACATAAACCAGAATCTCTAAGGGTTTCCTAAGTGCTCCTTTAGTTTTAAACCATTTAGCAGACTTACAAGATGGGTTTTAGATTACGAACAGTGAAATATTCTCGGAGTGTGGATTTAATGCTCTTTATTCAGCTCATAGTAGTGAGGAATGAATGTTCCCCCCAAATATCTGCTTTATATACATTATTTACACAATGGGCTGCACATGATTGGCTAATTCCGGGATTCTCCTGTAGGCCAATTAGGTTGTGGATTCACTTCCACCTGGAGCTGTATTGGGTGTCTCCTGCGGACCAATCATACTGCTGCATTGTTCTAGGACCAATCAGACTGCTGCATTCTGAATCCTATTGTTCTAGGACCAATCAGACTGCTGCATTTTGGATCCTATTCAACTCAGTACATAACAAACAGGTTTAGAAAACTGGCAGATGAAATGCTTTTGCATTCGCAGAGTTGAGACAAACAGCAATAAATAAGCTGTGCAGACGAAATGTCATGCACCCGTATTTTACCTCAGCAACATTGGTAGTAGTCATAATGCATGTAATTTCCACATTATAGAAGCCAACTCAGAATACAAATGATCCATAGGAGCCTTGTCAGAAAGTAACTGGGAAGTAATTGGAATGCTTCATGCCTGCATCCTCTTGCATACATGATTACATCCCATTCTGGATGGCACTTTGCTAGCACATCTTATGGTTCCATCATAATATTGCATTGCTTTGTTTTTCTGTCATCGTTTTGTTTCACTGAATAAAGAAATATTGTATTTCTCAACTGATGGCTATGATAAACTGCTGGGGTGAAATTGGTCTTTTAAGTAAATACATACAAACTAAAGGAGTACAGCGTCAAAATCTGTGAGTGAGGATGGAAAAGAGATGCAGAGACCACCAGTGTGGCTTAGTGTTGTGGGAGTGCTTCTGATTTTGTCCCTGGGTGCAATTCTCCTTCTGATTTTGAGTCCTCATGCCTTGGAGAACAGGAGTCTCAACCCAGGGCCACGTAAATTGTCATGGCTTTATTCCTGTAAACAGGTGGGTTATAATAAGGAGCAAAACAAAGATGGGGGCAGCTTGCAAGTAGCATGTCTAAATGTCCACCCATCGAAATTTCAGGTTCAGAATTGAAAACCACTTGGACCTGAAAATGGTTTTGCCTACATTAGGAATTACAGACATGTTTGATCCAACTATGGCCAATTTTAAAGGGATTTCAGGTAAGTCTCACACGCCTTGTTAGTGTGTTGGATCCCCTTGTCCATTTTGTGGCAGTGATTCAGGGCAACAGGTCTTTCCAACTGGCAAAGTCAAAGTCAAGGGTCCACATGGTTGGGCATCTTCTGAGGACCAACATCCCAGCAGAGGGCCTCCTAACCAAAGCCCTGTGGACCTCTTTTCCAGCTTGCTCCCTTTCACTCTAGTTCAGACAACCAGGGTAAACACCACTACCTGCTTGTTTCCTCTTGGCTTGGCCAGCCAGCGGAGGAACCCTTGCTGAATCAGCCCCAAAGCCCATCTCACTCATCATTCTGTTCCCACTGTGGCCTCCCAGATGCCCACTGGGGAACCCACAACCAGTCCTCTCCCTCTCAATATCCCCAGCAATTCAGAAGCATTTTGTTATTCCACCTGGAGGTAATAAAACCATGGAGATTATCTGCAGGAGGGCCTTTGGTCGTTCCCTGAGTTGGCGATGTTCACTTAACAACAAGAAGAAACCAAGCCTTTAGTGCCATTGGCCCAATCCTGTGGAACACGCTGCCAGTAGAGATGCAGAGGGCTCTTTCTGTGCCAGTGTTTAAACGCGTGCTGAAAACCTTTCTGCTCTACTGATGTCTGTTTTTAATTTCTTTTCGCTTTTAACTTTTCATGACTTTATCATTGGGCTTCATGTTTTTATATTGCTGTAAACCACTGTGATATGTCTTTCTGAAACAGCAGTACATCAGTGGATCTATTTCCCATCAATTTGTCTAGTCCCTTTTAAAGCCATTCAGATTTTAAAGCCATTCAGTCCCTTTTAAAGCATTCAGAGGCCACCATTACATCCTGCAAATAAGGTCCATCTTTTCCTGTGTTCTGACTCTTGCACCATTCAGCTGTACTAGACAAATAAGATTTTCAGTAAATATGAAAGTAAGGTGTGGGTTGGGGCGTGGGTGGAGCTGTGGGTTAAACCACAGAGCCTAGGGCTTGCTGATCAGAAGGTCAGCGGTTCGAATCCCCGCGACAGGGTGAGCTCCCGTTGCTCAGTCCCAGCTCCTGCCAACCTAGCAGTTCGAAAGCACCTCAAAGTGCAAGTAGATAAATAGGTACCACTCCGGCAGGAAGGTAAATGGCATTTCCGTGCGCTGCTCTGGTTCGCCAGAAGCGGCTTAGTCCTGCTGGCCACATGACCCGGAAGCTGTAAGCCAGCTCCCTCGGCCAATAAAGCGAGACGAGTGCCGCAACCCTAAAGTCGGTCACGACTGGACCAAGTGGTCAGGGGTCCCTTTACCTTTACTTTTAAGGTTGTATTGGCTTTGCGTTGACAACTGGAATGACTAGTAATGGTTTTCTTTGCTAGAACAAGAGCATCTTTATATCTCAGAAGCTACCCACAGAGCAAGGATTGAAGTGACGGAAGATGGAACAAAGGCCTCAGGCACTACAGGTAAACCAGGTGGAGATGGTTCTTGCATTAGCCTTGATAACCAGCATAGGCTGATTATTTACATTTATTCAATTCCTAAACCATTGCCCTTCAGTCCCACAGAACTAATTCCTCCAGTTTGCCAGTAGAAGGTTCTGGGATGTTATGTCCATAATGCTTGCAAGCAATATAGGGAGGAACTTACCCTATTCAAACTGCAGTCCAAATTCCACATCAGATGATTAGTGGGTTCAGCATGAGTTCATTGCCAAAGAGTTATTTCTCAAGCAGAATAGTGCAAAGGTGGGATGGGCTTAGGGCAACTGCACAAAAGTGCCTAGCTTGACAAAAAAGCCACCCTGTTACCTATGCTGATATTGGCAAACCATTTCTGTTGTAGTCCATTTCACAAGGGAGAAAGCTCTTCTCAAGCCTCCCTCCCTTCAGAGGATGAAATTGATTACATCAGAAAGCATAGCTACATAATTAAATTTAATCATTACAGACAACCAGTGATATGAGGAATAAAGCTCCACATGGAGTTAGTTGGAAGTCACTTTTTTATTTTTCATTTTATTTTTTCCGATTGTAGTTTATGTTATGTTTATATCCTTGTAATTTTGTTTTTTTTCCTTCTGTTTTTGTATTATATGTTCGTTTTATTCAGTGCTTGTTTGTATGATGTATAAGCATAAATTTAAATTTAAAAATAAAATAAAATAAAGCATGCCTCCGTGCCAACTTACCTTGGGAAAGAACAGGCAAGGGCCAATGGATCTACATAAGTGCAAGGGCCCAGCCAGTAGCGTATCCAACTTGTGAATATTCCCAGAGTTTGAGAACATGGGCTGCAAATATGGGAACCAGCCCAGGAAGTGGCTTGGTGTTCATCGGCCATGACACCCACGTTCCTGCAGTTCACCTGAACAATTCAGGGGTGGTGGCACCAACCACGACTGATCAGGACAGACTTTTATTTCAACGCTAGCGTGGTAATTTTGACTTCTTGTGAGACTTCTGGCACTCCCTACTTGTTTGTTTTTTAACCACACAGCTATGGTGTTGCTAAAACGATCCCGGGCTCCTGTCTTCAAAGCCGATAGACCTTTTAATTTTCTCCTTAGGCAAGGCAGAACAGGTAAATATCAATTAAATTTATCCGTAGAAGTTATGATGATGATGATAGCAAAATGCTATTGCTTTCTTTAACACACTATATAGCTTGGAAGTCCATAAAAGTTCACAAAACCAAAGAAAATGAGCATTGGGGATTGCTTTCTTGAAAGCATCACCACACCAAAGACTGGGTGTTAGTCTCCTAACATAGGTGTAGCCAGGGAGGATGATACTTTCAAGGATGCAATTTCAGCCACATTTATTCTGAGCCTTATGAAGAACTGCTCCCTTTCCCCCATACCCTTCCCAAATAAATTGATTGTATTTCCCTTTTCACAGCAGGTTAAGAGAATGCCCTATTCAAAACCATTTTCTTCCTTTTATTGCTGTTGTGGTTAATTAAATTTTTATACCCTTAATCCGTAAATCTCAGGACGGTTCCTTGGTTAGCTGTTCTTCCTTCTGTTAACCCAGTTATATAAAGTTATATAATTTTTTTTGCTAGAAGTGAGGGCTGCTGATGAACATCTTTCCCATTCCCAGTTTTCAAATGTGACTGACTTTCATTAATCACCTCCACATCCCCTCCCCACCCTGTTCTATAAAAATAATTAAATTTAAGTTGCATCAGTATGAGCATTTATAAAATGAAGTTGAAGAAACTAATAATAATTTCTTTTCTTTTTTTACAGGTTCAATTCTGTTTATAGGAAGACTTACAAATCCTACTGAGTGAACTTGTCCTATCCACGCTTCCATATATCTGCATTCCCATAAAATAAAAAAGCATTAATAGGACGTTTTAAGTGTTGTGACTATCAAGGGGAAGTTATGTGAAACTTATGGCTGTAAATAAAAAGAGATGCTTTTTGCCATTTCTGTGGTGGTTCTCTTCTGTTATAGCAGTTATAGACTTCTGGAAAATGCCTTAGGGCTCCTGCGTTCAAATCATCTTGTGGGTTTCCCTCAGGCATTTGGTGAAGCTCTTCAACAGCTTAGCCCAGTTGGTTAGAGCACGGTGCTGATAACATCGAGGTGGCAGCTTTGATACCCAGATGGGCCAGCCATATATTCCTGCATTGCAGGGGGTTGGACTAGATGGTCCTCAGGGTCTCTTCCAACTTTTCAGTTCTATGATTCTTATGTTCTCAAGCTCCCCTGGTGCCAGCCAGGTGTGGCCACTCAGTTTCCTCAAGTACTTGAGGAATGGCAGCCTGTCATAATAGGATGACAGCTGATGGTCAGCAACAAGCCTCTCCTATCTGCTGGCATTGCCAGGCGGCATATGCTTTGCCAGTTCAAAGCTGCCTGTTGCTTACAGGTACAGCCATATAATTCTAGTTTGCATAAGGGAATTTCTACCCCAATTATCTGCCAGGGAAATAAAGGATCTGAAAGGTGAACCTCGCTCAGAGCTGCCAAGGCTGCATCACTTGGGAAGATAATTCTCTTTAACATTTCATATCCATCTCTTAATAAACAACACAGCAGGGTGTCCTTTCAGCCAACTTCAGATGATAGAGGGGAGCCAAGTTTCCACCATTTATTTAGACACCTTTGATTTTCATAAATTTAAGCAGATGTGTTAAGTCTAAGAGCTCAATTCTCAATAGCCTTTCATAACTCAAAAAGCTGACGTGCTTTTTTCACGGCAGAAGTTTGGTGGGTCAAAAGTGTCAGAGCCACCTTCTGAATCTTCTTATAGGAGTCCTGAAAATGAATTGTGCCTCTGAGGGCACCACACGTTCAGCAGCGTTTGGGAGAACAAACAGGGAAGGGCAGGTCTCCTCCTTCCACCATAGAGATATATAAGAGAAAGAGAGCTCTATACAACTGCACAATTCCGGTTCTGATCAGAAACTTCCACATGCAGGTTAAGAAGTGGGAGGAAACATGGCGGGGAAATGTCACAAAATCACGGCAGGTTGACAGACGCTTTCTGCACTGCTCTACATTGCACTTTTGACTATGATGATATACCGAGGGACGTTCAGTGCAAGATCCTGCTTCCGCTCTGGTTGCTTGAATAGAAATAGACTTTTCTTTTTTTAAAATTAAAAAAAAAAATGATTTTCTATGTTTCCCTCCCTGCTGCCAGCCCAAGGGTTTTAATATGATTTTTGGGGACAGAAGGAGAAAAGAGACAGTCTAGGTGGGGATAATTTTAATTTTTTAGGACGGTAAGGGAGGTGTGTGAAAAGGGAACCGTGTGAATAGGCTGCATGAACACTGTACAGTGGTACCTCGGGTTACAGACGCTTCAGGTTACAGATGCTTCAGGTTACACACTCCACTAAGCCAGAAATAGTGCTTCAGGTTAAGAACTTTGCTTCAGGATAAGAACAGAAATCAGGCTCCGGCCTACAACCCTTTTCATTTACAGTGGTACCTCTGTTACTTAATTCGTTTCTGAGGTCCGTTCTTAACCTGAAACTGTTCTTAACCTGAAGCACCACTTTAGCTAATGGGGCCTCCCGCTGCTGCCAGAGCACAATTTCTGTTCTCATCCTGAAGAAAAGTTCTTAACCCGAGGTACCACTGTACTATAATTTCAGCAAAACTTTCCGGCGTGAAATTAAGCCCAGAAAGTAGAGTACAGAGAGGAACATAGCCACCTATCAACGGCATCTTCCAACTCGGGAATCTGTAAAATCATCCCAGTACAACATATTCTGGTTGTTACCTTTGGTGCGAACAGGAAATTGAAACAATAGGTGCACATAATTTTTTAAAATTTATTTTACCAATTTATAAATTGCTTGAAAGCCCGAGGCCCTCAAAGCTGTGTACAAAAATATAAAATACAAAAATAATATATTCAAAAAATAAATGAAACCATTCCTACAGATGAATTACTGGGTCACACATTAGGGAGAGTTTTCCTAAATAAAACATCTTCAAAAAGACACCTAAACATTATGATGCTGGGCACCTGTCTAATTCCAGCTGGGAATGGATTCCAGAGGGCTGGAGCTACACTACTAAAAGCCAATTTCTAGTACAAACTAAGCACACCTCTGGCTCAGGCAGCAGTCTCAGCAGCGCCCCATCTGAGAATATAAAGGAGCAAAATATGTGTTGTGGCTGCTTCTGGCTTCCCTCCTCCCTTAGATATTTATTTGGGTTTTATTTTAAAAATTGTTATCTTTTTCTCCCGGTTTTCCTGCAAAGAACTCAGAGTGACGATTTAGCTTCATAATCCCTGCCCCTTTGCCCCTCAGTGAAGGAAATCAGCCTGAGAGGCTGACTTCCCATAGTGAGGTCCACAGCTTTTAAAATCTGGGCCTTTCCACTATCCAAAACATCTCTCTAGTCACACACATTCCTTATGCGCTGCCAGAGCAGGGAGTTAGTGCAGAGCCTTAAAGAGAGGCTCTGAACCACCCTTTGGTTAAATGCACAGCCTTTCCCCCAATACCTGGCACGTGCTGCTTCCGCTGCTGGGCCCAGCAAACTGCCTTGGCCTGGGGCGGCGCATGCTGAGAGCGTAGCAAGACAACGCTGAGCTACCGCATCATCTCCGCAAGCTTTCACCTTCAAGGAAAGACACAAAAGCAAAACTTGACAACAGCCAAGAACTGTTAACGATTGATAAAGCTGCTCCAATGCCGCACAGTCTCTTACTCCTCTTCCTCCAGATCTTCAATATCTTTGATGATGAGCTCTTCTGAAAGGAAAAGAAGGCTGGCAGTTAGAGAGGCTTTCTTACACACACAGAGAGAGAGACTTTCTGAACACATACATAGAAATAGACATTACCTTCAGGTTGAATTTCTTTCTCTTTCGCCTGTGGAGGCGAGGAAGTACGTGGAGCCTACAGGGAAACCAAGAGCCACATGGGATATGATTATCTAAACCTCAAAATAGGCCTCAGACAGAGACCTTTCCTAAGAAACCTTAGGGACTGGAATCGACATCTATGCTAAAAGGCTTTTCCTTTGTAGTCTTTTCAAACAGGGGTCTGCAGGGGGAGGCAGAGGGCCAGCGGTGGGCGAGGGGGGGGGATTCTGGGACAGGGCAAACTTTGTTTTTTCTCGCCATCCTTAAAAGAGCTTGTCTCAGTCTGGAAAGCCTAAAAAGGAAAGAGAAAAATGTGAGAAATGGGGTTCACAGTTAGTACTCTCCTGATCTACGTCTCTAAACTGGTTTTTGCATTCATGCCTCTAAGCTCACTATCACCACACAATTCAGTTGCACATCAAGGCCCCGGCACCCCCCCCCAAGAATAATAAGAACCCATTGAGACAGAATTTTAGTTTAAAGATTAATGGGCAAAATTTAGGCCACAACTTTATTGATTACAGCAATGTGAGTGGTATTGGCTTAGGCCAGTGGTGTTCAAAGAGGTCCAGATTTGATGAAGTGAAGGGCGGCCGTGCGTGCCGACCAAAGGGCCAACTGAAGTTGTTGAGCTTTTTTTAGGGTTTAAGTTGTTACATTGGGAATAACTACTGGTATATCTGACTCCTGCCCGCCTTGCAGGAAGTCTGGAAGGGTAAACCACCAACAGAGGGAGCTCCATCAATGGTGACCAACTGAAACTCACCCCGGGGTTCCCGTTGGGTCCTGGCATGGCCCTAGCCTCCCAAGCAGACTTTGGACGAGATCTGGACCCGCGGATTCCTTTACTGGAATACCCTTGTACCTGGAGGGGCAGGTGATGGCCGCACCTCACCTCCCCCATTCACCATAAGCCAATGCCTAACCGCCAAACCTTACAAAGTTGTGACGATTGCTAAGAGGTAGGCCAAAACCAAGAGGCCAGTGCCAATTTGCCAAATGGAAATATTCCTACCCGGCCCCTGTTCCAAAACAGGCGACCAACCAAAGTCCAGAGCAAGGCCAAAGCACACACCTAAATTGAGGGCGGGTGTTTGGTGGCGCAAACCCAGGTAACCCCCCCCCCCCAATGCCGCACAGCTGCCTTTTAAAGGCCCCCCTCGATCACACCACCACTCCCGATTGGCCAGCAGGCCATGGTGTGATCGTGGGACCCCCACGTGGGATCGTGGCTCAGCTCCTCCCCCACCCCTCCCAAGGAAGGAGGGGTGCACCTATGGCCTGTGTGCAACGCAGACCCTCAATTAAGAGGATCCGATATGCTGAAAGAAATCCTACTTGAATGTCTTCCTGCTTCTCTCGCAAGCATGAAATGATCCAAGCATAGGAGATCCCCAGGCCTTCTAGAGCTCTGGCAACCAGTGAGCCAGCAGAGGGAGATGTCACAATGAACCTCGCGATGTGGCACCCCTGGGCCCTGAGAAAACCAGCAGCCACAAGCCCTGCTCCTCTTAAGGGACGTGACTAAGATTTCTCATATGGTTGTCTTCCATGTTCCACTTTTTATAAATATGCAAATGTGCCTATTCCTTTGGATTCCAGCTGAAGTTGTTCCTGCACCTTCTGAGCACTAGCTATCTCCTACGCCTGTCCCATACCCTCCAACATTTCTCCCATGCAAATAGGAATGTCCTATTCCATTATTATTATTATTATTATTATTATTATTATTATTATTATTATTACTGCCACTCTGGGCAGTTTCCAACTTATACAAAAACATAATAAAACATTAAGTGTTAAACACACCACTTCAATATCATGACCCAATGTTCTAAGGTAGAGCTTTCCAGACCAGCAAGAGCCAATGGATCTGCATAGGCCCAGCCAGTGGAGAATCAAACTTATGAATATTCCCTGTGTTAGACGGTAAGGGCTGCAAATATGTGCACCAACCACGACTGATCAGGGCAGACATTTTTTTCAACGGTAGCATGGTAATTTTGGCTTCTTGAGAGACTTCTGGAATTGAATGAAAGGGAGAAAAATAAAAGTGGGCACTCCCTGCTTATTTTTTTAACCACACAGCTATGGTGTTGCTAAAACGATCCCGGGATCCTGTCTTCAAAGCTGATAGACCTTTTAATTTTCTCCTTAGGCAAGCCAGAACAGGTAAATATCAATTAAATTTATCAACAGAAGTTATTATAATGATAGCTAAATACTATTGCTTTCTTTAACACATTATATAGATTGCAAGTTCACAAAACAAAAGAAAATGAATATTGGGGATTGCTTTCTTGAAAGCATCACCACATCAAAGACAAAGTGTCAGGTGCCTGGCATGGGCATAGCCGGGGGGGGGGGAACTGCCCCCTCAAAATCAAGTAAATCAATAAAAATACTTAACTAACTGACCAATTGCGTCACAGATAACTCGGCTCTGCCCTTACCCACCAAAATAAAGCCTATCCCACAATAAATGCTGTTTGCACCCATGGCTCCTGGTATCAGTTTTCCAAATCCAGGATGGTGCTTTCAAGGAAGCAATTTCAGCCACATTCATTCTGATCCTTATGAAGAACTGTTCCCTTTTCCCCATCCTCTTAACAAATATAATTGCCACGGTGGCAGGTTTGATCACCATATGGGCCAGCCATATATTCCTGCATTGCAGGGGGTTGGACTAGATGGTCCTCAGGGTCTCTTCCAGCTCTACAATTCTATGATTCTTATGTTCTCAAGCTACCCTGGTGCCAGCCAGGTGTGGCCACTCAGTTTCCTCAAGTACTTGAGGAATGGCAGCCTGTCATAATAGGATGACAGCTGATGGACAGCAACAAGCCTCTCCTATCTGCTGTGATTGCCAATCGGCATATGCTGTGTCTGCTCAAAGATGCCTGTTGCTTACAGATACAGCCATCTAATTCTAGTTTCCGTAAGGGAATTTCTACCCCAAGTATCTGCCAGGGAAATAAAGGATCTGAAAGGTTAACCTCACTCAGAGCTGCCAAGGCTGCATCATTTGGGAAGATAATACTCTTTAGTATTTCGTATTCATCTCTTAATAAACAACACAACAGGGTGTGCTTTCAACCAACTTCAGATGATAGAGGGGTGCTAAGTTTCCACCATTTATTTAGACACCTTTGTCTTTCACAAATTTAAGCAGGTGTGTTAAGTCTAAGGCCTCAATTCTGTGGTCATTCCACACTGAATTCAGCAGAATTTTATTCTGAGTAAAAGCTTACGTCGTATTGGACTGCCCACGATTAATCTTTCTTTCTGTAGCTTTTCATAACTCAAGAAGCTGACATGCTTTTTCAACAGCAGAAGTTTGGTGGGTCAAAAGTGTCAGAGCCTCCCTCCCGCTGATTCTGCATCTTATTATAGGAGTCCTGAAAATGAATCGTGCCTCTGAGGGCACCACACATTCAGCAGTGCTTGGGAAAACAAACAGGGAAGGGCAGGTCTCCTCCTTCCACCGTTGAGAGATATAAGAGAAAGAGAACTCTATGTTGTTGTTGTTGTTTAGTCGTTTAGTCGTGTCCGCCTCTTTGTGACCCCATGGACCAGAGCACGCCAGGCACTCCTGTCTTCCACTGCCTCCCGCAGTTTGGTCAAACTCATGTTGGTAGCTTTGAGAATACTGTCCAACCATCTCGTCCTCTGTTGTCCCCTTCTCCTTGTGCCCTCCATCTTTCCCAACATCAGGGTCTTTTCCAGGGAGTCTTCTCTTCTCATGAGGTGGCCAAAGTATTGGAGCCTCAGCTTCAGGATCTGTCCTTCCAGTGAGCACTCAGGGCTGATTTCCTTCAGAATGGAGAGGTTTGATCTTCTTGCAGTCCATGGGACTCTCAAGAGTCTCCTCCAGCACCATAATTCAAAAGCATCAATTATTTGGCGATCAGCCTTCTTTATGGTCCAGCTCTCACTCTATACAGCTGCACAATTCCAGTTCTGATCAGAAACTTCCACATGCAGGTTAAGAATGGCAAGAGAAAATGTGTGGAAGATAGAGAAATAATATGGTATATTCATTGTTATTTTTGTTTTTTGGGTTGATGTTATTGTATAAATATGTTATTAGTAGTTTTTTCTTTTAGGAGGTAGCAAAGTGGGTGAAAGGAGAATCACACCAGAAGCGGAAGTTGGGGGAAGCCTAGGAGGGGAGTGAGGAAGGAGTGCATGGTAAATATTATGAATATGAGATGTATGTAATGAATGAAAAAGAAAAATGAGTAATTTTTATTTTTTTAAAAGAATGGTGAGGAAACATGGGGGCAGGGATGTCAATAAATCAGGGCAGGTTGACAGTCGCTTTCTGCATGGTACTATGATGATATACAGTGATGTTCACATCAAAAGCCTGCTTCGCTCTGATTGCTTGAATAGAATTAGGGCGACTTTTCTTTTCAAAATGATGCTTTTATAAGTTTCCATCCCTGCCGCCCAAAGGTTTTAATACGATTTTTCAGGCTAGAAGGAGAAAAGTCTAGCTAGGGGGATAATTTTATTTTTTTAGGACAGTCAAGGAGGTGTGCGAGAAGGGAACTGTGTGAATACGCTGTATAAACACAGTATTCTTAAAGCACATTAGGGAGCACACGCTTTGCCTCAAAGAATTCTGGGAATTGTAGTTTACCTTCGCAGAACTACAATTCCCAGCAATGCCCGGAATTCTTTAAGCGGGAGAAACGGCCTCCCAATGTGCTTCCGAGAGGCGCTGGTGGCGTTGGAAAGCCCTTAGCCCCGCCTCCCTCTGGCCCCGCCCTTCCTCGCTGAGCCCTGCCTCCTCAGTCTCCGCGCGCATGCGTGGTCGGGCCAGGCCGGCTGTGAGGACTCGGTCTCGGCTCTCTCTGCCTCTTGGTCCCCCCTGGCGGCGGCGCTTCTTCCCCCGTCCCCGGAGGAAGGTGAGCCGGAGGGACGGGGCGCAGGCCGGGCGAGAGGCGGGGGGCCGAGGGCGCCACCCTCCCGGGGAGGCCGGGCAGGCGCGGAGGGACGGAGACGCTGTCCGAGGCGGAGACGGCGCTTCATGAGGCAGCCCGTTCCAGGGGCGCCTCCTCGGCCGGGGGAGGGGGAGAGACCTCCCTTGGCCAGGACACCTGGGATCAGCATCGCCCCCCTTCCCGAAGAGATGTTGCCTCTTTGGCTCTCCCCCCCCCCCCGCCAGAGGGGTCGGGTCTCTTCTGCTGCGCCCCCCCCCCCGGCTGCTGTAACGACCCCCCACCAACGGCTGGATTCTTCCCCATCCTTCAGCGCTGCTTCGGTGCCTCCTTTGCAACTGCAGATTTTGGGGTTCATGGGAACCATAGCTGTCAACTTTTCCCTTTTCTTGCGAGGAATCCTATTCGGAATAAGGGAATTTGCCTTAAAAAATTCCCTATGCTATGATAGAAACTACTGGGGAAAGAAGCAGTGACTTTGCATGAGTGTACAGGTGAAACTCGAAAAATTAGAATACCGTGGAAAAGTTCATTTATTTCAGTAATTCAGCTTAAAAGGTGAAACTAATACAGTGGTACCGCGGGTTACATATGCTTCAGGTTACACACTCCGCTAACCCAGAAATAGTGCTTCAGGTTAAGAACTTTACTTCAGGATGAGAACAGAAATCGTGCTCCAGCAGCGCGGCGGCAGCAGGAGGCCCCGTTAGCTAAAGTGGTGCTTCAGGTTAAGTATGGATCTCCGGAATGAATTAAGTACTTAATCCAAGGTATCACTGTATGTAAGATAGATTCATGACACGCAAAGCGAGATATGCCAAGCCTTTATTTGTTATAATTGTGATGATTATGGCGCACAGCTGATGAAAACCCCAAATTAACAGGTTCAGAAAATTAGAATATTGTGAAAAGGTGCAGTAGCTATTCAATCCATAACACCTGCAACGGGTTCCTGAGCCTTTAAATGGTCTCTCAGTCTGGTTCAGTAGGAAGGACAATCATGGGGAAGGTTCTGTATTCTGGATACAACTCAAAGGTTCTTCTGATGTACAGTGGTACCTCGAGTTAAGTACTTAATTCGTTCTGGAGGTCCATTCTTAACCTGAAACTGTTCTTAACCTGAAGCACCACATTAGCTAATGGGGCCTCCCGCTGCCACCGCGCCGCCAGAGCACAATCTCATCCTGAAGCAAAGTTCTTAACCCGAGGTACTATTTCTGGATTAGCGGAGTCTGTAACCTGAAGCGTATGTAACCCGAGGTACCACTGTATGTCTTAACACAGTACATACATATAACATGTTACACGTATAACATTCTGAAACTGGCAAAAGTGGATTCCCTAAAATGGAGAGGTAAGCCATTGCCGTAGTTGATAGGATAGCATCAAACAACCAGGACCAAACTAATTCACGCACGCTGTGAGATAAATGTATAAAAATTCAAAAAGTAAATAAATAAGATGACTAAAAATCAGCACAATATGAAGTTGATGCGTAGGCAGAGTGTTGTACGTAGCACAGTTAGACTTGAACTGGGGTTTGAATTTTAAAAAGAGAACTTGTTTGTTGGACTAAAGGATTCCCACCAGCCCCTTGGAGTTGCCATGCTTTGTGCTTTGTCTCTCGCCTCTCTCCCCTTAGGTTCTGCTGAATAAAAAGGATCACAATACAGTCACAATCTATTTTCCCTTCTGCTACAGAAAACCTTGTTTGTGATCACATAGACCCTAGCCTAAGTAAAGGTAAAGGTACCCCTGCCCATACGGGCCAGTGGTGTCCAACTCTAGGGTTGTGCGCCCATCTCACTTAAGAGGCTGGGGGCCAGCGCTGTCCGTAGACACTTCCGGGTCACGTGGCCAGCGTGACAAGCTGCATCTGGCGAGCCAGCGCAGCACACGGAAACGGCGTTTACCTTCCCGCTAGTAAGCGGTCCCTATTTATCTACTTGCACCCGGGGGTGCTTTCGAACTGCTAGGTTGGCAGGCGCTGGGACCGAGCAACGGGAGCGCACCCCACCGTGGGGATTCGAACTGCCGACCTGACGATCGGCAAGTCCTAGGCGCTGGGTTTTACCCACAGCGCCACCCGCGTCCCTAAGTACATTATGCAATTAAGTCGGTTGCACAGTTGTTTGAGAGTTTAGGATCCCAGTACGCCTGAAGGAGCATCTCCACCCCCTGAGGTCCAGCTCCGAGGGCCTTCTGGCGGTTCCCTCCCTGTGAGAAGTGAGGTTACAGCAGGGGTCAGCAACCTAAGGCCCATGAGCCGCCTCCAAACTGAGGTGCCCACTTGCGCGCTGTGCTAAACTGGCACAGTGTGATGCGGGGACTTGTTTCCACAGTGCTGAAAATCGCAGGTGTGCATGCTCATGCACACGCGTGATCCGGCCCAGGGAGGGATCTCCGTGGGACCGATCCGGCACAGGCAAGATAAACCTTGCTGACCCCTGGGTTACAGGGAACCAGGCAGAGGGTCTTCTGTGTAGTGGTGCCCATCCTGTGGAATGCCCTCCCATCTGATGTCAAGGAATAAAACAACTATCTTACTTTTAGAAGACATCTAAAGGTAGTCCTGTTTAGGGAAGTTTTTAATGTTTGATGTTTCATTGTGTTTTTAATATTCTGGGGAGCCACCCAGAGTGGCTGGGGAAACCCAGCCAGATGGACGGGGTATAAATAATAAATTATTATTATTATTATTATTATTATTATTATTCGGGTTCATTATTGAAGCATATGGAGGAGAAAGGCAGCTTCCCAAAATAAATGAGAAGAATAAAAAAGGAAGATGCAGGCAGAGAGGAGTTGGAAACTATAGCTGATCATACAGTGGAACAAATATGAAGGAGAAGCTCAGCTCACAGCTGACTTAATCCTGCCGTGAGGCAGTTCTGTGCATCTCCTGCCAAAGACTTTAATTCAGTCTGAAAGCGGCTCTTGGGATTTCACTTCACTGCGTACCAGAGAGATTCCCAGCAATGCTTCAAAAGTGACACTTGAAATGACAATCCTCCTAGAATGGTGTGCACCCAGGTATCTTGTCGTGTGCTAAATGAGCTGGAAGTGGGTGTGCACAAGATGTGCCTTTTCTCTCTCTTGTGGCTGCCACATGTAAGAGAACAGGACCTGGCTTCTGGGTTCAGGAACGACAGAATCATCATGATGAGGTCCTTCTTTGGGGGATAGGGTAGCTGAGGGGCACCACCATTGTGACTGTGCTTCTGTTTTCGTGCTGAACTCTTGGTTACTTTTCCTGGATAGTTAGGAAGGAGATTTTCATCTTTGGAAATCTTAATCATTTTTCATTTGGAGTATCTGTAGATAGAAACATATATATGACATTCTGCCATTACAAACATATCAGCTTGCCAGATAGAAGTATCCCCTGCCATATACCCTAGACCAGGCTTCCTCAACCTCGGCCCTCCAGATGTTTTTTGAGACTACAATTCCCATCATCCCTGCCCACTGGACCTGCAAGCTAGGGATCATGGGAGTTGTAGGCCAAAAACATCTGGAGGGCCGAGGTTGAGGAATCCTGCCCTAGACAATTTTGGGATGCATGCAGGGGAAGGAAAAGGGTTTTGTTGATATGGTTTATTAGGTGAATGGTGCCCATTTTATTTTAAATACTATATACACACTGTCTATACATCTACATACACATACATACATATGTACATACAGATACGTGTAATCTGAGTCAAAGCAATGGGCATTGCCCCTGAAACTTCCTTGGCAACAACACCACAGATACCTCTATAGAACGATTCAGATTTCTTCCCTATAATCGCTTTTTAGTGTAAGCGAGAGATGCTTAATAACAACAGCAAGAACTACAGATGACAGCAAAGTCATGGCCTCTGGGGAAAGTGATTTCCTAGAAGTATTCAACTTGGTACTTATTTGGCTGATAATATTTTTGAACTCCATAGGACAAACCAAAGCTGTATTTATGTTTTGCATCTACAACTGGTTGAGAACTCTTGTAAACACACAAAAGAGAAGTACTGACTCCTTCTAATGGTGCATCAATATGGAAATGTCCAGAAATGGTGCCAGTTGGATTCATTTTCATATTTTCCATATTCGTTATAGGAAGACATGGGACCCATTTGAGCTCCTGGGGTTAATTCTTAATGGCTGGCAAGTCTTCCAGTTAGACACATCCTTAGTTAGCACTTGTGTCCATTTTTTGAATGAGATCTACTAATGATGGGGAAAGGCTAAAGATGTGTTCCCCCTTTCTTTTACAGAACTGCTCGTGTGTGGCTGAAGTGAGACAGTGGTCAGTAATGGCCTGGCATATACCATCCACTGCCCTGTAAGTATTTGCAATACTTGGTCCATTTTAATTCTCAGTTTTCAGCACCACTCCCACCAATAATTAGCTGTTGGGAACACAATGTGGATCTTCCATAATTCTGGTGGCATTTAAATATGTTGAACTTTAAAAAACAAAAGTATTCTGGTGTTTGACAGATATAACCAATGTGACACCTGTATTCTTGGACTCCACTTTCTGTCTGTGTCCATTGACTCTGCTGGCTGAGGCTGATGGGGGTTGTTGTTTAGCAACATCTGGAGGGCTATAGGCTACCCTGACCTATGGTGTTCCTATAGCATTGAATATCCTTCCTTTTTGAGATTCCCAAAGACATGAAAAAGAAAACATCGATAGGAAGAAAGTAAACTTAAATTTGTGTAGGACTTAAATCTTAACATAAGTGCCTTTTTCAGGCGGTGTGTAAACTTAAAATCAAAAGCTCAACTTACTGTTAGCAAGAGGTGTTTTTTGTTTCAATATTAAAATAAATGCAGCAGAACCAAAATTAGTTTAAAAACCTGAATCAATTCTCTCTCAGCTTCACCATTTGTCATCATTGATCAAAATCATCTTCTTCCAGGCAACAAAGGCTTTAAAATGACTACATTAATCCGGCTTTTTTTTAAAGTACAGTGGTACCTCGGGTTACGTATGCTTCAGATTACATACGGTTCAGGTTACAGACTCTGCTAACCCAGAAATAGTACCTCGGGTTAAGAACTTTGCTTCAGAATGAGAAGAGAAATCATGCTGCGGCGGCAGCAGGAGGCCCCATTAGCTAAAGTGGTGCTTCAGGTTAAGAACAGTTTCAGGTTAAGAACGCACCTCCGGAATGAATTAAGTACTTAACCCGAGGTACCACTGTACTGTTCCCAAAAGCGAGCTGAAGGAAATTTTGAACTTTATATAATCAGGGTATATTTATCTAGCATTTCAAAGAAGCAGGCTATCAAATTATAATGCAAAAGTCAGAGCTGATATACAGGAGTACCATATTTTTTCGCTCTATAGGACGCACCGGACCATAGGAGGGGGAAAACGGGGGGAATTTTTTTTCTTATTCTCCCCCTCTAAAACAAGGTGCATTCACCCAAAGCCTCCGGAGCACAGCAGGAGTTACCACTGCGCTCGGGAGGCTTCAGGCGGCTACCTTGGAAGCCTGGGGAGCGAGAGGGGTCGGGGCGCACTGTCCCCTCTCGCTCTCCAGGCTTCAGTGACGGCAACCCGAAGCCTCTGGAGCGTGGTAGGAGTTCCCGTTGGGCTCCGGAGGCTTCAGGTTCCTTTTGACCTGCTTTTTGGGGCTGTTGGGGGGAAGCGCTGCTTTCCCCCACCGCCAGCCTCAAAGATCCCCGAAGCCTTTGGAGCGCAGCAGGACCTCGCGCTGCGCTCCAAAGGCTTCGGATTCCTTTCTCTGACTCAAAGCCTTTGGAGCGCAGCGCGAGTTCCCGCTGCACTCCAAAGGCTTGAGGCTTCGGGGACAGCCTTTGTAGCCTCCGCAGGGCAGCGGGGTGAAGGCACCCTGCTGCCCTGCAGAGGCTTTGCACAGCTAACCCCAAGCTAGAAGAGCGAGACGGAGCACTCCGTCTAGCTGTTCTGGCTTGGGGACAGCCTTTCTAGCCTCTGCAGGGCAGCCATCCCCAAGCTAGAACAGCGAGACGCAGTGCTCTGCAGCGCTCCGTCTCGCTGTTCTGGCTTTCGGGACAGCCTTTCTAGCCTCCGCAGGGCAGCGGGGTGGCTTCAAACCACTGCCCTGCAGAGGCTTTGCGCAACTAACCCCAAGCTAGAAGAGCGAGACGGAGCGCTCCGTCTCGCTGTTCTGGCTTGGGGACAGCCTTTCTAGCCTCCGCAGGGCAGTGGGGTGGCTTCAAACCACTGCACTGCAGAGGCTTTGCACAGCTAACCCCAAGCTAGAAGAGCCAGACGGAGCGCTCCACAGCGCTCCGTCTCCTTGTTCTGGCTTTGGGCTTAGCCACACAGCCTGCATTCGCTCTATAGGACGCACACACATTTCCCCTTAATTTTTGGAGGGGAAAAAGTGCGTCCTATAGAGCGAAAAATACGGTATATTCATGTATTCACTGAAACAAGAATAAAGATCGCAGAAGTAGAACCTTGTCAGAACATAACGTTGCTAGGATGCTGTTTGGAAGCCAAAGCAGCACAGAACTAGGAAGTGTTTTGTGGGTTTGTAATCAAAGCTGTGCAGAAGAGCATGAAAATGGCCAAGTTGTGAATTCAATGATATTTCCTATCCAGTGGGCAAATCCAGCCCCTTGCAATGCAGGGATCTTGCCCACATCTGTCCTTGGGTGGACTCGAACCACCAGGCTTCTGGTTAACAGACACATTGAACTATTGCACCACAGAGATTTAAAGGTGTATTCTGCCCTTTGTCAGAAGATCTCTGGACAGTTAACAGCATAAAAATAGAATATTAAAACACAAAATGCATAAGAAAAACAAAAGCAGAACAAAACAATAACCCCCTACCTCCCACCATACATTCCAAAGGATGTTGGTCACCCAAAGTCCTGGTTGAAGATGTTTTCTTTTTTTAATATATATTTTTTTTCAATTTTCAAAATAACATTTTTCCTTTTATAGATACATATCTAATCCAATTTTTCATTAATTAACTTTCCCCATTTTTGATTTAATTTTTCCTCATCTTGGTGCCTGATCTTCGCGGTCAATTTAGCCGTTTCGGCATAGTCTATCATCTTAAGTCATCCATTCTTCTTTCATTGGGACATTCTCTTCTTGCCACTTCTGGGCAAGTAACATTCTGGCCACTTTTGTTGCATACAAATACAGTCTCTTTTGCTTCCTTGGTACTTCTCCTACTAGTCCTAGTAAAAAAGCCTCTGGTTTTTTAACAAACGTATTCTTAAACATTTTAAAAATTGCATTATAAATCATTTCCCAGAAGCCCTTTACTTTTTTTACACGTCCACCACATATGAAAAGTATCTTCTTTCTCCATACATTTCCAGCATAAATTAGAGGAATTTTTATACATCTTAGCCAGCTTTTCTGGAGTGAAATATCATCGGTACATCATTTTCATACAATTTTCTTTTCGTGAACTACAGGCCGTGAACTTTCGATTCTCTTTCCACAGCTTTCCCCATGATTCAAGCAGAATATTATTAATCTTTATTACGGTCCAGAGACCCAACAAATCATTACAAATCAATACACAATTCATACAGCCTACCTCCAGGTTAAACAAGCATTTTGTTTAGAATATAGGGCTCATTTGTTCTTGCAACCACCGATAAAAATTTTGCCACTGCTAACGTTCTAGCATTTGTCCGGTCTTCCAGTAGGAACCTGACATAGTGAGCCTTTGATTTTCCTGGGAAATGTACCAGCAAGGGTAGTATCAGTTCAGCCCTGGCCTGCTCATATTTTGCACAATGCAACAAAATATGTTTTATGGAATCGATGTCTTTAGCACACGAGCAAAGTCTGTCCTGGTAGGGAACTCTTCTCAAACCTGCCATCCAACACTGCAGAGGGAAAGACATTTAGTCTGGCTTTGGTGAAAAGCCTTCGGTAGTTTGGTACTGTCAGGTTTTTAATGTAAGATGTTAACTTAAAGACATATTAAAGACAAGAATATTATAAAGACAAGAATATTATAACCTATAACTTTTGCCCAGTGTATCATTACAGCTTTAACCTCTTCATCTTTCGTCTCCCATTCCAACAATAGATTGTACATTTTTGATAACAGTTTCTCATTATTTTCCAGTAATTCCCTTTCGAACTTTGAGCATTCCTTCCCAAAGCCTTTCGAAGAGAAATGTTTTCACCGGTGGCTTAAGTGTATAATGAAGCTCCCACGTGAGCCGACCAGGGGAGAGCATTCCTGCTATAACTCCAATGAAATATCTCACAATAAGTGGAGGTGCAACACGAGAAGATGCAGCAATGAATCATAGAACTGTAGAATTGGAAGGGACCCCAGGGGTCATCTAGTCCAACCCCCTGCAATGCAGGAACCTTGTGGCAGCAGGGAGGGAACATGTAAAATCGTTTTTTGAAAATAAGAATCTTCACAATTCCATTCAAGCAACCAGAGCGGAAGCAGGCTCTTGCAGTGAACATCACTCTGTATATCACCACAGTGCAAAGTAGAGCAAGGCAGAAAGAGCAGGGGTCAGCAAACCTTTTCAGCAGGGGGCCGGTCCACTGTCCCACAGACCTTGTGGAGGGCCGGACTATATTTTGAAAAAAATTTAAAATGAACGAATTCCTATGTCCCACAAATAACCCAGAGATGCATTTTAAATAAAAGCACACATTCTACTCATGTAAAAACACCAGGCAGGCCCCACAAATAACCCAGAGATGCATTTTAAATAAAAGCACACATTCTACTCATGTAAAAACACGCTGATTCCCGGACCGTCCGTGGGCCGGATTTAGAAGGCGATTGGGCCGGATCCGGCCCCCGGGCCTTAGTTTGCCTACCCATAAGAGACTGTAAACCTCCCCTGATTTATTGACATTTCTCCCATGTTTCCTCACCATTCTTAACTTGCTTTTGGAAGTTTCTGATCAGAACCGAAGTGTGCACTTATATAGAGCTCTCTTTCTCTCTCATAAATCTTTAAGGTGGAAGGAGGAGTTTTGTCATTCCCAATAACAAAGGCAGCCAACCAAATACCTGTGGGAAACCCACAAGTAGGATTTGAGTGCAAGAGCCCTAAGGCATTTTCCAGAAGTCTATAACTGCTATAATAGAAGAGAACCACCACAGAAATGGCAATCAGCATCTCTTTTTATTTACAGCCCTAAGTTTCACATAACTTCCTCTTCATAGTCACAAGACTTAAAACGTCCTATTAATGCTTTTTAATTTTATGGGAATGCAGATATATGGAAACGTGGATAGGACAAGTTTATTCTGTAGGATTTGTAAGTCTTCCTATAAACAGAGTTGAACCTGTAAAAAAAATAAAAAAAAATTACTGGTTTCTTCAACTTCATTTTATAAATGGTCGTACTGATTGAACTTAAATTTAATTATTTGTATAGAACAGGGTGGGGAGGGGATGTAGAGATGATTAATGAAAGTCAGTCACATATAGAAAGTGGGAATGGGAAAGATGTTCATTAGCAACCTTCACTTCTAGACAAAAATCATATAACTTTATATAACTCGGTTAATAGAATGAGGAACTGCTAATCAAGGAACCACCCTGAGATCTACGGATTAAGGGTGGCATACAAATTTAACAACAACAATAAAAGAAAGAAAATGGTTTTGAATAGGGCATTCTCTTAACCTGCTGTGAAAAGGGGAATACGATTGATTTATTTGGTGATGGGGGAAAGGGTGCGTGTGTGTGTGTGTGTGTGTGTGTGTGTATGTGTATGTATATCTGCTTCATTATATGTATTTTTTGTGTGTGTTTATATGCTTGTAAATGGTCCAAGAACCTGGTTATATAAATATTTCAAATAATAAAAAGGAAAGGTCAGAAGAACAGCATCTACTTGCATTCGGAAGCTCCCAGGTTCAGCCCAGGTGGGAAAGAATCTTGCCTAAAACCATGGAAAGGGGCTGCCGACCAGTGCAGACAATACTAAGCTAGATGGGCCAATGGTCTGACTCAGTAGAAGGCAGCTTCTCATGTTCCTCCCGTGACAGCAGCTGTTCCCTTTTCTTGCAATGTCTCCCCATGTGCTTCTTATCAACCTGGGTTCCAGAAAGAAGGTGCCCTGCAGTCTGTTTAGTTTACATATCAAAGTCCTGGAGCTAAAGTTCTGCATTGTCTCTTTACCTCCAGTGCTTGTGGGAAACCATTCATTTATCTGAGCTGCAGTCCAGTTAGGCTCACTGAAGTTAGAAGACCATTTCAGGGAATGAATAATAGTATGCAGTGTTCCTCCTAAATATCTATTGCACCCTTCAGACCTCCTGCTCATGGGGAGAGCCAGGATTTATGTTAGGGGGCAGGATCCGCAATCCTGTACCCACTTTATTTGGGAATAACCCCCACTGAAGTTAGCAGGGCTTACTTCTGAGTAGACATATATGGGGTTATGCTGTAAATTAGTCACACTTTCATAAATCAATGGGACTTAGCTAGCTGTGACTAACTGATTTCAACAGAGCCAAAGTGAACACACCAATATATGTGCATTCACAGAATCTTAGAATTGTAGGGTTGGAAGGGACCTCAAGGGTCATCTAGTCCAACTGCCAAGGCACATTCTTAAAGAATTCTGGGCACTGCAGTTTGTTAAGGGTTGCTGGGAATTGCGATTCTGTGAGGAGTAAACTACAGTGCCCAGAATCCTTTGCGGGAAAGAATGTACTTTCAAGGTGTAGCATGCGCATGTAAAGCCCGTTGAAGTAAAGAGCATGGAATGAAAGGGGGTTAACTCACAAGTAAGTCCCCCTGTATGACTTGTTTTGTTTTTATATGCTTTCCCCCCCAGGACGGGTCCACGCTGTAAGGCGAAGTTCACAACAGCCTGCCTTACCATGCGTGCTGTATCCCGGAGAATGCTGCAGTTGGGCCAATGTGCTCCCTTTTGTCCAGAAGAAAGAAGAGAAGGCTAGCGATTATAACTGTTTTAGGGACTTTCTTATATACCCTGAACATATCCTTGGAAATAGACATACCGTCATATTGTCCTGAGTGTTCTTCCTCCCACCATCTTCCTCCAGATCAGGATGGCAGGAGGTTTGCAGAGCCTACAGGGACACAAAGAGCCATATGGGATATTTTTATTTTTCTGAACCTCAAAATAGGCCTCAGACAGTTACAGAGAGACCTTTCGTAAGTAACCTTAGGGACGTATATTAGACCTCAGACCTTTTGCATATTCATACATTTTTTTTAGATTCATACAATCCATATTTATGAATGGCCAGTTTATAACCATAAGACTAAAATAGCGCAGAGGGGGGAAGTAAATAAGGCTGGGGTAGAATGAATGACCACTGGCTGAAAACTGATTTACTAAGGGTGAAATCCTAACTGCACTTACCTAGGAGTAAGAGCCACTGCTCACAGTCTTCTTCAAGGTCTTCTACGATTAGATCTTCTGAATGAAAAAGAAGAGAAGGCTGGCAGTTAGACTTTCTTATATACACTGGAAATATTCTTGGAAATAGACATTCCCTTCATGTTGTCTTGGGCCTTTTTTGAGCTCCTCCAGTGAAGGAGCTCTTCCACCATCTTTCTCCACATGAGGAAGGGAGGAGGTATGCAGAGCCTACAGGAAAAACAAAGAGCCACATGTGATATGTTTATTTTTCTGATCCTCAAAATAGGCCTCAGACAGTTCAGAGACCTTAGGGACTAATAATATTCTGAAATCTGTAAGTCCAATGCCAAGTAAGTCTGATAAATGTCGTTTGGAAAGCTGGGCACCTTTCCAGTTAGGAGTTTGATCTGGCCTTCCACAAATTGTCATGCAGATCTTTTTGGGTTGGAAGATTAAATAAGAAGAGTTTGTTGCAAGAGCCTCTGCACGTTCTATGTCGAGCTTAGGGGTCTGCTCTTGTCGCCAATTCACTTTGGTACTATGGTGTTCTGTTAATGCCTGCTTGTTTACTGATAAACTGTGGACCTCTTTGGATAATTGGGTTATTTGAGAGGCAATACCTCTAATTTGTTGGAAGATATGCTCAACCGTTCTTGCAATTAGAGTTAATTGGGTGCTCTCCCTACTTGTTATTCCTTCCTCTCTTAGCGGCACAGGATCAACTTGCCCCATTGCTGGATCCAGTTCCACGCTCTCACCTTGAATACTCTCCCCACACTCACAATCATCTTCAAGGGGAGAAACACTGTTTTTTGTTGGAACTATAAAAGCAGATTTGTTTAAAAAGTCCTCTATTTTAGATTGTTTGGGAACCGGTGAGAGAGCTACATCCTCTGGGTCCCTGTAGCGTTTACTAGCAGGCATAGCGTCGCCGTGGGGAGTAAACAAGGAGAGGTTTTGTGATGGCTTGTGAATGCTCTCTGCAAGAAATACCTCTGCTCACTCAGAGTTCATATATACAGTCTTTATTTTACATATGTACAAGCAGCACGTTACAATCATGCATCCGAATCCTCCGGCTCAGATTCTGGGAGTGCCTTATGCCTGCCCCTTCTCCAACAGAAAAGGCGTGGAATTTTCATGTGATGTCTCTGTCCCCTCCTCTTTAACACTCTCCTTTCCTTGGCAGACGGAACAGGCATTGTTTCACTGTCTGTGCCAGGACTTCCTGTGTGGTGTTGAGGCTCTGGTCCAACATCTGTGAGCTATCCCTCCTCCTGGCTTTCCCTTCTTTCCTCCACCGCCACTTCCTGCCCCCCTTCCTCTGCCTGTCTCTGCTCCTCCCCTTCATTCTCCGGCAATACCATGACAGGTTTCCCCAACCAAAAAAGAGAGAAAAAATAGAAAGTGCTCAGTTTGTTCAATTTAAGAGCTTCTCCGCGTGGAGACTGCCAGGAGTTCCAGGAACAAAGTATAGAAGGCAGCTGGTGGCCTGCCCAGGATGCTTCACAGAACTTGCCCAAGATGTTTCTCATAGCATAGACAAGAAGGTGCTGTTAGAATCTCAGTAGGTTGGCAAGTTTAAAAGTAGAGAAGTAAAAAAAGGAAAAATTACTTCCCTGGGTGGCAATCAACGCTAATAACATCCTGTTATATGCGCAGCTCCGAAGCCTGCTTGCTAAGCCATCGCCATCTTGGAACCTCAGCCTATTCTGAAATCAACATCTATATGCTGAAGGGTCTTACCTTTTTTGTTCTCTCAAAGAGGGGTCCAGAGGGGGAGGCCAAGGGGGAGGAGGTGGGCAAGGGGGAGGTCTCTGGGATAGGCGAAATTCTGTTCTTTCTTCCCAATCAGGAAAACACTTTGCTGAGTCTGCAAAGCCTAGAGAGAAAGAGAAATGGGGCTCACTGTTAGTGCTCTCTAACGCCTCTATGTTCAAGATGAATTCTCTATCATCAAAGAATTTTGATGTTGAAAGAAATCCTACTTGCATGTCTTCTCCTTTCTCTCGCAATCACAGAATGATCCAAGCATAGGAGATCCCAGGCCTTCTAGAGCTCTGGTGACCAATGAGCCAGCAGAGGGAGGTGTCACAATGAACCTTGTGACCCAACAACCCTGGGCCCTGAGAAAACTAGCAGCCACAAGGACTGCTCCTATTAAGTGACACTACTAAGTTTTCTCATATGACTTTTCTTCCATTTTCCACTTTTGATAAATACGCAAAATGTGCCTATTTGGATTCCAGCTGTAGTTGTTCCTGCACCTACTGAGCACTAGCTGTCTCCTATACCTGTCTTATACCCTCCAACATTTCTCCCATGAAAATAGAAATGTCCTATTCCATGATGATGATGATGATGATGATTCTGACTGGCTTGCCCCAGCCAGTCTGGAAAGTTTCCAACATATACGAAAACATAATAAAGCATTAAACATTGAAAGAAACCCTTCTCTATACAGGGCTGTCTTCAGATGTCTTCTAAAGGTTGTATTGTTACTTGCCTCCTGGGCTTGGGGGTCACATAACTTCATATGCTCCAACATTTCTCCAGTGAAAATAGGAATGTCCTAAATCACAGAGCCTAGGGCTTGCCGATCAGAAAGTCGGCAGTTTGAATCCCCACGACGGAGTGAGCTCCTGTTGCTCAGTCCCTGCTCCTGCCAACCTAGCAGTTCGAAAGCACGTGAAAGTGCAAGTAGATAAATAGGTACCACTCCGGCGGGAAAGTAAACGGTGATTCCGTGCGCTGCTCTGGTTCACCAGAAGCGGCTTAGCCATGCTGGCCACATGACCCGGAAGCTGTACGCCGGCTCCCTCGGCCAGTAAAGTGGGATGAGTCCCACAACCCCAGAGTCATCCGCGACTGGACCTAATGGTCAGGGGTCCCTTTACCTTTAAGCAAAAGAGGGTCATTCTGGGGACAAATCAGAAACCGGGATAGCTTCTGTAAATTTGGGACTGTCCCTTGAAAATAGGGACATTTGGCAGGTCTGCTGAGGTGCCCAGATGGGAGACCATCAGGGAACCCATGATATGGTGCTTAGAATTATACAGACAAAAGTACTGTGCAAATAAATAAATAGACACACCAGGTTTGCCACGTGTTGCGGGGGCTCTAAGAACAATGCCATGCTTGTGTGGTACAACAAGAAAGATTTCAAAAATATGTGTGGAACGTTGAGGGAGAAGGAGAGAGGAGTATTGTCATTTCGCACATCATTAAAAATCCCATACGCATGATCCAGTAGACACCTCTGGAAGTTGTGCAGCAATGGCCGCCACATCTTGCTGGGCTACACAATTCCCACCTGTCCCAGCCAACATGGTCAATGGTCAGGGATGATTGGAGTTTTCCTCCACTAACATCTGGAGGGCACCACATTGGTTACCCCCCAAGTATTAGGATGTTTAAACCTTAATGTCTTAGCGCTCAATTCCCCTCCCACCGCAGTGTGTTTCACAGCTCTTTCCCACTAGCTGTTGACATCAGCATGGTTTCCTTAGTGTCAGATATGTTTCTCTTTGTGCATGCACCAGGGGACATTGACAGGCCAGGGATGTCTTTGCCTTATGCAACTGGTGTTCACACCTTGACTAGAGGCTTAAGGACTCCACTCCATTTGAGAAACCATAGCAAAACAGTAGGATTTTAGAACAGGATACATAGGCATTCTGGATGTCCATTGATCAAGGGATTAAAAACCCAGCACTGGAAACAGTGAGTGCACACAGCAAATGGGACTGTGAACACAGGCACAGAGAAGGTAGTATTTTTACAACAGAAGTGCTACTTAGAACATCAGGATTCAGCCTACACAATCCTCAGCAACAAAAGTTACCGCAGCACATCCTTCATTTTTATGCTTCATTCCAACTCTGGGATTTGCTGCAGATGATTTCAGTATCTCTGCCTTGAGAGTACCATCTCCTCATGGCCCCTCCTTAGCGGCTTTCTGAGATCACAGTTTTAGGCAGGAAATTTAACGGGCTGGGTTTTTAAAAATGTTTTAAAGGTTTATAATGGTAGTTTTAATATGTTAATTGTTTAAAAATCATACCCTCTAACATTTATCTGATGAAAATAGGGACTTTCCATTCCATAATGATAATTTTCCTATTTATACCCCACATATCTTACGGGGTTGCCCCAGTCACTCTGGACAGCTTCCACCATATATATAAATATAATAAAACATTAAACATTTTTTTAAAAACCTTCCCTATACAAGATTGCCTTTAGACGGCTCAGGGGTCAGATAATTTCATATGCTCCTACGTTTCTCCACTATTCGCTACCCTGGTGTTGGCAAGTAATAATAATAATAAAATTTTTTATTTATACCCCACCCTCCCCAGCCAAGACCAGGCTCAGGGCAGCTAACAATCGATATAAAAACAAATTGATTGAAATACAACTTAAAAACAAGATTAAAATACAACATTAAAGCATTAAAATGCAGCCTCATTTCAATGGAAACTCAAATCAAAAACTTTTGGGGGAATGAAAACATCAGGTCTTCACCAAGGCTAACTATCCAGACTGGTCCTACATGGGCCGGAAAAAAGCCAGGGAAGTCCCCAAATAGGAGTTCCATCACAGGAGGAGAAAGGAAAAAAGAAAGAGGGGGAGGGAATCAAATTGATTCCAAGCGGAAAGAAATCAGATCCTGCAGGGCCCTGGTCTCATGAGACAGAGCGTTCCACCAGGCCGGAGCCAGTGTTGAAAAGGCCCTGGCTCTGGTTGAGGCTAATCTAACTTCCTTAGGGCCCAGGACCTCCAGAGTGTTGCTATTTATGGACCTTAAGGTCCTCCATGGAGCATGCCAGGAGAGGCGGTCCCATAGGTAGGAGGGTCCTAGGCCGTGAAGGGCTTTAAAGGTCAAAACCAGCACCTTAAATCTGACCCTGTACTCCACCGGGAGCCAGTGCAGCTGGAAAAGCACTAGGTGAATATGCTCCCATGGCAGAGACCCTGTGAGGAGCCTTGCTGCAGCATTCTGCACCCGCTGGAGTTTCTGGGACAGCTTCAAGGGCAGCCTTATGTAGAGCGAATTATAGTAGTCAAGCCTGGAGGTGACCATCGCATGAATCACTGTACTGCTAAATGCCTCATTATTTGCAAAGAATGTGGCAAAATAGGTCAGGAGGTCATTTGTTTTCCTCTAGCTCAGTGTAGTCTTCCTCACACAAGCGAAAGGACAGAGGCAGGAAAATGCCCATTTGGCAGCTACAGGGGCCTTAGGGAAGTGGGAACAGAAAGAAAAAGTGAAGAAGCTACACAGTGCCTTCTGGATATATTTTGAGATTCCCAACTGAAAGTAGCGCATGAACAAAAGGACAGCTAGCACTACCAGCCTCAAGATGAAGAGAAAAACGAAGGGAGAAGAGTCGGTGGAAGAAGATTGGAAGAAATTTAAAGACTATTTACAGAAATATTGTAAAATTAATGAATGTTAGAATGATGTTGGATAGAAATTAAGTGGTTTTCAGCTGTAATACTATAAGGGAATATGAAAAATGGATTACTAACAGGTAAAAATTTAACGTTACAATATTTTAAGATTAAAAGACTAGGATAAACAAAGAGGGGAAGGATTTGCTGAACCAACAAACCGAACTGGAATACAAAAAAGGGAGGCGTGAGGAGGTCCGGGAAACAAGCTAATGAAAAATAAGTAATGGAAAGATTGAGTTGTTTTTAACCATTTTTATTTTGTATTTTTCTCTTTTTTTATTTTTATTTTGTAATATTTTGAAAATCTTAATAAATATCTTACAAAAAAAAAAAAAGATGAAGAGAAAAACGTGTCTAGTGCTTAATTTTTCCCCGTGGAAAGATTTCAGTTTCACAAGTTCACTAGTAACAACGAATAGGTGCAAACTGCAAATACTGCATTAGGCAAGCTTAGCCATATCACCATTCAGTTTTGCTTATTAAAAGCTAGTAAAACATACACACTAGCTCACTCTCTAGGGCTGGGGTGGGGAACCTCTGGCCCACCAGATGTTTCTATTTAGCCAAGCTGGCTGGGGTTCATGGGAGAAGTATTTTGGAAACATCTGGATTGCCAAAGGCTTCCCAGCCCCCATCTCGGGCATCAGCAAGTTTTATGGTGTAAATTATTCTATGTAAATTGTCCTAATCTGCATAGGAAAAATTTCCAAAAACCCACATTACTGGCCCTCAGATCTGTGCAACGGGAAGGATGGCAACAGATGAGCGAGAAGACTGCAGCTCACAATAAATGAGCCGGTGAGAATGGAAGCTGAAGAGCTTGCACTTTCTCCAACTCTTAACAGCGTTAAATTAGGGTGCTTTCGAACTGCCAAGGATTCGAACCGCCGACCTTCTGATCAGCAAGTCCTAGGCTCTGTGGTTTAACCCACAGCGCCACCCTTAGGACATTCCTATTTTCACTGGAGAAATGTTGGAGCATATGGAGTTAACCTAAGGTACTATTTCTGGGTTAGTGGAGTCTGTAACCTGAAGCGTATGTAACCCGAGGTACCACTGTACTGGGAAGGAAGGACTGATATCCCAGGCAGGATCAAAGCTCCTGATTCTCAATAGGGAATCACTTTTGCCAGTTTCAGAAGGTCATACTGTGTTCTTAAAAGCACCGAGGGCCTTCTGGCGGTTCCCTCACTGCGAGAAGCCAAGTTACAGGGAACCAGGCAGAGGGCCTTCTCGGTAGTGGCGCCTTCCCTGTGGAACACCCTCCCACCAGATGTCAAAGAGAACAACAACTACCAGGCTTTTAGAAGACATCTGAAGGCAGCCCTGTTTCGGGAAGCTTTTAATGTTTGATGTATTATAGTATTTTAATATTCTTTTGGAAGCCGCCCAGAGTGGCCGGGGAAGCCCAGCCAGATGGGCAGGGTATAAATAATAAATTATTATTATTATTATTAAAAAGACATACATTAGAGTTGTATCCAGAGCAGACTTTTACTGCTTCTTTCCCCTGTAGTTCCCATGAACCCCAAAATCTGCTGTTGCAAGGGAGGCACCGAAGCAGCGCTGAAGGATGGGGAAGAATCCAGCCGTTGGTGGGGGGTCGTTACAGCAGCCGGGGGGGGGCGCAGCAGAACAGACCCGACCCCTCTGGCGGGGGGGGGGGAGAGCCAAAGAGGCAACATCCCTTCGGGAAGGGGGGCGATGCTGATCGCAGGTGTCCTGGCCAAGGGAGCCCTCCCTCCCCCGGCCGAGGAGGCGCCCCTGGAACGGGCTGCCTCATGAAGCGCTGCCTCTGACGGCGTCTCCGTCCCCCTCGGGCTCGGGCCCCTTTCGCCCTGCCTGCGCCCCGTCCTTCCGGCTCACCTTCCTCCGAGACGCCGAGGAAGCCCCAGAGCCCCCCGGGTCACTCACGGCGGGGTCCGGAGAGCCAGACTCCACCTGCCCCAGCAGGAGCGGGGAGGAGGGAAGCGCCGGGGACGCCATAGGCACCTCCAGCTGTTTTGGGACTACAATTCCCATCATCCTTGACGGTTGTCCCGTTAGCTAGGGATGATGGGAATTGTAGTCCCAAAGCAGCAAGTCTGGCCATCACTGCCATAGGGGGACCAAAGGGCGGACAGAGCCAAGCCGGATTCCTCCCGATTCTTCGGGAACCAGGAGCCGGCCGGCCCGACCACGCATGCGCGCTGCGACGGAGAACGCGGACGAAGAGGGGAGGAGCAACAGCAGCGCCCGTAATTCTTTAAGCGGGAGCAACGGACTCCGAACGTGCGCTCGGGAGCCGGTGGTGGCGTTGGAAAGCTCTTAGCCCCGCCTCCTTTGGGCGCCGCCCCTCCCCTCTGCGGCCGCCTCCTCCGTCGCAGCGCGCATGCGCGGCGTGGTCGGGCAGGGCCGGCTCCCGGTTTCCCAAGCGGCTGCACCTGAGGGAGGAATCCGGCTGGGCTCTCTCCGCCCCTCGCTCCCCCTATGGCGGCGCCGGCGCTTCCCTCGTCGCCGCTCCGTCGCCGGCCGCTGCTGCTCGGCCAGGTGGAGGGCTCTCCGGACCACGCCGTGACCATGGCGGCGCTGGTGCCCAAGGAGGACGGCTTCCTCAGCGTCTCGGAGGACAGGTCAGCGGGGACTCGGCGCAGGGCGGCGGGCCGAGGCGGCAGCGCTTCATGAGGCAGCCCGTTCCAGAGGCGCCTCGGCCTGGGCTGGGATGGCTGTCGGGGCCACGCAGAGGCGCCCCGAGGCTCCCTGGGCAAGGAGAGGGGTCAGCATACCCGAGAGACCATGGATTATGATAATAATAATAATAATAATCCCTCCCGAGAGACCATGGATGATAATAATAATAATAATAATAATAATAATAATAATAATTCCCTCCCGAGAGACCATGGATGATAATAATAATAATAATAATCCCTCCCGAGAGACCATGGATAATAATAATAATAATCCCTCCCGAGAGACCATGGATAATAATAATAATAATCCCTCCCGAGAGACCATGGATAATAATAATAATAATAATAATTCCCTCCCGAGAGACCATGGATAATAATAATAATAATAATAATTCCCCCCCGAGAGACCATGGATAATAATAATAATGCCACCCTCCAAAGACCATGGACAATAATAGTAATGTTCCCCCCCCCCCCGCCGGGAAACCATGGATAATAATAATAATATTGCCCCCCTGAAAGACCATGGACAATACAGTAATAATAATAATGCCCCCCCAAAAACCATGGACAATTATTATTTTTATTATTTATACCCCGCCCATCTGCTGAGGGGTCAGCAACCTAAGGCCCATGGGCCGGAAGCAGCCACAGAGGCCCATGAGCCACCTCTGAACTGAGGTGCCCCCTTGCGCGCTGCGCTAAACTGGCACAGCACAGTGCAGGGACTCGCTTCCATGGTGCTGAAAATCGCAGGTGCGCATGCTCAGGCACATGTGTGATCCAGCCCATGGAGGGATCTCCAGGCAAGATAAACCTTGCTGACCCCTGGGTTACAGGGAACCAGGCAGAGGGTCTTCTGTGTAGTGGTGCCCACCCTGTGGAATGCCCTCCCATCTGATGTCAAGGAATAATAATAATAATAATAATTTATTATTTGTATCCCGCCCATCCGGCTGAGTTTCCCCAGCCACTCTGGGCGGCTCCCAATCGAGTGTTAAAAACAATACAGTATTAAAAACTTCCCTAAACAGGGCTGCCTTCAGATGTCTTTTAAAGAGAAGATAGCTGCTTATTTCCTTCACAGCCCTGAAGGGTTCCACAGGGCGGGTGCCACTACCGAGAAGGCCCTCTGTCTGGTTCCCTGTAACCTCACTTCTCGCAATGAGGGAACTGCCAGAAGGCCCTCGGTGCTGGACCTCAGTGTCTGGGCTGAACAATGGGGGTGGAGATGTTCCTTCAGGTATACAGGACCTGATGTTTGCTTTGGGTCCCCTTTGGCTCTTTGCCAGTGACCCCCCCCCCCGGGCCATATGATTCGGGTCTGTTCTGCTGTAATGGCCCCTACCAGTGGCTGGATTCTTCCCCCGAGGAGACACTACCATTTGGGATGCCCCCTGCCTTTAGCACTCCGTTCTCAAGCGTTGCTTTGCTGCCCCCATTGCAACTGTGCTGGTCCTTTGGGCAGGTGGGTTCTTAACTACTCTGAGCAAGAGGGGAGAGGCACAATTTTTGCAGCCCCTGGTCCTGCACTGTTGGTGGGGGCCAATGTAAACTAGGCTCTGTGGATGGAGTGCCTGCTTTCCATGCAGAGGGCCTCAGGTTCAGCAGCTGGTGTTGAGTGTGGGCCAAGCTCCCGTCTCCATCCCTGGAGAGCCATTGCTGCTGGAGACTCCATAAAAGGTAGCTTGGTATGTGGTGGGCAGCTCCAGATTTAGGGTGGTTCAGGCTGTTGCCCTGCAAAGAGCGCCAAGCGAAGGGGGCACAAAATTGAGAAGATCCATTTGGATTCTGTTCTTGACTGAGCTCTTCCTTTCTTGGGTATTTTTTTATATGGACTCCCAGGAAAGTTGAAAGGCTTGCAAGTTCTCCTCAGAGGTGCAACACAGAAGCAAAAAAGGGTACTGTATTGGTTTACCTGCTTGCGTATCTTGTCTTCCAGCACAGCAATAATACTCCCCCTAGAAACCTGCAGCCAAGCAGTTGGCTGGCTGGTTCAAATCAATATGTGACATTTAATCTCACCACCTTTGCACATTGTCTGATGGCCTGCATTGCTCTTCCTAGGTTGCTGAGTACTGCAGTCTCAGGAGAAGCCACAATAGACAAACTTCCTTTCCTGCTTAACTGTTTGTTGTTGTAGTTTTGTCAGGATCAAGTTACCATTGCATGTGGATACATAACAAGGCCCTGATCACCTTTAAAATGAATGGGGAATAAAGCTGATTGAGATGGGCCAGTTTAGGAAAAAGCTGCAGTGTGAGGGCTGTTTTAGCCTTTCTCTGCCTGCCACTTCTCCATTCCTATCTAGCCCCAACTGTTTCTCCCTCTGTGCAGTGCTGAACCCGTGTTTGTGAGGGTAGAGTGTGGAAACAAACTGGAAATAGCTTGAGAGGGAGGAATCTGTTAGTCAGAAGAAGGGTATAGAGAGTGGGGGGCTTTTCCTCTTCATTCTCTACTTAAAACAGCCCTCTTCCAACAGTGTTCTTTTAAAATAAGTAGGAGATGACAAATTGTACTTTCATGCATCTGTTTGCAATGTTGATGAGACAGGCGCTTGCAAAGCCTGCTATTCTCTGTGAGGTTTGGTCCCATTTGCACTTTCTCCTCCAGCTCCAGCAGTCATTGCTTCTTAAGAACTCTGTTATACATCCTATTTTTTTTTGCTGATAGGATAAATGTATGTGTCAGCTAAGTGGAAACTTTGAGATTGCAACTTGAAATGTTGTCTGTGGTATGGTGCAATGCAGCTTGTCATGTTCTCCAAAGTTCCTTGTCTCGCTGGAGCCTTCTTCCCCTGTTTCTCTGTCCGTTCTGTGCTTTTCCTCAAGTCTCACTTTCCAGCTCTTCTCACGGGTTCCTCTTTTTTCAGTCCATTGCCTTGCTGCATGCCTCCACCGGCCACCTTGCCTCCGGCCTCTCCACCCCTTCATTTTACTATCTCCTGTGATCTCTTTCTAGTCCCCAGCTTCCCCATAAAGCTCTGCCTCTCCCTAGGGCCTGTGTGGTGTTTTAATCTTAGACAAAATGACAAAGTTCTTTTTCAGACTAGAAGTTGAACTGACTGAGCAACTGTGCTCACTCAGCTGTTAGATAATAATCTGTCTGGGGCTTTTCCATCAGAAGTGTAATACGATATAGTGAGTACCCCCCTTTAATTAAAAAAATTATAGACATAGTTTCTTTTTGCATATCACTGTCTTAGAATCATAGAATCATAGAGTTGGAATAGACCACAAGGGCCATCGAGTCCAACCCCCTGCCAAGCAGGAAACACCATCAGAGCACTCCTGACATATGGTTGTCAAGCCTCTGCTTAAAGACCTCCAAAGAAGGAGACTCCACCACACTCCTTGGCAGCAAATTCCACTGTCGAACAGCTCTTACTGTCAGGAAGTTCTTCCTAATGTTTAGGTGGAATCTTCTTTCTTGTAGTTTGGATCCATTGCTCCGTGTCCGCTTCTCTGGAGCAGCAGAAAACAACCTTTCTCCCTCCTCTATGTGACATCCTCTTATATATTTGAACATGGCTATCATATCACCCCTTAACCTCCTCTTCTCCAGGCTAAACATGCCCAGCTCTCTTAGCCGTTCCTCATAAGGCATTGTTTCCAGGCCTTTGACCATTTTGGTTGCCCTCCTCTGGACACGTTCCAGTTTGTCAGTGTCCTTCTTGAACTGTGGTGCCCAGAACTGGACACAGTACTCCAGGTGAGGTCTGACCAGAGCAGAATACAGTGGCACTATTACTTCCCTTGATCTAGATGCTATACTCCTATTGATGCAGCCCAGAATTGCATTGGCTTTTTAGCTGCCGTGTCACACTGTTGGCTCATGTCAAGTTTGTGGTCAACCAAGACTCCTAGATCCTTTTCACATGTACTGCTCTCAAGCCAGGTGTCACCCATCTTGTATTTGTGCCTCTCATTTTTTTTGCCCAAGTGCAATACTTTACATTTCTCCCTGTTAAAGTTCATCTTGTTTGTTTTGGCCCAGTTATCTAATCTGTCAAGGTCGTTTTGAAGTGCAATCCTGTCCTCTGGGGTGTTAGCCACCCCTCCCAGTTTGGTGTCATCTGCAAATTTGATCAGGATGCCCTTGAGTCCATCATCCAAGTCGTTGATAAAGATGTTGAATAAGACCGGGCCCAAGACAGAACCTTGTGGCACCCCACTAGTCACTCTTCTCCCGGATGAAGAGGAACCATTGATGGGCACCCTTTGGGTTCGGTCAGCCAGCCAGTTACAAATCCACTGAGTGGTAGCATAGTCAAGACCGCATTTTACCAGCTTCTTTACAAGAATATCATGGGGCACCTTGTCGAATGCCTTGCTGAAATCAAGGTAGGCTACATCCACTGCGTTCCCTTCATCTACCAGGCTTGTAATTCTGTCAAAAAACGAGATCAGGTTAGTCTGACATGACTTATTTTTCAGAAATCCATGCTGACTATTGGTGATCACAGCATTCATAGGTGCATATGGTTGCTGGCCCTGGGTTTTAGGCGTATAATCTAATATTTGATCATTTTCAAGTTTGTGAAAATTTTAGGGCCTTCTTTAATGACCTTAAGTAGCCCTGTTTGTATTGCGGAACTTTGCTAAACTTAGGGGTAATGAATGCCTTTCTATTTTTCCTTCAGCATTACTTGCAGAATAAAACAACCAAGGCAGAGTCATAAAGTTTGTTTTGTCAGTTCTCTGTTGTGTGACCCCTTAAACTGGCTGCCTTGGCATGTCACAATAAACCATGGTTAATGTTTAACTTAACTTGCTCAGAGGTCCCCACTTCTACTGTCTCTGCAAGCAACAAACCAAAATCCTTGGCTTGTCCTGTTGTCCAAACCTGGGTTCATCACATTTGTTAGCATTACCCAAGTATGGCAGTTTGCTTAGAGAAAGCAATTGTAGACCTTGAAGAGAACACACCCCAGTAAAGGAGATAATAGATATGGAATAGAACAAAGCTTATTTTGCGGGTTCAAGCTCTTTAGTTCTTTCATAGGTTTTCTGATAAAACTTTTTAAAAAATGTTTGTGCAAATAAAGGACTGTAACTTCAACATCATCTGGTGATTTGGTTTTCTAAAACTGTCTTGATTCTCCACCTATGGAACAGATTTTGTAAAGGCATAATATTATTTTAATTTAGTTCCTGGTTTCTTTAAAAATAATAATAATAGCAAGACTCTTCTTATTACCAATAGTTTTTTCCCTTCTAGAATGTCTCAGTGAAAGAACAGATTTGTGTTCAACTGTTGACAGTATTATGCTGACGTAAGCCAAAAATGCATAGAACAATCAGTGTTTTCAGTAACAAAATGATCTCCGTAATCACTCTTTCTCCAGAGCTGCGTGGAACTGAATAGGTCTATAGTTATGAGGCAATATTTCTGTGTCCAGTGTAGAATTAAATCCTTTTATGAGCCAAAATATGATCTAAGAAGCACAGGCAAGACAGGATGGGTGCCTCAGCCTGCGGTCTCCATTTTGTCTGGCTTCATGGTTACAATATCTAGCTTAATTTTTCTACATTATGATTATGATTATGATTATTTTCTTTATTGTTTCATAATGTTTATACAAAGTCTGGTTGTTAAATAAAAAGGCACCTCAAAGCTGTTTACAAAAAGTTAAAACAAGAAAATCAAGAAAAATTCACAACCGTACTTCAGAACATACAAAAGTTCAAATACTAAAACAGATTAAAATCACCTCAATTATCTAAGCTTTATTTTTCACCCCGTGGTTCCCTACTTAGTAACATCTTGCCAAACGAAGAGTTCTAAAAGCATTCAAAATGTTTGTGACTTTTCTTTTAGGCCTAATGAAGATACTGTTAAATACTGGCATTTGAGCCTCCCCAGCCTGGTGCCCTTTCAGGTGTTTTTGCCTACAAAGGTTGTTTGGGACTGAAGGGATTGTAGTCCAAAAAATCTGGAGGGCACCTGGTTTGGGCACGTTGTTTCATAACCTACCAAAGCTACGCTGAGCTGGTTCCCAAGTATGGAATCAAAGAATCATAAAACTACTATCTTAAACACTTCCCACACTATCAGACTAACAAGATGTTGTAAACACTCTGAATTATGATAACATCCTTTAGTACAAAAATTACAACCAATCTGAATGAGAAGACTTGTTAAGCTGTATTTCCCTCCTTTAAAAGGGTTTTCCTGCCTGCTGTAGCAAGGGTAATGCACTGTGCTAGGTGCTGTATGGTTTTTAATTGTATTTTTTATAGAAATGCAAAAGACCACCTGAATGAATTTTGCAGACTGCAATTTGGAAATCACAGCTATAGAAAAAAAATTAGGTTCATTGGACTAACTGGCCTAGTTCCCATCTTTGTTGATAAGAATTCCAAAGTTGGCAATTATTTTATAAATAAGGGTTTTTTTGGCCTTGTTAGCAATGGTCATTTAAAAAAGCAAGTTGGTAATTTTATAAATCACATTCAAATTTCCCTTTGATTGGTTGGTAGCTAGCTGAGATAAATACTTTAAAACTCATATAATCTCTTAATGAAAGATGAAGGCATATTATAAAAGTGTCAGATTTGGTAATACTGATGAAATGTTGCGTGCTATTGAGCCATCTCATGTGCCCTGTTAAGATATGAATTTGAACCCCTTCTTTGATGTGATTCTAATTTTGATCATAGCCAACATTCAAAATTTGCCATGCGCATTTTGCTGTTGGCCACTTGCTACCAGCTGAAGGTGCCCAGGTGCCAGGATTGCGTTTGAAGTCTCTTCATCAGCCTAGATCAGGCGTGTCCAACTCCCAAGAGACCGCGATCTTGCAGTGATCATTATCATTGAGCTTTTTTGGACATGCCTGGCCTAGATGAACAAACTGTTCTGCACCTCCAACTTGTTCTGCAGGTTCTCCCAATCATCCATAGCAGATTTGGGGGTTCATGGGAACTACAGGGTAAAGAAGTAGTAACTTTGCAAGAGAGGAAATCTGTTCCAGATACAACTCAAATTTGTTCTGCTGTATGCCTTTTTAAGGACACAGTATGACTTTCTGAAACTACGGTAATTTGGCAAAAGTAGACCTGTTGGGAATCAGGAGCTTAGATCCTTCAGTCCTTTCTTACCCATATTATTTGGTATCTTTTCTTTGCACCTTGAGGTTGTACTTAGCTCTCATTTGTTTTCCTACAGTCCAGTTATTCAAAGTACCATATTTTTCCATGTATAACACCCCCCTTCCCCGTGTATAACACGACCCCTATTTTTGGGGACTCAAAATAGAGGAAATGAGGGAAGATTGCACAAAGATTGCTTTTTCTAGGGGGGATTGCCCAAAGTTGTTGAGCTTTTTTGGGGGAGCGATTGCCAACAATCACTCACCCGCCTGACCGCCAATGCCAATCACACGCATCCACGAAGCCAATAACCGTCTGACTGCTCGCCACCAGCAGCCGACAATCGCACATCTGATTGCCACAGCAGACCTTGCCACAGCCATCATTCACCCCACCAAATGCCAATGACAATCTCCTGCTTGCGGCAGCCACCAATCGCATGTCCCATCTCAGCACTACCCGTGTATAAGGCGACCCCAAATTTTAAGCATTGTTATTTAATTTAAAAAAAAACACCTCATCTTAAACACAGAAAAAACGGTATATGTGTTCACATGCTTAATAAGTTAAATAAAAATTGCCCTGTTTTCTCTGGAAATTGATCTATTGGTGTTTCATTCTTAAATTTCAGTAATCCCAGAGGATTTTAAAAATAGATTTGTAATCCAGCCAATACAAATATCTCAAGGTGCATAACAAACTTTCTCCATTTATTAATAGGTCCCGTTGATGATTATCCGTGGGTATGTGAAAGACTGATGTGGCCAGGCTCAGGACAAATTCCAAACATTGGGTGATTTCACTCAGTGTAGACCCATTGAAATTAAAGGCTCTAACTTACCGGTATGTTTATTTCAGTGGGTTTACTCTGAGTAGAACTTGATTACCTTCAGTTGTGTCTTAGCTTTTTTCCAAATCACAATTTGCTTCCTTTTGAGAGTTACCGTATTTTTCGCTCTATAAGACGCACCAGACCACAAGACGCACCTAGTTTTCGGAGGAGGAAAACAAGAAAAAAAATATTCTGAATCTCAGAAGCCACAACAGCAAGAGGGATCACTGTGAAGTGAAAGCAGCGATCCCTCTTACTGTTCTGGCTTCTGGGATAGCTGCGCAGCCTGCATTCGCTCCTTAAGACGCACACACATTTCCCCTTACTTTTTAGGAGGGAAAAAGTGAGTCTTACAGAGCAAAAAATATGATAACTGGTAGGCAGCGTGGAAGATTGCTCCATGGTGGCATCTGTTTCCTGAATGCTTAGGTTGTAGAAAAGTCATTGTGCTGTAGTAAGCAGGAGGTCAGTGCCAAAACATGGGAGGCTTTGTGAGAAATCTGAAAAAGTTGTTAAACTAAATTTGATAATATAGCTGGCATAATCCACATAATGGGGTAGCCGGTGGGTCTCAGACCCTCTGTGCGTTAGGGACTTCCCTTGCACGCAAAGAAAGGCTCTAGCGGATTGAGTGGAGGAGACTAATAGTGCGTCCATTGTTCAAGAAGGCGAGGAAAGGTAGCCCACCTAGGAGAAGGAACACTCTGATCCTAAACCTCCACTGCCTTCTTCGTTTCCCCCCTCCTTGCTGCCTGTATGAAATGGGCCGGAAGGCTGGAGGCTTACCACCCATTATGTAGACACAGGGAGGAGCTAGGAAAGAGCAGTGGTTCCTACTGTTGACTTGGCAGGACTGACTGAGCTCTCTTGGAACCAGATGGCAGTGTAGTGTCTATGGTTGTTTTTGGCATCCGTCTGTCTCGGGAGACTATGGAAGACTCTGCGTCTGGGGTTACAACACCTGCTGTGGCTTTAGAGACAGACACGGGAGAGACATGTTTTGTTGCAGCTGGGGCAGGTGAAAGTGTTCATTGTGCTCCTGCAGATGCACCATGGCGTTTCTTCTATCTGTGCTCCTCCCAGCAGTCATCCCTCTGCTGGTCACTGCTGTGGATACACAACCTTGACTGAGTGTTTCTGGATGCTGGGGTCGTCTGCAAGGGATTCTCAAATGGCAGTGGTTGTTATTGCCAGCCTTCAAGTCTTGTTTGCACCTTTGTAACACAGAGTTGGTCTGCCAACAGGTTTGGTGCCTGAAGCCAGCTCCCTGGAGATCTCCCTTGGGGATCCTGCCATCTTCCGTTCTGTAGACATGGGCAAGCCAGCGTAGACATTGCTGAGACAGGAGTGTGAACGTGCTGGGAATGTGGGTTTGGGAGAGCCCATCTTTGAGACTCTGTCCTGCCATGTGATGCCCAAAATCTTCCTGACACAGCATATGTGGCTCCTGGAAATTGTGAATTGCCTGTGGCTCACTTCCATAAAGCAGCGTGCTCAACACATAAGCCTTGTAGACCTTCATCTTGGTATTGGATATTAGCATCACATTCTACCATGCCCTTCTGGAGTGGTAAGCCATTGCCGTAGCTGGTAGGATAGCATCAAACAACCAGGACCAATCTAATTCATGCACACGGTCAGATAGATGTATATAAATTCAGCAAATAAATTAAATAAATAAGACGACAGCAGAATACAGTGGTACCTCGCAAGACGAATGCCTCGCAAGACGGAAAACTCGCAAAACGAAAGGGTTTTTGGTTTTTTGAGCTGCTTCGCAAGACGATTTTCCTTATGGGCTTGCTTCGCAAGACGGAAACGTCTTGCAAGTTTGTTTCCTTTTTCTTAAAACCGTTAATACAGTTGCGACTTGACTTCGAGGAGCAACTCATAGCACACGGTGTGGTAGCCTTTTTTGAGGTTTTTGAAGACTTTGGTGATTTTTGAAGCTTTTCCAAAACTTTTCCGACACCGTGCTTCGCAAGACGAAAAAAACCGCAAGACGAAAAAACTCGCGGAACGAATTAATTTCGTCTTGCGAGGCACCACTGTATGAAGTTGATATGTATGTAGAATGTTGTACATAGCAGTCTGACTTGAACTGGGGTTTGAATTTTAAAAAGATAACTTGTTTGTTGGACTAACGGATTCCCACCAACCCCTTGGAGTTGCCATGCTTTGTGCTTTGTCTCTCGCCTCTCTCCCCTTGAGGTTCTGCTGAATAAAAAGGATCACAATACAGTCACAATCTATTTTCCCTTCTGCTACAGAAACCTTTGTTTGTGATCACATAGACCCTAGCCTAAGTACGTTATGCAGTTAAGTCAGTTGTACAGTTCTTTCAGAGTTTAGGGTTCATTTGTGAAGCAGTTGGAATAAGAAGGGCAGCTTCCCAAAATAAAGAGGAAGAATAAAAAAGGGAAGAGGCAGGGAGAGAGGAGTTGGAAACTATAGCTGCTCAGACAGTGGAACAAATATGAAGGAAAAAAAGCTCAGCTCACAGCTGACTTAATCCTGCGGGGAGGCAGTTCTGTGCATCTCCTGCTAAAGGCTTTAATTCAGACTGAAAGTGGCTCTTGGGATTTCACTTCACTGTGTACCAGAGAGATGCCCAGCAATGCTTCAAAAGTGACACTTGAAATGACAATCCTCCTAGAATGGCGTGGTGCACCCAGGTATCTTGCTGTGTGCTAAATGAGCTGGAAATGGGTGTGCACAAGATGTGCCTTTTCTCTCTCTTGTGGCTGCCGCATGAAGAGAACAGGACCTTGCTTCTGGGTTCAGGAACAACAGAATCATCATGATGAGGTCCTTCTTTGGGGGATAGGGTAGTTGACTGTGCTTCTGTTTTCGTGCTGAACTCTTGCTTGCTTTTCCTGGATAGTTAGGAAGGAAATTTTCATCTTTGGAAATCTTAATCATTTTTCATTTGGACTATCTGTAGATAGAAATATATATTTAACATTCTGCCATTACAAGCCTATCAGCTTGCCGGATGGAAGTGTCTCCTGCCACTCTCCCTGCGTGCAGATCTGGGGGTTGTCTTGACAGACACACCCGCAAGACAATTTTGGGAGGCGTGCAGGGGAACGGAAGGGAGGAACCTCCATTATGCAAGCAGAAGCCCTTGGACAGGGCTTTTGTTGATAGGGTTTTTTAGGTGAATGGTGCCCTTTTTGTATACAGTCATACTTCATGTTACGTTTGCTTCAGGTTGAGCGTTTTCAGGTTGCGTCCCGCGGCAACCCGGAAGTACTGGAATGGGTTACTTCTGGGTTTCACTGCTCGCGCATGTGCGGACGCGCAAAATGATGTCACACACATGTGCAGAAGCGGCAATTCACGATCCACGCGCAGACGCAGGTTGCGAACGGGCCTCCGGAACAGATCCCATTCTCAACCAGAGGTACCACTGTATATATACTATATACACACTGTCTGTCTATGCATCTAGATACACATATGTGTACATATACAGATTAGTAATTTTCAAAGCAATGGGCATTGCATCTGAAACTTAGTCTGGAGAAGTCTGTTGGGAACAGATTAAGTCAGTTGTATGACTTTTATTCAATCAGCCCGTGAAACCAGACTGTTAGGTAAACAAAACAATTCCATGAGAATTAATGAGTTGTGTTGATAAGACTTGCCTCCTTCCTCCCCTTCAGCCTCTTTGTCGACCTGCCTGACATGTGCAGAACACCTGGGAAGCTCAGTCAATAGAGCCTCAGACTCTTAATCTCAAGGTTGTGGGTTCGAGCCCCACGTTGGGCAAAAGGTCCCTGCATTGCCGGGGTTGGACTAGACAGCCCTCGTGGTCCCTTCCAGCTCTACAGTTCTCTGATTTTAAATACACATTTGTTGCATGCATGTGTTATGCTTTTTAGATGCTCATGTAAAATACTTTGCATGGACACTCTTCTAAAAATATGTGCAAGAAGGCAACCAGAGAACTGTGCTGTTTTGCTTCAGAACAGGGCCTGATAATATCTATTGACTACATAGCTTGCAGGTATCTTGATTTTACTAGACTCCTGTGTCAAAGCCAGGGCATGCTTTGGAGAATGCATTTCCTATTTTCTTATGACCTTCCTCCTCTAAAAATAATTCACCTTTTAAGTCTTTCCTGGTCTGCCCCTGGATTAGTCAGAGGTTTGGCTAATAAAAATCCCTTCTGCTAATGTTCTTGCTGTACTTGATTTGCTCTTTAGGTAGTCTCTGAATGGTACTGTTGAAAAGCTGCCTGGTGTAATTAAAAGTTTCTGCATAAGCCAGTGTCATTTCTGCTGCTGACTGTGTTGACACCTCGGGAACCCTTTCTGCCTGATCTTGCACTAAAGGGATTGGGTGGTAGTGGCTTCCTTGAGTTGGACTCCAGTTCTTAAACTTATTGGATTCCGCTCCCTCTTGTTTACTAAGTTTTAAGCAAACCATGGTTCAGAAAGGGTTCTGCATTGGCACATAACACCTGGCCACAGTTAGAACAAACCAAGGTTTTTAAGTCAACACAAACATGACTTCAGATTGGCTTGGCTTGCATGTAACACTAAGCCAAAGATGGCTTAATGTGAATGTGCAAACATGCTGGTGGTACATGGAAAATAGTGGCCGCTTTGCTACTTCTCTTTCTGCTTTGTTGCTCTAGTGGGAGATAAACCATGGTTTGGCTTGATGTTACAACTGAACTTGGCCTTGTGATTTGTTTCACTGCAAACAAACCGCAAGCTGTAACCAAGGTTTTTTTTCATGGCTTACCAAACACCATTAAGCCATTAGGTGGAGTTTGGACAATTAAACAAACTACAGTTAATTTCTGTGCACTGCTCTTGTTCACCAGAAGTGGCTTAGTCATGCTGGCCACATGACCTGGAAGCTGTATGCCGGCTCCCTCGGCCAATAAAGTGAGATGAGCACCACAGTCTGGGCTAAAACACTGTTTACCCATGCTGTGTTGTAGGTAAAAGAAAACCTTGACTAGAGTTGGAAGAGATACTGCAGTTTTCTGCAAGCTATTGGGAGCAGAGCAGGATTTGAGAGTTCTTGATTGCTCAGTAGTATTGCATCAAGCTTTCTGTTTACTGATGGTCTAGCTGCTGTGAATAAAACATTAGCCCTGGGCTGAACTGTTGTGTTATAAAGGCTGAAAAGAATTCAAAGCTTGTGATTGTGTTGGTGATAAGAAGGAATAAGGAGGGATATTTAAGTTGTATCTGTCTACACACACACACACACACACACACACACACACACAAAAAAAAACACAATTGCTAGTGCATGAATTGGCTTTTGCATTGCAATAATCTAAACTTTACCAGAGGTACACATGTTATGTAAGAACATGTAACATGAGGGCAAAAGAGAAAGGAATAAAAGATGACAATCTCATCGGCGTGGATGGCAGAAATGTAGAAACTGATGACGGCTGGAGCTGATTCACCACACAAATAAGATATTTGGGGGTCAGTTGTGCTTATTTCAAACTAATTAGCTGGCATCTGCCGGGGATTACACTTTTGATTAAGTTTGTAAAGTCTTTCTGGTTTTATAGTCTTAGCTGTGGATGCTATCTTGTATCTCTGAGAGAAGTATTTAAGAGATTAGCAACTGGCTGATCCTCGTAAAACAGTGTGTCAGCAGTTAATGTTTTTATGGCAGATTTCTGTGCACATAATAGTTTGGTCATCTGGAGAGAGAAGTTATTCAGATATTAGTATCATAGATAAGAGTGCAAAAATGACCGTAATAAATTCCAACAAAAATTTAAGTCATTTGCAACGTTAGAGCAATCTGATGGAGGCTCCTTCAGAGCAGATTTGGGGAGGGAACTGCAGCGAGCAGCATTCAAAATTCACCAAGTGCATTTTGCACTTGGCTATCAGTCACTTAGGGACGTGGGTGGCTCTGTGGGTTAAACCACAGAGGCTAGGACTTGCCGATCAGAAGGTTGCCAGTTCAAATCCCTGTGACGGGGTGAGCTCCCGTTGCTCGGTCCCTGCTCCTGCCAACCTAGCAGTTCGAAAGCACGTCAAAGTGCAAGTAGATAAATAGGTAGACTTTACAAAGACTTCGGCGGGAAGGTAAACGGCGTTTCCGTGCGCTGCTCTGGTTCGCCAGAAGCGGCTTAGTCATGCTGGCCACATGACCCGGAAGCTGTACGCCAGCTTCCTCGGCCAATAAAATGAGATGAGCGCCGCAGCCCCAGAGTCAGCCACGACTGGACCTAATGGTCAGGGGTCCCTTTACCTTTTTATCAGTCACTTGCAACCAAGTGAAGATGCCTGGGTGCCAGGATGGTGCCTGACATCTCCATTATCGGGAGGTGCATGCTTGGGTCTTGACTGTTTTCACACACTAGCAACACATTCTGTAGAATTATGTCTGTTATATTTTATCTGCACAACCAGAATGAATTTCAGGAACCAAAAAGTCATATTGAAAAATACAGCTTTTCAAGCCGTCTGACCCAAAAATGGCAACTAGGCATTCCCTTTTGGTGACTGCAACCCTGGTTTAAGGAGCCATTTGGCTCCCAGCTTATATACCTGAGTTTCTAACACTGGCAGACAGGAAAGGAATAAGTCCTATCACTTCAGCTCACACAGCATTTGTTACTTGTCCCATTCGCGCTGCTCACATTTCTAGTAAAATATTGTACATGCATGCCTTGATCATTTTCTATCCAAATTATGGAAACATGTTTGGAAACAGCGGCTGGTGCAAAATGCTGCAGCCAAATTTATGTTGGTCTTAGACCAACTGTACTGTCTTCCAGTTAGTTTTCTGGGCTCAATTCAAGGTGCTTCTTTCCTACCCTTAAGGCCTCTAAGTGTGTGTCAAATAATTATTTGCAGTGTATACAACAAAAAAAACAAGAAACAGTAACAATGAGCTAATCTGCTGGGAAGGCCATAGAGATGCATTACTCCAAAATGGGTGTGTGTTGTTTGTTTAAACCATAATGTTGTTTTGAGTATGAGAAAACAAGATGAAAATCTGTCATCCTTTCACATCTTGGGTTTCTTCCTTGGCAACAACACCACAGATACCTCCGTAGAACGTTTCATATTTCCTCCCTATAACTACTTTTTAGTGTAAGCGAGGGTTGAGTAGTAACAACAGCGAGAACTACAGATGACAGCAAAGTCATGGCCTCTGGGAAAAGTGATTTGCTTGTAATATTCGGCTTGGTGCTCATTCGGCTGACAATATTTTTGAACTTCGTAGGACCAAACAAAATTTGCATTTTTGTTTTGCATCTACAACTGGTTGAGAACTCTTGCAAACACACAAAAGAGAAGTACGGACTCTTCCTAATGGTGCGTCAATATGGAAATGTCCAGAAATGGTGCCAGTTGGGTTCAGTGGTGGTTCTTTCTGCCCTCTGCTTCAGCTGCTCATAGAAGACCATTCCAGAAGGGGAGGCGCCAGTGGGTGGCATGTTAAGTGTGGGATTGAAGTGCTTTTGTGAGAGAATGTTGCAATATGTGAAATGGCCCTTAAATGCTGTAACTAAAACTCTATTGCTTTTCTTGTATCCTCCCCATGGGAAAATGAGTTAATATTAGGGGTATCCAGAATTTTCCAGAAAACCAGTACAGTCATACCTTGGGTTACAGACGCTTCAGGTTGCGTGTTTTTGGGTTGCAGACCGCCAAAACCTGAAAGTACCGGAATGGGTTACTTCCGGGTTTCAGCGGCCGCACATGCGCAGAAGCACCAAATCTTGCTTTGCGCATGCGCAGACGCACCAAATCGCAACCCACCCATGCACAGACACGGCGCTACGGGTTGCAGACGCTGTGGGTTGCGAACGTGCATCCTGCAGAGATCACGTTTGCAACCCGAGCGTCCACTGTATAAGTTGCTTTTTTAAAAAAGATTCAGGAAATAAGTGGCAAGATAAGACTGTTTGATGCAGTTGCTTATGGCTTACCAAGCTACTTTTCCATATCCGTTATATGAAGGCATGGGACCCATTGGGGTTAATGTCGGTATTCCATGTTGGGGTTAATCCTTAATGGCTGGCGAGGCTTCCAAGTCCAGTTAGCCAAATCCTCAGCTAGCACTTGTGTCCATTTTTTGAATGAGAACCACTAATGATGGGGAAATGCTAAAGATTCTTCCTCCCTTTCTTTTACAGAACTGTTCGTGTGTGGCTGAAGAGAGACAGTGGTCAGTATTGGCCTAGCATATACCATCCACTGCCTTGTAAGTATTTGCAACCTTTAGTCCATTTTAATTCTCAGTTTTCAGCACCACTCCCATCAATAATTAGCTGTTGGGAACACAGTGTGGATCTTCCATAATTCTGATGGCAATTAAATATGTTGAACTTTCAAAATAAAAAGTATTCTGGTGTTTGACAAATATAATCAATGTGACACTTGTGTTCTTGGACTCCACTTTCTGTCTGTGTCCATTCACTATTGGCTGAGGCTGATGGGAGCAACATGTGGAGGGCATCCTATAGGCTACCCTGACCTATGATGTTCCTATAGCATTGAATAGCCTTCCGTTTTGAGATTCCCTAAGACATGAAAAAGAAAACATTGATAGGAAGAAAGTTAACTTAAATATGTGTAGTACTTCAGGCGGTGTGTTAACTTAAAATCAAAAGCTCAGCTTAATTGTTAGCAAGATGCATTTTCTGTGTCACTATTAAAATAAATACAGCAGAACCAAAATTAGTTTAAAAACCAGAATTGATTATCTCTCAGCTTCACCATTTTTCACCATTGATCAAAATCAGCTTCTTCCAGGCAACATAGGCTTTAATCAGGCTTTTTAAAAAGTCCTGTTCTCCAAAAGTGAGCTGAAGGATATTTTGAACTTTATATAATTAGGGTATATTTATCTAGCATTCGAAAGAAGCAGGCTATCAAATTGTAATGCAAGAGCCAGAACTGATACACAGGAGTATATTCATGTATCTACTGAAACAAGAATAAAGATCGCAGAAGTAGAACCTTGTCAGAACATAATGTTGCAAGGATGCCGTTTGGAAGCCAAAGCAGCACAGAACTAGGAAGTGTTTGGGGGATTTATAATCAAAGCTGTGCAGAAGAGCATGAAAATGTTGTGAATTCAGTTACCGCATTTTTCGCTCTATAGGACGCACTTTTTCCCCTTCAAAAATGAAGGGGAAATGTGTGTGCGTCCTATGGAGTGAAGACGCCATAGCCCCGCGACCCTCTCCCGGCTGGAGAGGTGACGCGCGGCTATGGCAGGAGCCTCTCCGCTGCGCCTTTCCGCTGCTCCCTGACCTGCTCTTTGGGGCTGGTGGTGGGCTTCCCCCCGCCAGCCCTCAAGAGCTAGGTCGAGGAACCTGAAGCCTGGAGAGCGAGAGGGGCCGGTGCACACCGACCCCTCTTGCTCTCCAGGCTTCAAGGTAGCCACCTGAACGCACCTTAAACGACACCTTGTTTTAGAGCGGGAAAACAAGAGGGGGAAAGTTCTCCCCCTCTCTGCGCAGCGCCTCCTGCCGCTTCGCTGAAGGGGCGCTGGGCAGAGAGGGGGAGATTTTTTTTTTCTTGTTCTCCCCCCTCTAAAACAAAGTGCGTCCTATGGTGCAAAAAATACGGTATATTTCTTATCCAGTGGGGAAGCAACCATGTGTACTTATGGGAGGAGCAGTAGACTAATCCACACCTGGTTGCCTCATAGCTGATTTGAGGAGCTGAAATATAGCACAGCTTTGTCCTGGGCGTTGGACAGCACATTCATCCCAAGCTTGCCATGTGCTTCCTGTTCCGAAACTTTAATCCCCAGTTCATGCTTCCTAGAGCTGAGAACCTGGAGACACTGAGTATCATAGAACTGTAGAGTTGGAAGGGACCACGAGAGTCATATTGTTCAACCCCCTGCAATGCAGGAATCTTTAGCCCAATGGGACTTGAACCACAACCCTGCAATTAAGAGTCTCATGCTCTGCCCACTGAGGTATCCCAGCTTGCCCCCTCTGAAAGCCTTGCTCCCCAAAAGTGCATTTAAAAGGTTCACCAGCAACAGGTGACATGCACTAGATTCCTATCTTCCCATCCCTGTCTCCCACACTGTCATAAAGCTGCCTTGATTGTCCTTTGACATTTGTGAGCAATAACACTAAAGGTCTTAAGTTCAACAATATGTTCATTTTCAGCTCCGTGTTCGTGCATGTGCATTAATCCAGAAACAAGGAGGCTGTCTGTCGGTCTAGATAACGGTACAATCTCAGTAAGTACACGTGATAAGATTTCTAGTTAAGATGTGCCCCCATCCACTCCCAAATCCAGGCCTCTGTGTTCCGAGAATTCCTTTTTGAGCGTTTAATTAAATGGCAGGTGAATGGAGCTGAAATCTACGGTACAGGAAATGGCACGTTGCAAGCAAATTTTATTCCTGCATTCAGTAGCACTCTCATTACTAGGGGGCTTGGATCCCATGGACACCATTTTTATAATCATGAGTAAAACATTTAAATATTAATTTATTTTATTTATTAAATTTGTGTACTGTCCTGCATCTGAAGATCACAAGGTGGTTTACAGTATATCAAAGGTGGTGTTCTGAGAAAACTCCTGATTTTTCCTACTTTATTTACTAGGTACATGGATCTGTACGGTGCCAAGAGTTCAGAGATAGGTTTGTGCAAAGAATTAGAAGCCTGCCCCGTGGACGGAAATTCCTAGCTGTAGCACGTTTCAGTAATGCTGGTTTTCAAAGGCGCTGTTAAGGGCTGGAGATCTGCGTTGTCTTGCCAGGGTTAGGAATGTTCATCTGTTGCCATCCTTCCTGTTGCACAAATCTGAGGGCCAGTAATGTGGGTTTTTGGAAATTAATCCTATGCAGATTAGGGCAATATGCATAGGATAATTTACACCATAAAACTTGCTGGTGCCCTAGATGACGGATGGGAAGCCTTTGGCAATCCAGATGTTTCCAAAATACTTCTCCCATGAACCCCAGCCAGCTTGGCTAAATAGGAACATCTGGTTGGCCAGAGATTCCCCACCCCAGCCCTAGAGAGTGATCTAATTTAGTGTGTCTATTTTACTAGCTTTTAATAAGCAAAACTGAATGGTGAAATAGCTAAGCTTGCCTAATGCAGTATTTGCAGTTTGCATCAATTCATTGTTACTAATGAACTTGTGAAACGGAAATCTTTCCATGGGAAAAAATTAAGCACTAGACATCACTGCTGAAGGGCACCTTTTTCTCCTCATCTTGAGGCTGGTAGTGCTGGCTGTCCTTTTGTTCATAGGCTACTTTCAGTTGGGAATCTCAAAATATATCCCGAAGGCGCAGTGTAGCTTCTTCCCTTTTTCTTTCCATTCCCCCTTCCCTAAGGCCCCTGTAGCTGCCTCTGTCCTTTTGCTTGTGTGAGGCAGACTACACTGAGCTAGAGGAAAACAGAAATGACCTCCTGATCTATTTTGCCACAGTCCTCGCAAATAATGAGGCATTTAGCAGTACTTGCAAACACCAGAGGAATAGTGAAGAGAGATCTGGGCAATGAAGGACCAGCTCCAAAAACATTGGATTGGTCTGAATTCAAATCAGCCAGGTCTCTTGTATTAGAGGCTTTCACCCTGCCTTTAAAGTCACCGAATTTACAACATGGCTTTCAGCAAACCGATAGAACGGTTCCACAAACGCCACATTGATATTAAAACGTGAGATAAAATGGGAAAGAATGGGAGCCAAGCAAAAAAGGACATAAAATGTGGTATCACTTCAAAGCTGATATTAAAAAAGCTCTTTTTAAAGTCCAGGAAAATGACTGTTTTAACTTGTCTGTTGTGGATTCCACCCAGTTCAGAGACTCATCCCTTGGAGTCATCTTCCCGATACTCTTTCTTTTGGGGAGGGGTGTGGATTTACTATTAATTATCCTATTGCTTGAAGCATAACTCAGCACTAATAAAAAACCAAGATATTCCCTGCTGGCAGGTTTATACTCTAAAATGTTTAACAAAACAGGAGAGAAGGGGAAAACAAGGCAACTAGGCACCAGTTCCTCAAGTCCCTGCTATCCCATGTTTCCCATCCCTCTTTTTCTGCTGCAGGTAGATGATAGTTGATGACTTTCATACAGGGGTTAGATGGTCCACTTTCCAAAATGGAAACCTTTATACAGGGAAGTACAGAGCAAACTAGCTTGGTCCCTGGAAGAATTTGCACAGTATTTGATCATTGGAGCAGCAACTTGCTGTTGGACTTACTCATTTGACTTTCTTGACCTGAGATGATACTAGAGCAGATATTAAACAGCAAACCCGTAAGCACCTAGAAGAAAGGAAGTGTTTATTAGCAGTCAGCATGGTTTTATGCCAGCACAGCTCTTTTGATCGCAATTGGCAGAGTAAACAGAAGGAAAATATTACTGGATTTCAGAAAGGCTTTTGAGGCAATTCAAATATTTTGAATGATACCTCATGGTATCTAGCTCATGGAACATGAGATAGAAGGAACTACTGTAAAATGGGTATTCGACATATGAAATGTAGCAGTAAAATATCATGGTGGGGAGACTGTCCAGTGACAATACAAAAACATTATCGTATAACCATAATCAAATCACATTATTGTTAGGGGGGGAAACCTGGTCTTATACACGGGAAAATACGGTATATTCGAGTCGCTTTTTAATTTAAGCCAGGCTTCATCATATGTACTGTATAATAGATCATTTTCTGTAATTGGAACCTTTTATTCTCTTCTAATCCTGAACAATTTGTGCACTCCCAAGAGAGGGTGGGATTCTCCTGTGATTTTTTTAAAGAATGTTTCCCGTCTCCCCTTAAGTCAGTGTGTTGCTGAATCTTCACAGCATTACAAAGCTGTGTTGTCTTTGGCATGTAAGAGTCCAAAAATCAAGGCCATTAGAGTCTTGCCTTTCTTGAGGCCTGGCTGTTGTGCAAAGGAGTCGCCCGAAGTGGAGGGAAGGAACCTCCATTTTCCTTCCTAAGCTGCAGAGAGGAAGTGGAATGGATAACAGAAATGAAACTGCCAGCAGGGAATTGACCGTAGGATATCATAAGATCAATAAGCATATTTGAGTGAGGTCAGAGTTGGATATTGATCTGTACTGGTAGTATAGTCAGCAAAGCCTGGGTTCTGTTTTATTGACAAGTTTCCAGTGATTGCTATGAGTAGCTTTTTTTCTTTTTTCACAAGGCTTATTGCTGTTAAACACTGGGATCATCTGGGTTACCATGCGGGGGTTTGTATGGCAATTCAAAATTATAAATATTTGCAAACGAACAGAACACAAAGGGCAAAGCTGGATTTCTGATTTTTTTTTCATTCGTGGATTATGAATAGAAAGTATGTGATCAAGTTGCTGGAGAACTGGGTTCTTTAATATTGTCAAATTGCAGCCGTAATGCCTGACTGGGCTCCAGAGGAAGCTATGCATGTGAGAAAGATGAGCATTTAGCTTTGCTTGTTGCGTGAAACAGCGAAAACCTCAAGCAAAGCTCTGGGCAGGGGTGCAGTTCTACCCAGGCTGATCTCTCCTCAAGATGAGCGGGTCTAAGTCTCCCTTAGATTCCACGTAATAATGGTTGCTGTTATTTTGTCTTAAAGCCATTGGGTTAAAAAAACAAAACAAACTTGGGTGAAATTTACAGATTTTCAGTTTCTCCTCATGACTTTGTGCTTCTTGTTGTTTAGTCGTTTAGTCATGTCCGACTCTTCGTGACCAGAGCACGCCAGGCACTCCTGTCTTCCACTGCCTCCCGCAGTTTGGTCAAACTCATGCTGGTAGCTTCAAGAACACTGTCCAGCCATCTCGTCCTCTGTCGTCCCCTTCTCCTTGTGCCCTCCATCTTTCCCAACATCAGGGTCCTTTCCAGGGAGTCTTCTCTTCTCAGGAGGTGGCCAAAGTATTGGGGCCTCAGCTTCAGGATCTGTCCTTCCAGTGAGCACTCAGGGCTGATTTCCTTAAGAATGGAGAGGTTTGATCTTCTTGCAGTCCATGGGACTCTCAAGAGTCTCCTCCAGCACCATAATTCAAAAGCATCAATCCTTTGGTGATCAGCCTTCTTTATGGTCCAGCTCTCACTTCCATACATCACTACTGGGAAAACCATAGCTTTAACTATACGGACCTTTGTTGCCAAAGTGATGTCTCTGCTTTTTAAGATGCTGTCTAGGTTTGTCATTGCTTTTCTCCCAAGAAGCAGGCGTCTTTTAATTTCGTGGCTGCTGTCACCATCTGCAGTGATCATGGAGCCCAAGAAAGTAAAATCTCTCACTGCCTCCATTTCTTCCCCTTCAATTTGCCAGGAGGTGATGGGACCTGGCAAACAGAAGGGGAAGAAATGGAGGCAGTGCTGCCTTCATGTAAATTTGTCATCTTTTTGAGATCTGTGCTAAGCCGGGTTTCTGAGATACCCACATTTACCTTTCTTATTGAGTACTTTATAGAATAAAAAAATTGGGATAGGATTTTGGTGGTGGTAACGATGCTTTTCCTGTCATTGCTGGCATCCCCTCGTTTTGTCCTCGCTATTTAGTTCCTCGTTTGATTTCTTCCTCAAAGCTGCCTTGCACAACTTTCCCTTCTGCTTCTTAATCTAAATCACATGCCTGCCTAAAGACACAGATGCTTGGTGTGAACGAACAGTACTCATGAGTCTCGTTGTCAGTATTGTGAAACGGTAACATCAGTGTGGCATAGAAGTCTCGCTTCCTTGGGCTCAAAGGAGCCAGTTCACTTTCACCCAAGTGTTAGCTTCCTGTTGAATTAGAATGAGACACGAGTAATGAGCACTATTTCCTTGGCAATAGTTCTTTGCACATGTATATGTTTGTCTTGCCAGTTGGGGGGCTGTTATAATCAGACACAAGGTTCTGGATATCTGACTGACTTACCATCGGGGAAAAAAAGAACCAGTGCCTGCCAGTGCAAATTATTTCCCTGTTCATTTGTATATTTAACTGTTGTGTAAGCAATCTTTTAAAAGACAATTTTACTTTTAAAAGACAACTGAAGGCAGCCCTGTTTAGTGAAGTTTGTAATGTTTAATGTTGTGTTGTTTTTAATATTCGGTTGGAAACAGCCCAGAGTGGCTGGGGAAACCCAGCCAGATGGGTGGGGTATAAATAATAAATTATTATTATTATTATTATTATTATTATCATCATCATCATCATCATCTTGCATGAGTTCTATGAAGGCAGCCTATGAATATTTCCTGTAAGAAAATAAAATAAAATAAATAAAATAAAATAAAATAAAATAAAATGGTTCCATATACCTGACAAAAAGGGGAGCAGGGAGAAGCAGAAACTGAATCTGAGGGTGGCTCTCTTGGTGTGTTCTCCGTGGAAATAGGAATTTCCTTCCGCAGCTAGTAAACACGCACACTGCTTCTAGCCCATTGCTGTAGTGCATCTCTGCTGTTGGAGGATGGAGTAAGGAGGGACTGCTGTATGCCCACAAGTGTATTGAGGAAAGCAAAGATATGCAAGCCATTCTGTGGACTTTCCGCAGCTATCCCCAGAGTGTGAAGAGGCCGAGAAGACAGACCAGGGATATAGGTTCCATGTGATACCATACACAGCTCTTCTGTATTGCTAACTGGGCAGATGGAGTTGATGAGCTTAACTTTCCACATGTTGATCTAAAAAGATGCGACTCCAGTCCAGAGCAATGAACAAAGTGATAAATTCTTGGATTTTAACAAGAAACATTACATTGCAAACTACTCTGTAGATATCTACTTCGTACTTCACATTCTAAAGTGGCTACTTTGTTATTTTCCAGGAATTTATTTTATCAGAAGATTACAACAAGATGACTCCACTTAAAAGTTACCAGGGTAAGAGATGCAATCCTACTTGTAGAAGGAAAAAAAAAAAGAGGTTTACTTTGCTCTTATCTTGCCTCGTAGGCCTTCAAAACGAGAAACCACGTAGGCTTATGGATATTTAGATCAGCTCTTTTTAAAGTTCCAGCAGGCCTGAGACTGTTTCCTGGGAAAGTTTAGAATGGTTTTGCAAACAAGCCAAAACATCTCCAAAACGTTTAATCTGTTCTGTCCTCTTCACTGTTAGATTATGGATTATGAAGTAATAGTTTGGCTGCTATTGTGTTTATTTTTTTGAAATGAATTCATTTTTTTAAAAAGAGAACTTGATCATTTTTCAAGTATGCACTTTGAAAATATCAAGTGAGTTTGAAATGAGTTGTATACTTCCCAGACCTATTGCTTTTGTGTGAAAACATAGTATAGTAACAAAACCACCACATTCAGGTAGGTAGCCGTGTTGGTCTGATGCAGTCGAAATAAATTAAAAAATTAAAAAATTGTCCAATACCACATTAGAGACCAACTAGGTTTGTTCTGGGTATAAGCTTTCATGTCCATGCACACTTCTTCAGATACCACATGGTTGCAGAAGATGAGATTCAGAGGCCAAATGAAGGGGCAGTTTGCTGTGTATGGATCAGAATGATCACCCACACCTCAAAACACTGTCAGGAGAATCACAGGGACAGAGTGAAAGGCATTTAAAGAATGACATTACATTTCTATGCATCTCATTTATTGTTCTGTTCCGTGTTTTGTCGCTTACAAAGCGAAATCAGCTCAGCCTCTTCCCTATGTGTGGCATCTTTCAGGCCCCCAGATCCATAGCAAATCCCTTAGGAATTGCTGAACTCTTTTTTAAATAGAGCAGGAAATAGTTCTGGAAGCTTTGTGCACTTCAAAAAGGCAGCCTTGTGCATTGGACTCCACAAAGAACATGTAACCTCAATGATAGTTAAATCTGTAGTTCTCAAAGCTATAAGGTGATCATTTATATTTAAGGTCTCCTAGAGCTGCTCAGCTCTGGCCTCTTTAAAAAAAAGCACTGCTTTCATCATAATTTTATACCTGTTTGGTCTGTACACTGTGCTTGCAGTTTGCATTTGGTTTTTCAAAGCCTGTGGAGGTGTTTAATAAACATATTGTTACAACTGTGGGAAGCCAGTTTTCTCACCAAAGCCAATTTCTCACCACATCCTTTAGTTCTCTCCAGCCTTCTCTGTATCCTCCCCAGAGTACTTAAGCCGTGCTCTGGCTTCTTCATGCTGCAGCTGCCACAGTTCTCCTGCTTGCGCTCTCTTGTGCTCAGCGGCGCACACATTTCTAACATTTTTGGTCAACATTTGTTGGTTTGCAAGCCCCCTCCATAGAGGCTGGCCCCTCTCACTGTCCTCGGAGCTTGCTTACCGGTAACCTCCTCTGGCTGACATCCAGACAGACCAGGGACATTTTCCCAAGCGTGGGGAAATGCACACCCCCTCCTCCTGCTTCCGCAGGGGGGAAAAAAGTAGTCAGAAATCTATTTACATGATGTTTATTTCTGACATTACAGCACTACAGAAAAACACGTCTTGTCAGTTCAGTTCTTCCAGCACGTCTGACAAACTTCCTGTACATGCGCACACGGAAGGTTTCAAATTACACTCTTCACAGAGACTTTTCCAGCCTGTGAACGTCCTGGGAAATTCTTCTTTCATACAGATAGGCGCATCATGTGATGTCAACAATCTGGCTGTCTGCAGCTGTGATGCTTCCATATACTGACAAAAGCACCAGCATTTGGGAATCCAAAAGCATGGTGTTTCGAAACAGTGGTTTCTTTAACAAAAGCCGTCTTGAATAGCATTGTGTGACATGGAGCTGATGAGAGGAAGAAGGCTAATCAGCACTCTAATTCATTTTTCAGTTGTTATTACCATATTGTGTACATTGCCCTAAGGCATATATGTAGAAGGTGGTTAATAAATAACAGCAATAATAAATAACATAATTGGATTGAACAGATGATTGTTTGTTTGAGTAAATCCCCCACCCCCTGCCCCCAGCTTTTAATGGGGAGGATGCAAATAAAATGGCTAACTGTGCTGTGGTGGACCCAGAAAAAACAACAACCACAAAATTGATGATGTAGCAATTCTGGAATCTTAAATGTGGTATGAATTAATTGCATGTGGTAGTGATTGCAGAGGCTTCTGTTCCCTTTGTTCCCTATTGGTGTTGAACAGGGGTAGGGAACCTGTGGCCTTCCAGATGTTGCTGGGCTGCGGTCCCATCATCCAACATCTGGAGAACCTCAGGTCTCTCTCCCCTGGTGAAAGAACTATGGTCACTGAAAGCAGGAATGGCTCACACTGGCATTTTGCTGCCTCGTCTTTTGGTCAGTTGTGTTTTTCTGACATCCAAAACACCGCATTTAATTGCAGTACATTTTTAGGGCGGTGTACTCTGTTCAGCCAGGTATTATTTCTCCCCCCACCCCAAACATGCAGAAGCCCACCAACACTTTGCTTCTCTCTAGCTGAATGATGCTTACACCAGGCCTGATCCTCCCACCCCATTTTAATGACATTAAAAAATACATGGAAATAGCAGAGATTAGGGTAGCATGGAAGAAATATGAATAGCACAGGTGGCACTGTGGTCTAAACCACAGAGCCTAGGACTTGCCGATCAGAAGGTCGGTGGTTCGAAGCCCCGCAACGGGGTGAGCTCCTGTTGCTCGGTCCCAGCTGCTGCCAACCTAGCAGGTCGAAAGCATGTCAGAGTGCAAGTAGATAAATAGGTACCGCTCCGGCGGGAAGGTAAACGTGTTTCCGTGTGCTGCTCTGGTTCACCAGAAGCGGTTTAGTCATGCTGGCCACATGACCCGGAAGCTGTATGCCGGCTCCCTTGGCCAATAAAGCGAGATGAGCGCCACAACCCCAGAGTCGCCCACAACTGGACCTAACGCTCAGGGGTCCCTTTACCTTTATCTTTACCTTTAAGGATGGAGTGGAAGATGGGAGGTGGAGATGGAGAAAAGAGATAGAGAAACTCCCACACAAGATGTTAATGCCTCTCTTCCTCTTTCCTTTTGCAGCTCACCAGAGCAGGGTTTTGATGGTTCTGTTTGTTCTGGAGATGGAATGGATCCTGAGCATAGGACAGGATAAGCATTTCACATGGCATTGCTCAGAAAGTGGGCAGCGACTTGGCAGTTACCGCATTAGTGCAGGTGCCTGTGGACTCCAGTATCCTTTACAGTAATTGTGGCATCTCTCATTTGCCTTTTTTTTGGCTGTGTGTGTGTGTGTTGCTTTAATTCTTAAGGATTTAAAAGAGCTTTCAGAGTTTACGTTTTCATAACCTTCTTGTTCACCAAAAATGGTGAGCATAGAATTTGTAAAAGTGACTTTGCTTCCAAAAAGAGCTGCCGAAAGTAAACTGAGCCTAGCAGCAGGTCACAACATATAAGCAGTATAAATGGCAAATAATTTTATCTTGTGCCATTAGGGGAATCCAAAACTTTTCTTAAATAACCTTTTTTTCTCAAAAAGCAATCCTTTAACCACTTTCCAAGTTATTAATTTCAAGTCAGCTTTAACATCTCAGGGAAACAAAAACCGTAACTTGAATTAGGGATGCAAATCTGGGCAGCAAGATTTCATGTTTGTGGTTGGTTGTGGTTAATTAACATTCTGAGGTTTAAGCGCTGACTTACACTACCATTTGTGGTTTGTGTGTTGCTTGCTTCTGGGGTTAACTAGTGGAAATGTGTACATGTGTGCATTTGAATGAATGAATGCCTCCGATAGTGTGTTCTGTAAAGACAAACGTTATTACCAAGGCAGAAATTTTTTGGTGCCACATAGAAAATGAATTTGCTGTCACTGAAAAACATGAATAGATCCATAGCATAGTAGTCCTTTCCCCTCATGCATGAGACTTAAAGCTTCCATTGCCCAGGTATTTTCTGGCATGCACAGACACATAATGAAAAGCATCCCTTTCCAGGGACCACGATCTTGTTGAGGTTGAGCGATGGAAGCCAGACTGTGAGTTGTGAGCATGTGCTGTGTGTTGCTGTGCTCAAGTGCTTGCCAGATGAGTTGTACAGATGTTCCCTCTTGCCCAGCAGCCCTGAGGTGCAACCGTAGTCCTTTGGGGATTGCTGTGCAAAGTCATTCAAAAAGCACCACACACACTTTTAAAGAGTTGGAACTTTGTTAGATTCCTGAGTGCTTCCTCGCCAGATTTGATATGGAGACCCGGCATGTTTTTATCGGCGATCATTCTGGGCAAGTGACCATCCTGAAACTGGAGCAAGAAAACAGCAACCTGATCACAACTTTTAGGGGACATACAGGTATGACTCGGTGCATGTTTAGTCCCCTGGGATTGCTATGTATGAATACTAATGGGGAACGCCATGCAAGTGGTGAGGAAACTGCCTCTTAGCTATGGGCAGCGGGGTAGCTAGCTGCTCAGGCACCTGAGGAGGCTTGTGTGCCCTGTGCCAGGGTGAGCCACCCATGGGGTCCGCTGCTGCCTCCCCCTCAGCTGTGCAAGACCCATGCTGCCGTTTCGGGCAGCTCAGAGCCTGCAGGTGCCCGAGCCACCGCGTCACTCCCAGGAGAGATGCATGGCTCAGGCACACTGCAGGCAAAGCCCCACGATAAGTGCCACCCCCGTGGTGTGGTGCCTTGTGTGTTCCCCCCACGCTATGCCTCAGGCTGTGGGAGTTGCTTCAATCTTCGCAATACGTTTTTTCTTGCTGTTGCGGATGCTTGAAATTTATTGAAGGTTTACAGGGCCATACAGCTTGAGCAGCATTTTGTAAATGCAGAGAGGTCCAACGAAACGTTAGTTCAATAAGTTTCAGAGTTCGCAAAGCACAAGTGGTAGTTCACAAAGCTGTACTGTCACCGAGGGATTGCACAGCAGCTTTCGCATGCAAAAGACATCCATTGGTTTGACAGCTGTGCTACATAAAGAGCAGGTCTGCTCAAAGAGAGGCTGCACACAAGCAGGCTGCCCCAGTTTGATGACAGTACAGATAGAGTAGTGCATTATTCTAACTGATGCTGGAAGCTCAGGCTTGTCATAATTGGGTGAGAAAAGTGAAGTTCAGGAAAAGGAGGAATTCCTCATCAGTACCCCAGGTTAGTGTAAGCCTGTGCATGTCTATCATCTGTAGGGTTAATGCTGCCAGTCCAGTTCCCAGGCTCTTAAAAGATTTAAAGCAAATGCAGACAAATCCTTAACTACTTGATGATGATCTGGCAGTTTACATAAGCTGCTGTATTTCAATAGTAAAAATCCTCCCTTTTCCCCCCTTCCCCTCTTCCCTGTCCTAATATTTCCAGGTGGAATCACTGCCCTCTGTTGGGATCCTGTGCAACGTGTCTTGTTCTCCGGCAGTTCTGATCATTCCATTATTATGTGGGACATCGGAGGAAGAAAAGGAACAGCCATCGAACTGCAAGGACACAAGTACAATGCGCTGATCAAATGCTTTGCCCTTCCAGATATATCTCGCCCACAGAACCTGCCTGCTTTTATTCAGGCAGATATCTCTCACTCAGAATTGTGGATATAATGAAGTTTTCAGAATAAAATTCAGGAACCTTCAAATCAGCCCACACGCTCTAAAAAAACTGGTTTCTAGCAAGTAAAGTATAAAGTAAAGGTAAAGGGACCCCTGACCATTAGGTCCAGTCGTGACCGACTCTGGGGTTGTGGCGCTCATCTCGCTTTATTGGCCGAGGGAGCCAGCGTACTGCTTCCGGGTCATGTGGCCAGCATGACTAAGCCGCTTCTGGCGAACCAGAGCAGCGCACGGAAATGCCATTTATCTTCCCTCTGGAGCGGTACCTATTTATCTACTTGCACTTTGACGTGCTTTCGAACTGCGAGGTTGGCAGGAGCAGGGACCGAGTAACGGGAGCTCACCCCGTCACGGGGATTCGAACCGCCGACCTTCTGATCGGCAAGTCCTAGGCACTGTGGTTTAACCCACAGCGCCACCCGTGTCCCTCCAAAGTATAAAGTAGGGATGGCTAATCTGTGACACTCCAGAAGGTGTTGGATCACAACGCCTATTGTCCCTGGGCGTTGAGCATACTCACTGGTGCTGATGGGAGTTGGAGCTACAGGTTTCCCATCCCCCTGGAGTAAAGAGCCAATTAAAAACACTCCTAGCAACTACTACTGCTACTCTTTGCATCCTCTTGGCCTTTCTCACACTGTGGCTGATTTTGTTCTGATTGACAGGCAACCTGGCTATCCCAAAAACAAACTTCACACACACGTTGAGTAGGGTTGGGTGAATCTCAGTTTTGGTATCTCAGCTTCTCATTTCTTGTGGAATTCACACCATCTACACATCATTCTGCAATTCTTAAAAAGTTTGCAGGAACACTTAACTTTGTATGACATTTTGTCTAACGTACACAATTTTGCAAGCACTTTCCCTTGCAATTTTGCAAGCACTTTTGGGTGGATTACTGCATTGCGAAAATTTGGAGTGAGAATTTTGAATTACAATGTGAACCCATCTAATTTATTATTAGTATAATTCACGCTTCCAGAACTGACACGTGAACCCAAGTGCAGATAGCCTTCAGAATTCTCACTCCTCCAAATTTTAAACCAACCTGAGGTGCAATGGGTTGCAGTGCATTCCATTTAACTCTGAATAGAGGGCGGGGTTTAGATCAGTGCTGAAACTCGCTGGATGATTGAGTTAGCAGCTCAGCCTGATTTATGCAGTTTTCTCTTCACAACAATCCTTTGAGAACCCCACATGAGAGTCCTTATAGATACCATTCTGAGCTTCCTCACAGGATGTGATGCCAGTATCAAAGTACATATTTGATGCACCTGAAGGCTAAGTCAGGCGTCTCACTGAAGGAATTTGTTTTTTAAATAAGGGGAGTAGGATTAGATGCAAGATCCAGGCCCTTAAATGTTTGCTTCTGGATGGCAGGAGGACCTCCAGAACAACACACCGGGGCGGGAGTACAGAAATAGACAACTTATGTTTGGGTGTACAATTGCTTGCAGCTGAAATTGTTGCTCCTCACAAATGGTGCCATAGTTTGTTCTGTTTGCTTAATTTTGCCATGCTTTTGTTTCATCTGCACAACTGGGCTTTCTGCGCTGCAGAATTCTGACCCATTCCAAGCATATGAATGTGTTTCTTTGACACAGAGGGAAATTGGCATGTTCAAATTGCTGTTTCCTATTCATCAATTGTCTTCTAACTTGTATTTTTTGTATATTTACTGCAGCGATAAAGTTCAGTCACTCTTCTATGCCCATCACACACGGCAGCTTATCTCTTGTGGAGCAGATGGAGGAATCGTTGTCTGGAATATGGATGTTGAGAGGCAGGAGGTGCATACTCAGTTCTTCTCCTTTATCTGGTCAGGGAAATGACAGCTTTTTCAGTATTGAATATTTTTAAGAGTACACTGAAGGCCAGTTTTCCCAAACGTCTCTCTTTGAACTTGATCACAACTTGGGTTCATAGAGCTCTTTTTTCTGTTGGGTACATCTGTTTATCCACTAATATTTTCAGCATTAAATGGGCACTACTTAAGGGTTGTAGGTGTGACACATTGCGCAGGGAGGGATGTATGTTTTTGTAGACATCTTCTGAATATGGCGGGCTCATTTTAGTGATTATGGCTAATACCTGCAGATACACCCATCCTCCCTAAATGTATCTAATCCCCTTATAAATTCATGCAAGCCGGTAGCCCACATCACATCTTGGGGCATCAAATTTCAAAAGTTAATTATCAGGTCAGTGAAGAAGTGCTTACCTGCTTTGCATCTATTGCCAATCACAGAATTTTTATAGTTGGAAGAGACCATGGGGGTCATCTAGTCCAGCCCCCTGCAGTGCAGGAATTTCACCCAACAAGGGACTTGAACCCACAACCATGAGTTTAAGAGTCTCATGCTCTACCGACAGCACGTTGGGTAATCCCAAAATTTAGTAGTATGAGAGGAAGAAAGTTGTATCTCAGGATCATGCCTAACTTTTACAAATCCCTCTGTTGCTGCACTCAATTGATTTTGAACAAAAGGCCTTGTGGGTCAGTTAGCGTCTTAAACATAGGCAGTTCTAGGAATTTGTACATATTTCTTCCTAGGAGTGAGTTTCTTTGTAGAATGCCTTTTCTATTACAGACATGAATTTCCAGTCTAGAAACATTAAATCCAGTTACTTTTAAGAATTTCTCTGTTGTTATTATAGTATTGCCTGATACAGATTTGTAGACGACCTTTCTGCTCAGCTATGTTTTGAACCTGGGGTGGGGCAAGTTGTAAGCAGTATTTAACTGGGTTAAACAAGCTTGCTTTAAACAAAGGCTAAAGCCAGTAATTGGAAAATGGCTCTTTCATCTAAAAAATGTCAGCTGTGTATTTATTTCCAAAATTTGTATCCTGCACTTAGACCGATCCATGGTGGCATACACTAACAAGAAGAGGCAATAAAACTAAAAAGAACCTCCTATATTCAAAAAACAGATCACAGATGAATCAAAATCCCCAAACAGTCTTAACCTGGTGCTGGCTTGATCTGCAGATCCATTTCTGGGAATATTAAGTCCCCACTGGGTTTCTAACAATAGATCACGTTCCTTGTTTTGAAAAAGCAGGTGGAAAAGGCTCTTAACTATCAGCTACAGGCTAGTTTCCAACCTGTGGAAAGTTCTGCTGCTGTAGTTAGAAAAACAAAGGTTTTGTTTTGCCTCACACAAACGGCAAGTTTCTGTTTTGCCCTGAATAACTTCCCTGCTGAGTTGTACATGTCATTCCAGTCTTGCACCATTAAGGATGGCTGAACTAGTTCCTGTTGGACAGGACAATGCTTTGCAGGGCATTGAAGTCACGGTCTATAATCCTAGACATACACAGTCACTGGACTGGAATGACTACTTCTGTTAAATTTTAATTCGATCTGTATGGAATCCGTCTCTTGGAATAGAACTTGGATTTTTTTTATTAAAAAAAATCTGTGCCTATTTTTCAAAGCCGTGTCTCACGATTATAGAGATGCACTTGGTAATGAACAGATGGCGCTTGAATCCAGTGTCCAGGTGTAGATTTTCTGTCCCGTGTGTCCCTATATCTCAGGGGTGGGGAAAACCTTCATCTTGAAGGCTGCGTCCCCTTATAAGCAACCTCTGGAGGGCCAGAAGTAAAAATGGGTGCGACCAGAAGTAAGAGTGGATGGAGCAACAGACCTGTTCGGTGTGCTACCTTCCAACCCCACGTCAGAGGTTTCTGCCTCTATATGTACGTACCTGTGTATACAGTCCCTGTATTCAATTTCCACCCAGGTGAGCAGGAGACATTTCCGCAGTTAAAGTACACAGTCCATCCTGAGGAAAGCGCTTATGGAGGGCACAGAGCAGATATGCTGAAGGATACAGCCAGGAGAGAGGGGATATGGCCTGAGCAGTATTCCTCAGATATAAGGTCAGATAGTGAGTGGCCAGGATACCACATTCAGCCCCCAGGCTTGAAATTTTCCCCACCCCTGACAGTGGGATTCTCTTAGCCTTCTACTTTATAAGACTGATAGTCAACTTGAAATGGGCTTACAGATGGGTCAGGCTGTCAGCAAGCAAAGATTCTGATGTAAAAGATCAGCTATTCTGCAAAGATGTGTTGAACCAGGGCATGGGGAGCTGGTCCAGTTTCTATCCAAATTTAAGGCGTTTTCCTTTTAGGCAGTAGACGGAGGAAACCAGTGTCTCTGTATACTCTCATTTCATGCGTAGACTGACCAAATGGAGGAGGAAGCAGTACTGTGGTCAGTGGCCCCATCCCTGATCCCAAGCAGGTCATGCAAAAGGGCAGAATGGGTCCTATAGGCATAACATCTATATATACATGACTGGGAACTTTGACATACGCTGGTTTTCCAGTGTACACAAGTGAGACCCTGTATAGCTACACGTGTACACATGCAGCCCATTCTTATTGCCAGCTGAACATGCAGTCAGCAGGGACTGGATCAGCTAATGAAGTGGTCCTCCCTCTTTGCTTTCAATGTGAAAATGAATTGAAGGTGAGAATGGGGCTTAGGATTTCAAAGGGTTTCTTTTTGTTGGCACTCTGGCTCTTAACCAGGTTTGAGTTTATTAAAAGTGGCCTTTTGTGAAGCTGAGAGTGTCTCATTCTGATGGGAAACCCGCTTTTCAGGATCAGGGACTCTTCTTGAGAGTTGCTTATAATTAAATGTATTATCCTGGCAAAAGAGATGTTTGCTGGTTAAGAGTAATGTGTGGGGTAAAAAGTCACTTGACAGAAGAGAAATTACAGGTTGGAAAGGAAATGCTTAATGCTTTCCCTGCTACCAGTCCTTCGCCAAGCCAGTTTTTCTCTTGTTAGCTTATGTTCTGTTCTCAGAGCATGCTGGGGGAAGGTTTCATGGAGAAATGGACAAGGAATGCAAAGCATTAAAATATCCTTTCCTGCCCACTAGTGCTCCCCTGTCATTAGTAATCACAGTGTTGGGAAACCATGTTTGCCCTGTAACGTCTTGCCTATCAGGCCGTGCAGGTAAACTCTGCAAAATAAGAAAATATGTATAAAATTTGCTAACTTGCATGAAGTACTTTAATGTGGAAATTTATTGGCTGCTCGGTAGAAGAAGCCCCAGAGTGGAGTGTTAGCTTGGACGTCGTTAAGAGGCCCTAATCCTGTTACAGTTTTGATCTGTATATAGAATCCTCTTGCAGCTGGACTTGATGCTTTTCCCCTTCATTCTTGCATTAGACGCCTGAATGGCTGGATAGCGACTCTTGTCAAAAGTGTGATCAGCCGTTCTTCTGGAACTTCAAACAAATGTGGGATTGCAAGAAAATAGGCCTTAGGCAGGTATGTGGTATGCTGCTGCTTAAATAATTGAAGGCACACTCCTGTTTTCACTTGATCAATGTCCTGTCTGCATTAAATAGTGAACTCATTCACCTAATGTGGATCCTTATATAGCCCAAACAGCCAAGATGAGAGTATCACTAGGCTTGAGTGAAATCCAAGGTTTGCAAAAAAGAAGCCTATGGAAATGAATCTGTACAAATTAGTTAAAATGGGACTGGTGTAGATAAGGACCTTTCCCACTGAAATAATGTAGTATTTTCAAACCCAGGTGTTTGTGGTGGATTTCTCAGTTCCTCCATGTTAGGGCCAGCCCAAGATATATTGGCACCTAAGGTGAACCACAAAATGGTGCCCCTCTTCCCTGGTGGATTAAGATCTTCATTGGGATCTGCTGCCGCTGTGGATCCTGAGTTGGTTGCCCCACTTTGCCTCATGGCCCTGCTCCCTGTACATAAAATATGGATGTCATCAAGAAGGGGGTATCAGGGGGATAATAGAATACCTTGCCCTTTGAAGAAAATAGTGTGGGCTTTGTTCAGCTGTGTGGGGAGCTGCTGGGGAAAGGTGAAATAATCCATTGTTCAAACTTACACACGTTTTATTTGCCTTCTGATCATGTTACTTAGCATGCAAGCCTGTAGGTAAACTTATTATCAATGTATTATTACCACCTGTCAGGGGTTCAGGGAGAGAGGCACAGGGTAGGCAGGAGATGGAGAGCGATGGGGAGGAATTCCAAGCCAGCGAGGAAGAGGATGACAATGACTCAAGAGATTCCATGAGTCTTTCCAGTGAATCAGAGGATTCCCAGAAGGGGGCGCCGGTAGTCAAGGCCAGGGGAGCCCCAGGGGGGAAGTGTCAGGAGCAGGGTGCCAGCGGAGGATCCCAAAGTGGCAGCTGGGCGTCAGGACCAGCCTCCCCACCAGAGTGCAGCGAAGGGGGTGGAGTTTCCAGTGTGTCTGAGGAAGCAGCTCCAGCAGCAGAGAAAGGAGGGGGGTCAGAGCAAGCCGCCCTCCCGGAAGGAGGAGCAGTGAAGGGAGTAGTGTAACTGTCAAAAGGAAAGTTAGAGGTTTGGCGCGCGCGCCTGGTTCAAATGTAGAGGCGCGCGGAAGTGCAGGGAGCCCGGAGGAGGGGCCAGGTCCCAAAGCCCGCAGGAGGGGGAAGAGCAGTCTGGGGATTCCGCGTCAGAGGAATCCAGGAGGGCGAAGCCCCAGTGGGCAGAAGGACCCTGCGGAAAAGGAAGGAGAGAAAGAGGTGGAGCAGCGCAAGTCTCTTAAATTGGTGCAGGGGAGGAACTGACTCAGAGGGGACTTCGGCGGTCTAGCGTAAGAGACGTAAGGCTGCGCGCCTAGGATGTCAAGCAAACCGTGAACTGCAATAAACACTTTTGTATATAAGAAGACAGAGGCGTTGGTCTTTTGTGAGCTAAGACTTGAGGCAGCCTTGACACCACCAATAATGAATTGTTTGTTAGGGTTGAAGCATTCAAATAAATGAGAAGGCTGCAGTTATAAGTCAAATGTGATTGTCATAATTGGAAGGTTTTGGGAACTGTTTTGCCACAGATTTTCATTTTGCTGTGTCTGGCTTTCAAGGGCACTTGATCCTATGTTGAGATGGGATATTTCAGAGTCTAGAAAAAAATTAGTTTTCTTTTTTAAGGCAAGCGATGTCTCTTACAGAAATAGTGGCTTTATGTTATGAAATGCTGGTCTAGATAAGAGTTGGAGCTATAAACAGTTTCACCTTTTTCCTCCTCTCCAGAATAGGTTGCTAATTCTTGATCCGGATTGACAAATCTTACAAAATACCCTTGTAACTCCCTTTTGTAGGATAAGCTATAACATGTAAACAAATACGTCTGGCCTTGTTCTTTCATCTCGTCCAAGTGGTGCTTCGCTGTGTTTTTAATTTCAGCATCATTGCCGGAAGTGCGGGAAAGCAGTATGTGGCAAGTGCAGTTCAAAGCGCTCTTCCATACCACTGATGGGGTTCGAATTTGATGTGAGAGTCTGTGATAGTTGTTACGAATCAATAACAGATGAGGAGTAAGTAGCAGTCCCTGGTCCTCTCCCCTCCTTCCTTGTTGTCTACTTATCCTGCCTTCCACCCATCCATGACAAAACATTCCAGTTTCTGTGGGAAACTGATATTGCAACAGACTAATTGTTGGTAATTTTCAACTCCAAGCCTTAAGAATTATGTGTCCATAGTGATGCTCCCTCAGAGCAACACAGACATGAGAAATCAACTTACTAATAGATTCCACCACCCTTTCTAAAGCAGAGCTTCTGTTTCACTCATTGTTTTCTTTTCCCTCAGGCGTGCTCCCACGGCCACTTTCCATGACAGCAAACACAATGTCGTCCATGTACACTTTGATGCAACACGAGGGTGGCTCCTGACATCTGGGACAGACAAAGTTATTAAGGTAAGTATTGCCTGGTGGGATTTATAGGTATGCCCCCTATATCACAAGGCAGAGTTACCTTTTTTTTGCTATTTATAGTTTCAAGGGCCCTGTGACAGGTCAGAGCTCACCCACTGAGCTTCATGACTGAGTGGGGATTTTTCAACCCTGATCTCCTGGTTCCTAGTACAACACTAACCACTATACCACACTGGCTTCTTACAGTACTTCTGCTATGGGGCAGCTATTTAAATTAAGTAAAAGCAAAGGGACCCCTGACCGTTAAGTCCAGTCGCGGACGACCCTGGGGTTGCAGCTCATCTTGCTTTATTGGCTGAGGGAGCCGATGTTTGTCCGCAGACAGTTTTTCTGGGTCATTTGGCCAGCATGACAACTAAGCTGCTTCTGGCAAAACCAGAGCAGCGCACGGAAACACCTTCCTGCCAGAGCAGTACCTATTTATCTACTTGAACTTTGACGTGCTTTCGAACTGCTAGGTTGGCAGCAGCAGGGACCGAGCAACGGGAGCTCACCCCGTCGCGGAGCGACCTTCTGATCGGCAAGCCCTATGCTCTGTGGTTTAGACCACAGCGCCACCCACGTCCCTAAATTAAGTAGTTAAATACATATGGGGAAGGTAAAATGTCACTTAGAGAAAGATCTTTTATTTTCCTTGAAGTTTGAGTTTGTTTTATTCTGGATTGCTTTACTTGATGTTTTAATGTGAGATTTTTATTTAAAATATAAAATGGTATAAAAATGAAATGAGTAATTCCATTTCGGGGGGAAATGGTGCCTAGACATTCCGTTGTGGTGACTACAGCCTAGGTTTAAGGTGGCATTTGGCAATTAGCTTATATATCTGAGTTTCTATCACTTTTGTGAAGAGGCCATGCCACCCTACTTTGGGTTTATCTGTCCCTCATTGGGTTCTACCTTGTCTGCTGTCGACTTATTAGAACTATCCACAAATAATTCAGTAAATCACACCTGAATCTCTTCTCACTGTCCACATTTGTATCTTTTTAACAGTTGTGGGATATGACACCCGTAGTATCTTGATGCATCGGTGAAACACAAAGCAGCATTACTGAAGAAGGGATTCTTAATGTACTGCAGAAGATGAAGCAAGCTGTGTGGCGACTGTTAACTTCCGGATGGTTTTTCAAGTGACGTACTAGATCCAGGGTGAACACTTGCACCAAACACTCTACTTCTTTGTTCTCAAAATGCAAGAAATATTTTTTTAAACTTAACAACTATACAATCTGGCTCTGCTCAGCCGTTTGGAACTTGTCTGGGGAGTCTGTGTGCGGTGCGGTTTGTGTTTCATGTTCTCTGTCGACTTGTGCCGTTTGGCGTGGAGGAATTTTTGCAAATGTGAGTAGCATTCTGCAATATTAGGTTGGAGAGGCTGAATCTGCTCTTAGGGGCTAAAAGAAAAGCAAAGGATTCCTCTTTCCATCTTTCCCAGCAGAGTCATTGAGCAAGAACCTTAACAGTAAAGGTCGTCTTTGCAACGACATTCTAGCAAATGGTACTGTGGGTTGTGAGGGGGAGAAAAAGTTAGACAACGTCCAGTCTTTTTCATTGCATAGCCAAGAGAAATGCTTGTTTAGCAACAGATTCTAAAGTTGCTAATCTATTTTTCAGGCTTGACCCATGAGCATAGAAACCAGTTCAAACTGAGGGCTGCATAAAATAGTTTTATGCAATTGCCATACCTTGTCAGTGTGGAAATATTCTTGTTTAGCTGGACCAGTGATACCTGAACATTTTTTTTAGAAGGCAGGGTGAGAATTATGCTAGTGTTACTGGGCATGGTTTGAAACTAACTATTCCATTCCTGTCATCTGTCTGGCAGGATGTGTTTTTAAAATTGCTGATAACTGTGATTTGTTTCTAATTCTCAATGTTGCCTCCCTCCCCAAATTAATGTGGTTTAATTTCATATTTTGTTTTGCTGCCTTTTTCAAAAAGTAAATTGCTGAAATAAAAACTTCCTTTCATAGCATCTGGTATAGGAGACTCATCTATTTTATAAACCTCTGCTATTTGTTTTAATTTTCTTCCAAACTGGGAAGATCCTCCTACAGGGAAACTTCCATTCAACTTTCTCTGCTGGGATTTTGGATAGCAGTGTGCAAATACAGTCATACCTCGGGTTACAGACGCTTTGGGTTGTGTGATTTCAGGTTGCGCACCGCGCCGAACCCGAAAGTAGCGGAACGGGTTACCTCCTGGTTCCGGCGTTTGCGCAGAAGTGCTAAATCGCACTGTGCACATACACAGAAGCACCAAATTACGACCTGTGCATGCGCAGACATGGCACTGCGGGTTGCGAACGTGCTTCCCGCACGGATCACATTCGTAAGCCAAGCATCCATGGTATATGTTAACTTCATTCACATCAAGAAGAATATGCTGACTGCCAAGTGATACCAAATGTATGAGCTTTATCTACGTAAGAAACTATGCAAAGTACTGCCAACTTAAATATGACTTTTTATATATAATTCATACAGATATCTATATGAACTTAAATGTAGCTGTCCGTCCTTCAAAAAAGGATGGCCTGGTACAAACAGATTGCTTTTTCAAACATTAGGTTTTAATTAGATTTTTCTTGCAGGAAAACTTCAGAAATGCAAACCAAAATACAATTTCAAAAACGTTTAGATTCTAGCAAATTTACAATTCTAAAGAGGTTGGATGGCCACCTGTCATGTATAATCTAGTATTCCTGCAGGGAAGTTAGACTAGATGACCCTTGGGGTCCCTTCCAACTCCACAATTCTGTGATTCCAGAAGGTGGGCTGTTTCATACTTATTGTGGCACAGTGGGCATTCTTGATGCATGATTATTACATAAAAAGGAATTAGCACCTTGAGAGATTTTTAGAAAATAGATACTGTGCTCCCATTGGAATGTTAATAATACAAGCACTAACCATTAGAGCATCTCATCCCCAAGTATTTGTGATTTTTAAAAGAACAAATGTGAAATGGGTAATAAACAGAAGTTACAGCATGACAAGAAGGAAATGCAAGTAGGCATACAAATAATACACTGCGCTCCATAATCAAATCTTTTGCAAACTAAAGTATGCCTACAGTTTTCTTGATTGAAACCTAGCATCAATGAAATTGCAGCCCAAATGCTTTCAGCTTTTTTTCTAGCATCATTCCAGAAACTACAGTTCTAGCTGGAGGAAATTATCAAGATGCAAAGCATGTCAAAACATTATCACTGAATTTTTAACAGTGCCTTTCTTCCTGCCCTATAATAAAGCACGTTATTGGCTTATACTCACTTGCACATATTATAGCTTTCCAATTGCAGATTGTCAAGAGGTCACTAGCTCAGTACACACTGTTAATGCTTCTAGACTCTTAATGATTATCTGGGTTTAAACTTTTGTGAGAGCTCTTCCAGACACTGCATCAGTTTTTCTTCATCACCCGGTGAAGATTTGGTCTGTGCAAGTGGTAAGTGGGTTGGAACAGGCTGCCGGTCTGGAAACAAAAGGGCAAAATTAGTTATTTCAACAATCAAGAACCTGGGTTCTTGAACCTGCTTTTCTGACCTTCCCATCAGTGAGCTGAAGGGAGGACAGAGCTTGCAGGAATGCAAATGTTCATAAAGTCAGGGTACCATGACAAAACCAGGTTTCCACAATATATATTCAGTAGGGCGTTGCAGCCAATCCCAGTCTGTATACGAGTTCAATGTGTTCATTTTTTCAGGTTTACCCTTATTTGGTTTATATATATTGCTAGGGACAGCTTATTCTGTCCTTCTCTATTATTATACCGCATTCAATGATCCATTAACTCCCTTACCTTGGAAAAACTGCCCGCTTGCTTGCTTGCCTGCTTCATGAGAGACTGCAAGCCATACCACCGTGTCTGCCCCCTGGTCCGCTGTCCGCAATCTATCCTTCATTTTCTCGTAGAAATCTGGCATAGATGACCTCACTGCTGCAAGGTGACAGTTGTGATAAGCATAAATAACAGCTTCCCGACAAACACATGCCTACCATTAATTATGCTGTTTGACTGCTACTACCCTAATCTTGGGCTCTGCTACATCTTCGGTCTACAAAAAGCCCTTGGACATTTCTTCCTACAAACCTTAACACTCCATATGATTTTACGCTACCAGACTCTATTCTTCCTCACACTACCTAAGCACTTGGATAACACGGAGTCCTTTAAACACGCTTAATGAAGTGTGCTTGAAGTTATGCATGGGCACAAGTTACCTGCAAGGTGGCCGGAATTCTCCAAAGCAGCTAAACCAAGTATGAGGTGAAAGAAATGCAAAAGTTCAAAGAGAAACAGGAACAATAATGGTGTGGCACTTCTCCTTCCTATTTCTCCCATCCCCTTCGTATAACAGCAAAAGATACTCTCTGTTTAGCTCTGGGGTGGATGTTGGACTCTTAACTCCTATCAGTCCCGGGCAACAATTGGGAATGATGCAGCTTGTAGTCCAGTAACAGCTGGAGGCCCACAGGTGCCCCACTCCCGATTTACCCAAAGAGATTAAATATTTCTGCTCGGCAACAAGTACCTGGAGTATCTGCCCAGCCAGGATGCATAGAAGAAAAGTGAACACTGGGATGTGCTTTAGCCCACTGTTCTGTCATGACCACTTGCTGTCTCTAGGATACGACAAAAGGCATAAAACTGAAAAAAGATCAATAGGCCATTAGTCTGGCATCTTCATATTCAGTATTGACTTACGCAGTGCGGTCATTTCTTCCTTTGGAAGCTCAGCACTGCAGCTAGCCTGTGCCCTGCCTTCTTTGTGTGTGACAACAGGGCAGGTTTCTATTTCTATTCCAGTTTTAGATGAGAGAAGGGCAAAGGAGCTCTCAAGTATAGCCCTCATTGCGCACTCACTACTCATGACACACAGTAGGCCAGAAGAGCACCGCTGAAATCTGGTCTGCTTCAAGCAAAGCAGGAAAAATGAACTACCATTCCAAGAGGGTGATGCAAAGGTACAGTAATGACATTTTCTCCTGCCTTCAAGCAAGTGGAGAATGACCACCCACTTGGTACTGTCCAATAAAGTCGTTGTCGTCCCCCAAAAATCTTACACCTGAAACCAGGGTGGAAAAATGCTTTTCAAAAAGCAAGTTTCTCTTAAATAAGAACTAGTTAATATTAAATAATATCTGGACTTTAGAATCTCCAAACTGAACAATGCCTCTATGAGATACAGTGAGTTAAAGGAGTCTTTTCTATGTAAATAAAGACCCAACTTGACAAGTGTATAATAGTCCCAATACCTCAACTGTTGTGGGTGCTGGTTGTAAGACAAGACTTTACAAAGAATATTTTAAAGAATTTTCTATAGAAAGAGCAAGCAAAGTACATAAAATGTATAGTGTGACAAAAATACATGTTTGCAAAGCAGCTACGTAGTCTGTGGCTGTTTGTTCAAGAACTACAGATCTTACCTTATTCTGCGCATATACCATTGTCCCATCAAATGCCACATTCTCTGATTGCAAGTTTGATACATCTAGTTTCTGAACTAACATTCCTCCTGAGGAGACAGTGATCTGCAAAATAAAATAAACAAACCAAAGGAACTATGAAATCCTTATCCACAACTAGACTTGTCTTTACATGCAACTTGGATAGATAATCACAATGACAATGTAAGTTTAGCAGTTCACTTAAAGCATGGGTGGGAAACCTGTGGTCCTCTAGATGTTGGATCCCAGCTGCATTCAGCCTCAGCCAGCATGGGATGATGAGACATATAGTCCAACAACATCTAGTGCCACAAGCCCCCTACCCAAGGAGTGGCAACTGGATGCTGAAATTCAGAGTCATTCACAATGCTAGCTGACTCCGTTGACAGCCCTGTTGGTTTCTATCTTGCCAGCGACCCTTTAAAAGTCACACTGCAAGTGTGGATTAATTACTCAAATCAAACATTCCACAGGTTCTTACACAAAATGCAACCACATCAATCAGAACAGGCCAAATCTCTCTCTGTCTATGACACTCTTTCCCCTTGGAAATATATAACTGAACCGTTTATACACCGCTGTTGGAAATAATTCATTTGTAAACTGGAATGGTAATTCTTTTAAACACCCAGTGGCTTCTGACACAACGGAAAACATTGCTTTCCCACTCAGGACAAACACTGAAGGAGGCAATTAAACTGCTTCGCTTGCACCAAACATTTTGGATTGTGCAAATAAAACTGTTTCAGTGAAGCATGAAGGTACACATTAGCACCACTGCACCTCAACATTTGTGCCAGCATATGCAATGGTTTGTCATGGTATTGAGTCAGACGTTAAATTAGTTTGTTTCCTAATTAAGATGCTATTAGCTGCAATGGGCCTCACCGTCCTCCTGTCCTTGGGTGGGTTGCCAGAGGCTACGGGAACATTTCATATCTCTTCCTCTGAAGGCGGAGAGAGTGGTCCGCTTGCAGTGAGGAAAATCATAATTGATAGGGCCCCTTTGCCCAACAGTAGAGCACCTACTTGCCCTAGGAGTTATGAATATTGAGAACACGAATGACAATGAAAGGGACAGCCAAGTGCCCCCAAACTAAGACATACAAACTTACAACTCTAGGGTCATCTTCTCTTTCCAAGAGAGGTAGAAGGGCTGTTGTTAAAATATATGTACCTAGAAGATAAATAAAAAATGTTTAGCATGTATTACCTTCCACATGTTTGTTTTTTGTTTTTTTGTATATTTAATAAAACTTCACTCTCCTACCCTTCAGCTGGATGGATTGCTCCACATTTCACAAGGCTTTTAAAGAGAATTAAAATGAAGAGCCCCACTGCATCAGGAAAAAGTCCATCTAGGTCAAGCACTCTATTCTCACTGCAGCAAACCAGATGCCCATGGGAAGACCATGAGCAGGACAATAGTGCAGTAGAGCTCCTTCAGTTAGCAAAGGACGCAGCATTAAAACTTTGTACTTGGACCATGAAGCACCCTGTTATTTGAGAGCACCATTCAAATAATGCACCAAGTTAAAAACCTGATATATGATTACTTAAAGGGAAAGGGACCCCTGACCTTTAGGTCCAGTTGCAGAGGACTCTGAGGTTGCGGCACTCATCTCGCTTTACTGACTGAGGGAGCCGGCGTATAGCTTCGGGGTCATGTGGCCAGCATGACTAAGCTGCTTCTGGTGAACCAGAGCAGCGCATAGAAACAGTTTACCTCCCCACTGGAGCGGTACCTATTTATCTACTTGCACTTTGAGGTGCTTTTGAACTGCTAGGTAGGCAGGAGCAAGAACTGAGCAATGGGAGCTCACCCCGTCACGGGGATTTGAACCGCCAACCTTCTGATCAGCAAGCCCAAGGCTCAGTGGTTTAGACCACAGCACCACCCGCGTCCCAATATGATTACTTATCCAAGTAGAATTCCATGCCCTAAAGCAGGATATTTTGTGTAAAACAGCAGCATACACCTGTTTAACCTGTTAATCTAAATTCCAGAGGTACATTTCACAACCAAGAAACTGAACTGCTCTCACTTGAAGAGTTAAACCCAAGACTACCTTCCTTTAGTCTAAACCCACTGCTTCTTGTCTGACCCTCACTAGACAAGGAAGAAAGCAATTTGAAATTTATGGCAATCCAATTCAATAGTATGTTATTTCTGTATGCATGTTTCTTCCTCTGTGTTGTTGCTTTTTAAAAGAGTGAACTGGATGTTCAATCTACAGTGGTACCTCGGGTTAAGTACAGTGGTACCTCAGTTTAAGTACTTAATTCGTTCTGGAGGTCTGTTCTTAACCTGAAACTGTTTAGCTAATGGGGTCTCTCGCTGCTGCTGCCGTGCCGCCGGAGCACGATTTCTGTTCTCATCCTGAAGCAAAGTTCTTAACCCGAGGTACTATTTCTGGGTTAGCAGAGTCTGTAACCTGAAGCATCTGTAACCTGAAGCGTATGTAATCCAAGGTACCACTGTATATGTGTCAGGAGGCCCTATTAGACAGTATAAACATTAGCCAAGCGTACTCAGGCATCAGAAGAACGCTTCAGAAATGCACAACCTCCACTTCCAGACAACAACAACTTCCCAGGAAAACTGCCCTACATACCCAAAGTATTTGTAGCAAAATTCTTTTCAAGCCCATCTTTCGTTAGTTCTCTTTGGTTTACCATGCAGCCTGCATTGTTGACCTACAAGAAGAAAATATAGTTAAAATATGTATCTGTGCTGTGCCTTAGTGGCAGAGCATGCACTTTGAATATGCAGAAAGTTCTAGGTTAAATTTGGTAGTACTGGAAACAACTCTCGCCTGGAACCCTGAAGAGCCACTACCAGTCAGTATAGACCAATGGTTTGAAAGGAATAAGGCAGCTTCCCATTTATAGGAGTCAAAGCACTTTGCTGCATACAATACTTTCAAGAATGATAAATCTCAACTGTACAGCATTAAGCCGCCATGTGAAAATGACGCTTGCACAGAAATTTAGAATTTCTGGCTACAGTGCTGGCAGTACAAAGAATATTACCAAATTGTTTCTTGTTCAAGCAAGTAACTGCTAGTTGCTAGGTAGTGCCAATCAGTGTTAGAAACCGAGATGTGAAAGCTAGGAGCTAAATGGCACCTTAAACCTAGGTTATAGAATGTCTTGGTGCAGTTTTTTTATAACAAGAATAAAGGTAAAGGTAAAGGGATCCCTGACCATTAGGTCCAGTCGTGGCCGACTCGGGGGTTGCGGCGCTCATCTCGCTTTATTGGCCGAGGGAGCCGGCATACAGTCATGTGGCCAGCATGACTAAGCCACTTCTGGCGAACCAGAGCAGCGCACAGAAACGCCATTTACCTTCCCGCCAGAGCGGTACCTATTTATCTACTTGCACTTTGACGTCCTTTTGAACTGCTAGGTTGGCAGGAGCAGGGACCAAGCAATGGGAGCTCACCCCATCGCAGGAATTCGAACCGCCGACCTTCTGATCGGCAAGTTCTAGGCTCTGTGGTTTAACCCACAGCGCCACCCACGTCCCTTATAACAAGAATACAAAGCTGAAAATGAATTAACTGCAGCTAAAATCTTATATTCATTTTTCACACAGTCTAGTCCTCATCTGAAGACTGCAAAAAACAAAGCCATACTTTCCCTGCCCGCCCCCCAATATTCTTATGAGGGTCCCTTCTCAGGTTCTCAGAGAGTAGCTGCAAGTGGAGAGGCAGAAAAAGCTCCTCCTTTCATTCCAGCAGTGGCAGTTTTAAACTGAAAACTAAGGCACAGTACAGTTCCCACAGCTCAGAAACTGCTCGCATTCTTGAAATTCCCTGTTGCGTAATGCACCTAGAACAATGGGAGTTTCAAACTCTGATGTCAATGTTTGGCAGCCCACCAAACCCCTAGAGATGGGCTTCACTTTTAAGTTCCCAACTCACCAAGACGTTTAATCTGTGTTCATTCTTGAACTGTTCAGCAAATTCCCAAATTCCTTTGGGGTCAGACATGTCCAGAATATGGATAAAAACATTCTAGGAAAGGAGAAAAGAAGAGTTGTTAACCAAATCAAAAAAAAATTCTTTAACAACACTACATAATCAGATAGCAGGAACACAATATATCCACTTAGCCAAGCTGTATCTAAATGGCATAGAGAATCTTTGAATATTTGTCGTTGACAGAGAAATCCAAGCAGCAAAAAATGCAGAACACAACATAGGACTGTTTCATGTGTTGCGTAAGAAGTAACCTGGCAACTTACAGATGCTGTCCACAATGAGATTCATAGCTCCAGAAGCTATTTTTGACTCAAGATTCCATAGAAGGGAGAGGATAGAATGAAAGTCCATTTTTCTGATAATGTAGCTGCTGCTCACTGCAGTGACTACTTATTCCACAAATGCAAGTGTATACAAGGTAATGATGGTACCACTGTCTGAGACTCCGAGGTAAAGATTTTAATCTCAGCATTGTGCAAAATTCATTGGGGAAAACAGTGACTGTTTAAAGTAGCGTAACACTGCTTTAAATTACAGTATAGCACAGATGGTTCCAAAGAGGGAGCACATTTTCTTAGTTTTAAGGCAGTTTTAATGCATAATTGACTGTTGCGCATTTGTGGCAATATTTGTCACTCCCTTAGATGTGGCAGCATCTATTTTTTAAAAAAGGATACTAATAATTTCTGGTGATTTTTTTTTAATCTTACCTTTAGCTATGCACTAGAAATATCATCTGAGACAACACATGGAATGAAAAACCTCCATTTAGTTGATTCAGCTGTAACTGTGGTGGAACTTGAATACCAGGTTCCATATTCCAAAAAATGATAATTTTTTATTTCAAATTCCAGGAGTTGAAATACATCCAAACATCCACAGAAACAGGGAAAGGATTTGTAGCACTATTCAACGGTGGTAAATGCAATCAAACAAAAGAAATGCAACTGGCCAACAGGCGAATTGTCCACAAAAACCTGTAGGGTTGGAATTTACTGAAATAAATGGCTCTTGTTAGTCATTTTCATTAATTTGAATGAATATACTACTGGTATGACTTAGTTGGGTGCAACATGTAATCTTTCCAATGACAAAGCATAGAAGAAAAAACATCCAAGGCCAACTCTTACCTGATTATCAGTTTCTGTTGTTATTTCTTTCTTAGCTTCCTCGGCTCTGTCTTTGTTTCGGCAAACTAGATGAACTAGTCCCCCTGAAAGAATTCAGAAACCATCAGTGAAAAGGACCATAGAACTATCTGCATGAAAGAAATATTCAAATCAAGTTTCCATATAGCTTCATATCTGACAGAATTTTTAATCTGCGCAAATGCACAGAGAATGCTTTTTATAACTGAGAAGTTTTTGACAAATGGCAAATCTTCAGGCAGCTAAGGGCTGGATTCATCTAATGAGCCCTGCTAGTGGAAGCCTGGCAAGGACTTCTGCCAGCACTATGAGCTTTTCCTCACCTCTTCTCCCACTCCCAATTGGCTCTTGAGGGCTCAGGATAATCCCCAGAACAGGAGGATAAAAACAGGAGGAGAGGGGAGTCATTCTGCAGGTTACCTGAAATGTTTGTACCGATGGAACAATAGTCACAGTGCTATGCTGAATTCCTCTCAAAGTCCATTAGCTATTTAGATGACAAACTTGAACGGCACCGGGGGCATACCTAGGGGTTGTCCAGGTTGACCCTCACCAAGGGCACAGGCCTGGGGGTGGGAGGCAAAAATCATGCCTCTCCACTCTGGTTCAGCTCCTCTGGCAAGGATGCAAGGGATGCCAATGTCTCCTTACCAAGAGTGCCTAAGTACGCCTCCGAATAGCACACGCTTACGGGGTTGCTCGAAATATTACCAGGTCTATATCCTTGTTCTTACATTCACTGGAAGCGACTGCTAAAATACAGTGCTAGTGGAGCAAGACAAGAAGATAGTCTCCTGTCTTTGAACACCTGATCTTGGGGAGACCTGGTTCATACTGGCTCCACCCACCCCTCACTTTTCCCACCCACCCTTTTTTTAGGAAGAAGACTAAAGTGACTGGCCTCCAGACAACTTGACATGGGAGGTTAGGAATAGCAGAGAGAAAGAAAATGTGACACACTACTGCTCCATGCTATTTCAGCACTGGTGGCCATAGAAAAAATGAGAATATTTTGCACACAACACCACCAAGAATGCTTTAAGCAGCTCACTCAGGGTTACTTGGTACTGTGGAGAGCTCTATAGTCTATGTTGCTGTTTATGTAAGCAGCCTCCAGAATCCACACTGGGGCTAACTGGGGCTTTATCCGTATTATAATTATTACGCTTGTAACAACTGCTATCTCCCTGAGCTTGGTGGCAGTCCTCTGCCACTGTGAAGCAGTTGGTTCACACTATATGTAAAGTAAGATGTAACAAGTAGGGTTGGTTTAGAGGTGCGCAGACCATGCTTATTTAAAGCATATTTTCAGAGTCTAGCTCTCAGCAAGCAAGCAAGCAGGCACATAGATAAAAACCAAGTTCTACATAATTACAGCAAAAGCCACCTGTTTAGCACTCACGACAATGCACTACTCCTTTCGATCCCCAGAGATTGCTACTGTTTTTAAAAGTCTTCCTTGAACAGAAGAACAGATAAACAAAGATGTGGCACTAAAAGGAAAAATGAAAGAAACTGCAGGAGCCAGTCTGCAACATGGGAGAAGGGCCTAGCCAGACTATTCAACTTGATAGATGTTGTGCAAATTGTGAAGTCAGGTGGAAGCTGGGCTCACACCACAGGTGAAGAACTAGCTGTAACCACTCTCTTTAAATATTATGGTTTTCTTCCACCTCTTCCCCACCCAGGTTTCTGCACGCGCGAGGTGCGGTGAGCGCTTCTGCGCAAGCACAAGACACGCTACCGGAGACTGATGTAACGAGGTACAACTGTACAACCGAGGAGAGAAAATAAGACCTCTTGTTTTGTATAAACTCAGCCTCAGAAATAATCTCAATAGCAGCAGTATTGCTTCAACTTACCTCTTCTGGCTATCTCTTTTGCAGCCGCCTTGCCAATGCCACTATTTCCTCCAGTGACCATGAAATGCCTTCCAGTTACATCTACTTCCAAGTCTTCTGGAACAAAGTGTTTGCTTGCTGATTCATAGCCACTCCTGCAGAAGTCAGTGAAAACTTAGGTTCGGGAAGAATACTAGCTACATATTAAACAGGGGGGGAAAACATTTTATTGAAAAGTTTTTGAATGTTTTATACATTTATATTATTACTCAATTCCTCCCTCTAAAGTGTATTTTTGTTGTAAACTATATAAAAAAAGATTGAATATATAATGCAAGCATTATTAGCAGCTGACTTTTCACAATGGTAGAGTAACTAGCAGAAAACAAAAGGTTTGGAATTTTAGCTTTACCAATACAGGTAACTTTTATTTCTAACAACATACGTTCAAGTACCGTATTGGCCCAAATATAAGCCACACCCAAATATAAGTCGCACCTAAAAATTGGAGGGGGGGGAGAAAAAATACCCGAATATAAGCCCTTCCCTTCCTTGCTGCTCCTGGCTGCATACTGGGCAGGGGGGGGGGGCCTTGGGGAGAGGGGGGGTGCCACACACGGGGCGGGTGCCCTGCGCTCCTGGCTGCATACTGTAAGGTTGTGAATATAAGCCGCACTTTAACTTTTCACGGTCAGAATTTGGAGAAAAAGTGAGGCTTATATTCAGGCCAACACGGTTAAACAAAAACAACTTTCCTCTACTGAAGCTTCCTGCATTCAGGCATACAGTCCTCATGCAAAAGTGGCCCTGCAAGTACCCATCCTGGTAGTAGACCCTGCCCTCAACCTCTGCCCAGAGCCTGTTGCTGCCTGATCCTGCACCATCCCCAAGGAGACTCACCTAGTAGCTAAAGAAGGTGCAAGGCGAAAACATTTCTCTTCAACCAGGCCTTTGGCTCATAAACATCCTATGGCCTTTTAATGTGTCTGTGAGAGGGAGATTTGTTTGTTTGCTTTGCTCTACTACTACTACTACTACTACAGTGGTGCCTCGCAAGACGAAATTAATTCGTTCCGCAAGTTTTTTCTTCTTGCGAGTTTTTCGTCTTGCGATGCACGGTTTCCCATAGGAATGCATTGAAAATCAATTAATGCGTTCCTAGGGAAACCGACTTCAGACCAGGTCCGGGGACAGTCTGTCCCCCGACCTCTTCTGAAGGCTGGGGGGGGGGGACAAGGGCTTTTCTTCCCACCCACCCCAGCATTTTAAAACCCCGGGACAGCGGAGGGCTTCTCCGCTGTCCGGGGCGATCTTAAAATGCTGGCGGGCGGCATTTTAAAATTGCCCCGGGACAGCGGAGGACTTCTCCGCTGTCCGGGGCAATTTAAAGCCTCTGGGAAGGCAGGCAGGGGGACAAAGACTTTGCCCCCGCCAGCCTTCAGAAGAGGTCCTGGACCTCTTCTGAAGGCTGGCGGGGGCGAAAGTCTTTGTCCCCCCACCTGCCTTCAAAAGCTGTCCAGCCAAGGCTTCGCGGACCTCTCCGCAAGCAGCGGCAGCACTGCCGCTGCTTGCGGAGAGTTGCCGGCATGCCGAAGCCTGCGCGCGCTGAGATCAGCGCGCCCAGGCTCGCGGACCTCTCCGCGAGCAGCGGCAGCGCTGCCGCTGCTTGCGGAGAGTTGCCGGCATGCCGAGCCTGCGCGCGCTGAGATCAGCGCGCCCAGGCTTCGCGGACCTCTCCGCGAGCAGCGGCAGCGCTGCCGCTGCTTGCGGAGAGTTGCCGGCATGCCGAGCCTGCGCGCGCTGAGATCAGCGCGCCCAGGCTTCGCGGACCTCTCCGCGAGCAGCGGCAGCGCTGCCGCTGCTTGCGGAGAGTTGCCGGCATGCCGAGCCTGCGCGCGCTGAGATCAGCGCGCCCAGGCTTCGCGGACCTCTCCTGCCTTCAAAGCCGTCCGGGATAGCGGGAAGCGCTTCCTGCTATCCCGGACTGCTTTTAAAATGCTGGCGGTGGGGAGCAAAGCCTTCGGCCCCCGCCAGCCTTCCTGGACCTCTTCTGAAGGCCGGAGGGGGGAAGGCTTTGCTCCCCACCGCTAGCATTTAAAAGAGGTCCTCGGAGATTTCCTATGGGCTTCGCCTTGCGAAGCAAGCCCATAGGGAAATTGCTTGTGAAGCGCCTCCAAAACGGAAAACCCTTTCGTCTAGCGGGTTTTCCGTCTTGCGAGGCGTTCGTCTTGCGGGGCACCACTGTACTATTAAATTGATATACCGCCGTTTATCAAACAATCCCAGGGCGGTATGCAATATTAAAAACACATTACATAACATCAATGATAAAAACATAGTAACATCATAAAAAGCATGCCACAGCCTAATACAGTGGTACCTCTAGATACGAACAGGATCCGTTCCGGAGCCCCGTTCGCATCTAGAGGTAAACGTAACTAGCGCCGAGGAGCATAACTCGAACACGCTCAACTTGAAGCGTATTTAACCCGAGGTATGACTGTAATAAAGTAAGTCATAATAACAATTCTCTCCCCCACTTTCACAGATTACTGAATAGGCCTGCTTGGCGCCTAAGGACATGTGATGATGGTGATCTCTGGGGAGAGCATTCCACAATCAGAGAAAACTATGTATTTTTGTGTTTTCATTTTGTATTTTTATGTTGTGAACCGTCCTGTGATCTCAGGGCGAGATTTTAACCGGGCAAGACTTGCTTCCTGGATGGCACCACGGCTTCCAACTGAATGCAAAAAAAAAAAAGTTATACAACGCTGCAAAACTGGGGGGGGTGTTAAGAAACCACGGCTGGGGCCAGCCTTAGGACTTGCCTAGACCCGAAACCCGAAACCTCGGAACTAAAGGGACAACTTTTAGTTAGGCCTATCATTAATAATAATTTATTAATAATAATAATTGCAAAGGTGCGCCTCGTTCGCCTTGAACGCCTTTTAATGCACACACACACACACACCCCTCTCTCTGCCTCCCTCCGCCAGCACCTCGCGGCGAACTGCCTCCTCGAACCCCGGCGAACCCAACGGGGTTCGCGCGAACTTGGCGCCCAAGTCACGCAAAAGGGGCTTTGGCGCCGCGCGTGGAAACGCCCCTCCCGTTACATAAAAGTCCCTCTAGCGTGGGGCGGAGGAGGGGGAATGGGCTCGAATCCCCCGTACTTGGGGGGCTCCGTTTTCCCTCCATAAGGGCAACGCCGTGGGGCAACGGCCATGGCAGCCCCCCCCCCCGCCTCTCTTTGCCCTTTTGGCCGCCTCACCCCGCCCGCTCCCTTACCGGCAGTAATGGCGCAGCCCCTTCAAGAACCACACCGTGTTCCTGTACAGGGACATGGCGAGGGCCGCTCCCTCTCCGTCGCCCGGCTCCTCCGCTGGCGAAGAGGCGGCGCTCGGCGACGGAGCTGGGCTTGGGCAGGGCCGCCGGCCTAGGGCGGGTGTGTGAGAGGAATCCTTGTGTAACTCCCATCACACACACACACACAAAATGGCCGCGGTTGTGGTGGGAATTGTAGTTGCGCAACACCTGGAGTTTCCCCTCACTTCAAGCCACGCTCCCCTTGTCCTTGATTTTGGACTCCTCAGGCAAAAGGCCTTGTTGTGGAAGCAAAACACGAACTTCAGTAATTTCACTGGGTTTCTGGCCGACGGCATAACACAAAAGTAACACACGCAACACACCTGGGAGGAAGGTTAAGTCCCATCGAAGCAACCAGTTTTTACTTCTGAGTAGGCCCGTTATATTGCACTGTCAGAGGTAGAATTTAAGAAGTTAAGAGAAAATAATAATAATAATAATAATAATAATAATAATAATAATAATAAATTTTATTTATACCCCACCCTCCCCAGCCAAGACCGGGCTCAGGGCGGCTAGCAACCAATAATCAAAACAAGTTGATTGAAATACAATTTAAAAGATTAAGATGCAACATTAAAACATTAGGGTGCAATCTCTTCATAGGAGGAGAAAGGAAAAGGCACATAAATCACTGTAATGAATGACATCCTTTCCACAGTTATAAATGTCTTTCTATCTACGGGCTGCAACACAGAAGACCATTTGCTTGTGGAAGTTTAAAGACTATTAACATGCAACTCCCTCAACCCCTTCTGTTGCTTCGACAGGTCCAGAAAAATGCCATCTCTTAAATTCTAGGTCCAGCAGTGCATCCCTGTGAGACACAGAACTTAATCGGCAATCCTACATATTTAACCGTTTAATCCAACGAGGCTTTATTCTGAGTAGGCAAATATGTGTAGGGATTGCGTTTTGCCAGAATAGATTTCATGGGTTGTGCTCCCAAGTGTGGTTAGCACTGCATTAAGTCTATATAAACTAACAAGTTTATGTGGACACAACTACATATTTGGACAGTAGTGGGTTTTATGCCACAGTGACTACACCGCTGCACATGTCTGCTCAGAAGTAAGCCCCAGTGAATTTCATGGGGGAAACAGTATTCCTCACTTCCTTCCCTGCTCCTCCTCAACTTCTGCATCTTCTTTTCAAGAATGTGGAATAAGGCAGAAGAGTATTAAGTGGACTAAGACCTGGGAGACGATGGATCAAATCCATACTTGCCCATGGAGTTCACAGGGTGACCTTGGACCAGGGCAATTCATGATTTCTCAGCTAACTTACCTCACAGGGTTGTCATGGGGAAAGAGAAACACGAGTTTCATCTTGGAAAGATGGAGTATAAATGTAATAAATAATAATAATAATAATAATATATCCAGCCTGCTGCCCCTATTTTGAATTGGAAGCCTGTGAGCGTGTGTGTGTGTAGAGGAGACTGAGTTTGGAGTTGAAGAAAGAAAATGAGAAGAGAGAAGGGGGTTGGGGAGAAATAAAATATGACTCACATTTGTTTTGCAAAATAATAAAAATCAGAGTGGGAAATAAAAGTTGCCTAGTGGATAAAAGAAGGGAAGGCGAACTTACTTAGCCCACTGAATGCAGTTCAGCCATAACAGGTGAGAGATTACAAGCCAAGACAGGCGGAAAACCCTATTCCTGTGACTGCAATTTGTTTTAGCTGGTCTTAATGTTGATTTATTTTTGTTAGATAGTTGTGATCCACCCTAGAACCGTAGTCCTTTTGTAGCAGGCAGATAAGCAGAACAGATAACTAGGTGGAGGAGCAACTGTTGAGGAAAAGGCACATAATACAGAAAAAAGCTGAGCATGAATTAAAAGCCCTGTACATGAATTTAGCAGAGCCAGAAAGAAGTGTCTGGAATCCTCCCAAGAATGTTAGGTTGCAGAATTGTTATGTACTGAGTTGAATAGGATCCAAACTGCAGCAGTCTGATTGGTCCTAGAACAATAGGATCCAAAAGGCAGCAGTCTGATTGGTCCTAGAACAATAGGATTCAGAATGCAGCAGTCTGATTGGTCCTAGAACAATGCAGCAGTATGATTGGTTGGCAGGAACCACCCAATCCTGCTCCAGATAGAAGTGAATCCACAACCTGATTGGCTTACAGTAGAATTCCAGAATTAGCCAATCATGTGCAGCCCATTGTGTAAATAATGTATATAAGCAGATACTGTGAGGGGACATTCATTCATTCCTCCTCACCACTATGAGCTGAATAAAGAGCATGAAATCACTTTGCGACTCTGAGTATATTTCAAGAATCCATTGTGATCCAGGCGTTGTCACGGTGACACCTCCTCCAACTGCCTCTTGTGTCAGTTGGTCCTTGCCCTAGTGAGAGGCTCTTGTTTCTCTCTGTCTTTCTCTCAAACCAAGTGGAGGAAAAATGTACCGTAAGTAGGATCTCTTCACAGCTTCTGCACTCTTGTGCTTATAATGATCCGTTGAAATCTTAGGCCTTTGCTCCCCAAACAAGGCTGTTATATATATATTTAAAAATCAAGAATAAGTTACATGCTTCAGCCAGTCCATCTGGACATCTTCATGACTCCACCCCCTGATTTATAATAGAGAAGCGACTGGATTCTGCTTAAGCTTTAGGGAAAGGAAAACAGATAAGATAGAACAGCTTGCAAATGGGCTTTTGGGCTAGTGGCATAAGAGTCACTTGATAACTCTCCATAGGCCTCTGGAGAGGATAATATATCACATTATCCTCTTGTCGTGCGACCATTATTATGAAACTGTGAAGAGTGGGCAGTAGCTGAAGAGGTAACCATGTTGGAAGGGACAGTCTAGTCATACTCTCTGTTCATTGCAGGATCTGTAATGCAGGATGCATCTCTGGGATCCATGACAGAGCCACCTACTACCCTCCGATTAAATACCTGCTGCAAAGGAGAACTCACCGCCTCCCAAGGGATGCTCTTCCACTATGAAACTCTTAGGAGGTTTGGCCAATAGCCAACCAAGCAACAGTTGGTTTAAGTCCCACCTTCTGGAATAACAGACCTTCAGGTATTTGATTACTCCCCTTAAAACACCCCTTCTCCAAGCAAACTCACATCTTTCAATGAGATGATGAGAGATGTCTGTTAATATCCAGAGGGTGCCACCCTGGCTGCAATATCCAGGCACTCTCTTCACAAGATACACATTATGTTGTACCCAGAATGGTGAATTCATCTTGAGCTTTGAGCAGTGAATGGCCCCAGACCAATCTAAGTGAGGTAGATCAGGAGAGAACTACCTGTGAGCCCCATTTCTCATATTTTTTTCTTTCTTTTCTAGGCTTTTGAGACTTAGGAAGGTTTTGTCCCGCTTAGGGAGAAGGAACAAGTTCTCACCTCTCCCAGAGACCTCCCCCTCTACCTCTGGGGGATTCAAAATATCTTTGCCCACTAAGTACAGAACTCTTAATCATGCATATTTTTCCCATTCTTTTCTAGGCTTGCAAGACTTAAGAAGGTTTTGTCCCGCTTAGGGAGAAGGAACAAGTTCTCACCTCTCCCAGAGACCTCCCCCTCCGCCTCTGGGGGATTCAAAATATCTTTGCCCACTAAGTACAGAACTCTTCAGCATGCAGATATTGCTTCCATAGTCATACTAGTCCTTAGGGTACTTGGGAAAGGTATCTCTGCAACTGTCTGAGGCCTATTTTGAGCTTCAAGCAATATAAATATATCTTTGGCAACCATGGATGCATGGGGGACCTTTTCCTTCTGAACCCCCCACTCCAGCCGTATTTCTACCAGCAGACAGGTTGCTGTCAGTGTCAGTAAAAGAGGGCAAGCCCAGAAACTTCTTGTTGGGCAGAGAAAACAGGAAAAAAAAACATTTACCACGCTGAGCTCATTGCAGAAGGGTAGGATAGAAAGAACAACGATGCACATAACATCTTTCTTCAAACCATTTCCGAAGTGGTACGAAGCAGTTAGCCTTCTCTTCTCTTCCATTTAAATGACATTGATTGAAGATCTTGAGGTCAAGGAGTAACCATGGAGGTCCTTCCTCAGCAGATGTCTACTATCTGCAACATCTCAGCCTCTTGCTTACCTGCCGCATGAGGTCTCTTTCCACATAATCAGAGGTGCCACTGTTAGCGACTTGCCCTGGTCAGCTGTTATCCGTTGCCTGTCTATCAATGCCGTCTGGTACCGGTGCAGTGACCAGGACAAGGTGCCAAGGTGCCCAGCTGCGAAGAATGGCAATCTCTAGAAATTTCCACACTTCCCGCAGCTCTTTCTGGAATTTTAATGTTCAAACTCTTTGCCAATGGCGAAAATGCCTATTTCCAATCTTCCTTTGAGACACCAAAAAGCCGAAGAAAGAAGGATCCATACACCCGGCATCTCTAGGGAAACAGATATACGGGACTACAGGTACAATTCAAATGGGACAAATGTATGGATATTCCGCAAAAGAGGAAGGGTATCTTTTTATATGCGATGGCGGCAGCAAGAGTTCTGATGGCAGCAAAATGGAAGAGTAATGAAATCCCCTCTATACAAGATTGGATCCAAAAGCTGACAGAATATGCCAAATTAGATGGTCTACCAGAAAAAATAAAGAATAAATCAAAACAGGAATTTGTTTCAAAATGGGAGGTTTTCAAAAAAATATCTGGAAAATAAATATAGTAGTTTAAATTCTGTTGCAGCATTCGAGGAACTTCAGTAATAGCTGCAAGGTAGATATAAGAAATTATATTAAGAAAAAGTTTAATTATGATAAAAGTGTGTATTGGCAATAAGTAATATGAAATCGAAATATGGAATAGACGGGAGGTTGGGTCTTTAGTGTTAAGACCAATATATGTTTTATTGTTTGCTAAGAAAATTATGTGTCTATGGTTATTCCTGTGTGTAATTTGGTATTTGTGTTTTTTTCTTTTTTTCTTGCTGTATCAATAAAAATCTTCAAACAAATAAAATAAAATGGGACAAATGTAGACATCAGTGTTTAATGGAGGAAACCGTCACTCATAAATTGATTATCTCCCCATCACATGAGCCTGTCCTCACTGGCGCTGCTGCTAAGATCACTCCAGTCTTGCAGAGTACTGTAAAATCAGGCTCAAGGGGGTGGGGGGGGGACGACATTTTTCTTGCTGCTTTTTAACAGATTGTGTTGTAGTTCTTAAGATTTGGAGATTCTTGGATTTTTTGGATCTTCACAAGAGGAATATTTTTGGCTTGCATTTTGGTTGTAAGGCTAAGATCTGTTTCTTCTGCTTTGTTGACACTTTTTTTTTTTTAAGCAGACAGTCAGGTGGTTCTAGTAGATGCAGCCTGGAGTTTTGGAAAAAGCAATCCTATTTTGTAGCATTGTGATACAGCTATCTAAAACTTTGATTTTAGCATTTTTGTATCAACTTCTTAGGGTTTTCATATTTTTAGTAGTATAAAAATATTGATAATAAAGTTGACTTGATATTAAAAATGGAAAGCCTGTCCAGGTGATATTTTGGCCCTAGTTTTATCCAAAGGGGGTGGGATGGAGAATAGGCCTCATGCTTACAGGGTCACTCCCTGGTGCTCAGGGATGGGATGTTAGAGGGAAACAGACACAAAGGACCTTTCTGGGATTTGCTTCCACCACTTGATGTTTTATCGTGTTCTGATGTTTTATCGTGTTTTCAATATTCTGTTGGGAGCCGCCCAGAGTGGCTAGGGAAACCCAGCCAGATGGGTGGGGTATAAATAAAATTATTATTATTATTATTATTATTATTAAGCTCCATGTTGCTTTAGTTGATGTGCATGCAACTGCCTCTAGCCATGCACTGAAGCAAGCAAATATAAATCTTTCATTGTTGGGACTTTGAAGCCCAATGCAAGGCTTGCAAAACACACTGCATGGTGAAAAACAGGGAAATGGCCACTTTTGGTAGGCCAAATTTGGTCTCTGAGCCAGAGCCACCCATAACATGTTCTATTTCTCCCTGCTGCACTGGTGGACCATTTAGCATAGCTTTCACCTGGTGTCCAGGCTACAGGATTTCCCTGTGAAAGTGCTTTTATTTTGCCATTTTTTCCATACCTGACTGCTAGAGCATCAAAATAAATAACCCCACTTTGGGGGGAAACAAGAGACTTAAAAATTATTTTCAAGGTATGTTTACGCTTGTTTATGCATATGCCACAAACTTTACAGTAGGAAACTTTTCAATATGAAAATAACACTTTATGAAAATTGGCAAGAATCACTTTATTATACAAAGCCATTGCTAGCATTCTGAAACACAAAGTAGTTCATATGTACGTATTGTAAATAAATTGCAATATAACTCATTACATTTAAAAACACACACACACAAATGTATAATCACAAAATTAAAGCAGGGATATGTCTCAGAAATACTGTATGGAATTTGAAATGAACTTAATCCATCTCTACTTCACAACATTTCCTTCCACGTGTTCTAGTGTTTCTCTATATATTTTGAAGAAGTAGAACTATAAATGGAATGGGAGGGCTTAAATTATTTTCTTCTTGTTTCAAAGTAAAAACGATTGTATTACACAAATGGGGAGGCATCTGGATAATGGACAACTTCTAAAAAGCATTTTTAAGACTATTCCTCAATTATCTATAATGGCCTCCCTGATTACAAATTGTTTAATTCTCTTCTTCTATTGCATTCTATTGTTCCTGGTATCAATATCTAGCGAAGGCAGAGGCTCAAGTGGCTGGCTGCCTCAGATGCAGCCTCCATATCCAGAACTTTTCTTTCCCCCCAACCATTTAAATAATTGTGGAGTGCACGCTAATGCATGTTCCACTCTCAAAAGGTCTTTTAATTAACACATGTAGCGCTATAACACATCTCTGCTTTTAAGCTTGGCGTTTGGTCTTTGTCAACACTGAGCGGGGGTCATGGTTACCACAATTATGGTGGTAAGAGTATCTGTATCATGTTCTACTTCATAGATTGTTGTGAAGGCAAAAAAAGATAAAGAGCTGTAAGTACAGTGGTACCTTGGGTTAAGAACTTAATTCGTTCTGGAGGTCCGTTCTTAATCTGAAACTGTTCTTAACCTGAAGCACCACTTTAGCTAATGGGGCCTCCCGCTGCCTCCACGCTGACAGAGCACGATTTCTGTTCTCATCCTGAAGCAAAGTTCTTAACCTGAGGTACTATTTCTGGGTTAGCGGAGTCTGTAATCTGAAGCGTCTGTAACCCGAGGTACCACTGTATTTAGGTTTTTAAAACTCCTGTCTATTATTTGTAATTTTTTTTTAAAAAAATCCTGTACAGATGACTGCTTAGTGAAGTTACATGGAGGAAAAGTAACAAATAGAACACATTTCATACCATTTTCGGGTACCATAGATTTGGATGCAGCAGGTTCTGGAACAAAGCAATCTCAAAGCTGCTGCCTTATTGCCACATTACAGCTGTCATGAAGAAGTAGCTGTTTCATCACATCAATCCACAAAGAAGATATACACAACATGCATCAATCTAGGAAACAAGCTGAAATTCTGAAAGTACAAACAATGCAATATCAAAGCAAATGTAATATGTACATGTAATATGTAAATTCATGCCTCTTGCAGTGGTTTAGAGATGAAACAAGGGACCTTTGAGTAGGTGATCAAAAATTGTTCATTACTGTAGTCTTTCAAAAAAAAAAAACTTTTTGTACAAACCAAAGAAAACATAAGCTGCCATTTTCTTTGAAAGAAAAGAACTGGGATTCAATCGCATAGCCAAAATGCAGGTTTGTGCAGTGTTCTGCTGCTACAAACCCACTTGAAAAAAAGAAAATGATGTGGAAATGCTCTAAAAAGTGTGATATAGATCTACCCACACTGGAGGAATGGCAGATGAAAATGATGGACTACATGGAATTGGCGGAAATGACTGGCAGAATCCGAGACCAGGGAGAAGAGTTGGTGGAAGAAGATTGGAAGAAATTTAAAGACTACTTACAGAAATATTGTAAAATTAATGAATGTTAGAATGATGTTGGATTGAAGTTAAGTGGTTTCTAGCTGTAATGGTATAAAAGAATATGGAAAAATTGGTTTTCAATACGTAAAAACCTAATGCTATAATATATTAAGATTAAAGATCAGGATTAAAAAGGAGGGAAAGGAATTGCTGGACTAAATAAATTGAATTGGAATACAAAAAAAGGAGGTATGAGGAGGTCCGGGAAACAAGTAAATGTAAGAGAAGTGATGAAAAGATGGAATTGTTTTTAACTTTTTTTTTTTGTACTTTGTATTTTTCTTTTTTCTACTGTTATTTTTCTTATCAATGTAATCTTTTTTTTTGAAATTTTAATAAATATCATTTAAAAATAAAAATAAAAAGCGTGATATAAATCATTAATGGAAAGCTGTATAAGCTCTGTGCAAGCAAATGCTCATTGTCGTATATCCTCTCCACAAACAAATAGGAACAAACACTCAATAAAGACCAAACATCATCTAACGTCTGTGCAAGCAAATCAACATGAATACTCAATAGGCAGACAAGCTGGAGCAGCTTTCAGACTTCCCGTCCCAATTTAACTACATCATACCTGCATTTTCTATGGGGGCGGGGGAGAATAGTAATTTACTTGTGTGCCCAACGCTAGCCTCATTCTCACCTCCGCCCCACGTTCCATCATTTCTACCACTGAAATCAGTAAATACGTTTGAGAAAGCATTAAAAAAAAAGGCGTGGTGTGGCAGTGCAAGCGTCTCACTTCCAGGGCATGCACTGGGAAGTTGATGCTTTCCTTGGCATGCGCCAGAGCAAAAAAGACCCTTTTTACTACCTTTCAAATAGACAGACTTTGTCTACCGTCCACATTTATTTCCACAGGAGAGAAAAAAGTAACCATGTAAAACAGACCTCCATGGAGTTTGCTAGTCATATGCACTATGTGTTCAGGGAGGGTGAGCATGACCAACAAATACCAGAATTGCCTCTTTCTCTTCCCTGTTGCTTCTCTAATAGTCCCATGGCTCATCTTCTATGGCTTTCCACCCCCTTTTCAGTCCTCCTCTGTAGCATATCGTTGCCTGGAGCAGCAATAAACACAGCAGCTGCAGAAGATCAGCAAAGCCAGAACGGTGTGGCTCACGACAAGCACCCCAACTGCAAAAACGTACAGGATTTTATCACAGTAATCTTGAGGGTGATGGAAAGGCGGGATGAAATTAGGCAGGTAGACGGAAAACACCCAGTAGTTCCCCAGGATGAACCAGAGGAAGAGGAAGAGGCTGAGGGTGAGGTGTATGTAATATTTGTGAGCATTCTGTCTCCAGGGATACTCGTCGTCGTCGTCATCGTCAATCATAACCGATTTGGTAAGCAGCTGCCTCATCCGGGTGGAGTCAAAGAGCAGAAGACCAACCTAGACATTGCACAAAGGTTAAAAAAAATCCCGGAGGGATCATTATATTCCAGATTTGGCTCCTCGGTATCAAACATTTGTTTTCATTTAACAATATTTATATGCTGCTGCTGCTTCGTAGCAACATCTCTAAGTGGTTTACAATAAATGTTAGGCAAAATTGCATACAAAGTAGTGCAAAGAAATTTGCATCAAAATGCTGATGGATTTTCATGTGGGCTTTTTTAAAAAAAATCACAGACTGATGTGGAAATGTGAGAAAAGAGTGAGAAAAAATGAGAAACCGAGAGGTGACTGAGATTAAAAGATTCACACACAAAACTAGTTGTACTGAATAAAATAGTTTAAATAGAAACATTTTTAAAAGGCTACACAATGTGTGATCCTTTCTCAATCCAGAAGTCTCCTCCTGAGTCAGATCCTTATTTCCTTGAAGTTAATTCACTAAGATAAAACCATGGTGGTTGGGGTTTTTTTGTATCTTCTATGAATGAAGATAATTCCATACAAACTTCATCACAAATCTCCTCAGAGGAAAATATTGTTCAGTGAACAGCAATACCTTCAAACTGCCAACCACACCACCCACAAGTAGATATAAGGGGATTAGCGGCTGGACTGGACAGTCGTCTAAAAACTTCATTCCTGAGGAACAACAAACAAAGTAAATTATTTCGATCAAGTCTCACGTGCAGAAGCAAAAGGGCAGGTGCACTGATTCACAACTGCAGTGGTGCTACAGCCCTAACACATTTTGCACAACATGTAAAATAACAGGAGAGTTCCAGAGGGTGGCAACATGAGAACGGGCCTTTTCTGCTGTGGCTCCCCGTTTGTGGAATGTTCTTCCCCTGGTGCATTCGCTACATATCTTTAAGCTTCAGGCAAAAACTTCCCTCTATAACCAGGCCTATGGCCTTTGGATATCTGTGGCCTTTTAGAAGTGGGTGGGATGTTTACAATGTATTTCTCTTTACTCTAGGTTGTAATCTAAAGGTAAAGGGACCCCTGACCGTTAGGTCCAGTTGCGGATGACTCTGGGGTTGTGGCACTCATCCCGCTTTACTGGCCGAGGGAGCCGGCGTACAGCTTCCGGGTCATGTGGCCAGCATGACTAAGCCGCCTCTGGTGAACCAGAGCAGCGCACGGAAACACCGTTTATCTTCCTGCCAGAGCAGTACCTATTTTTCTACTTGCACTTTGACGTGCTTTCGAACTGCTAGGTTGGCAGGAGCAGGGACTGAGCAATGGGAGCTCACCCCGTCGTGGGGATTCGATCCGCCAATTCAAACCACCGACCTTCTGATCAGCAAGCCCTAGGCTCTGTGGTTTAGACCACAGCATCATCCGCGTCCCATAGGTTGTAATCTATCTGGAGTTTATTGTCTGGTTGGTTGGTTGGTTGGTTGGTTGGTTGGTTGTAAGTTGCTTTGGGCTGCCCTGGGCAAGATTAAGTAACTAAGAAACAATCATAATATCATTATCATAATATCATTATCATTCCTGCCAAAGTTAGGATTACCAGCATCCTTCCAGCAGATTCCTGCAATTTCAACAACTGTCTGACATGCAAGGAATTTAGGAGGTGATGGCTCTCCTGACGTAGGGAAACAAAAAAAACCTGCTAATTTCCTACATGAAGCTGCAATCCAATAGTGTTTTTGCACAAGCAAATCAGACTTCTCTTCATGCAACAGAACTCCCCCCCCCTCTCTACCCCACCCCAACCAGAACCAAAAACCTGCTATGGAAGGTGGGAACCAAAAACCTGCTTGCACATTGTTGGATTTTATCCATATCATTTAACTCATTATCTCCTGGTTGCTATAGTATTTTTATTTTGGCAGTGTACTTACCTGTAAAAGCCATAGACAGTGGTAATGCTAGGAAAGCAAGGAGTCCAAAAATGAAGCAAGCTGTAAGGAAATAAATGACAAGTTATAGACAGTGATAAAACATCCTCCAAATGCCCTCCATTTTTGTCACATACACAGGTAGACAGTAGGAATGAAGGAGCAATTAAATTCTCTTCTCATTTAATGGCAAACCTATCTAATTCATACTTTCCAAAACAATATAGGAACTGAAACACAGCCATTTTTCAAAATTGTCACCACTCTAAATGTTGCAATAGCAATGTGTAAAAAACACATATACTGGGTATATACGGTACATATACTGGGTAAAGGTAAAGGGACCCCTGACCCTTAGGTCCAGTTGTGGCCGACTCTGGGGTTGCGGCTCTCATCTCGCTTTATTGGCCGAGGAAGCCGGTGTACAGCTTCCGGGTCATGTGGCCAGCATGACTAAGCCGCTTCTGGCGAACCAGAGCAGCGCACGGAAACGCCGTTTACCTTCCCGTCGGAGCGGTACCTATTTATCTACTTGCACTTTGACGTGCTTTCGAACTGCTAGGTCGGCAGGTGATACTGGGGTAAAATGTGCCCAAAAATGCATATATTAGGGAAAATTACATACAAAAATACATTACATTTGGGGGAATTGTTTTCCAAAAATGTGTTTATTTGGGGAAATTGCATACAAAGAAATGCATATTAGAAATTTGCACTAAGATGCTGAGAGTTTCATATGGATTGTTTTTAATGCAAATTACTGCAACCGTGTGGAGAACTGAATTTAAAATTGGAACAATGGGAAACTTTGAGAAGCGAAATGGATGGATTCATCCATTGCTATCAGACAGTGATGCAAACTGAGTTGGGACAGGTATTGCTTAGTTGCAGCCTCCCTGCTTGACCTGCAATCAGCATCCTTTGTTGAATCCCTGTAGTGCTCTTGCCACTATCTCCCTTTCTCAGGAAACCTACCATTGCTGGCAATTTTGGAGATGCATCGATGGCATGCTTTCTCGAAGCCTGCAACCATTGCGAATGACAGTCTTCTGCAGACCTTGGGGAAACAAGAAACCATGTGTTTGATTTTAACTTAAAACACACCCACAAATTGCAAAAATCAACTAAGAAGAGTCTCACTATAAAGGCCACTTTTTTGTTTTCTTTCCTTGGTTAGGGCTTCCATGAGCCTTTGGGAGAAGGCTTCATCCTTTCGCGAGTCAGAGACATTCAGCCACCCAGGGGCCAGAAGCTCATTGCAAAACAAAACAAAACTGAGCTCAAGAGGAAGTCTAAGGCAGGGGGCTTAGGGCATGAGTTTTGATGCTTTTGATGCTATTTAATGCATTGTGTTTGAAACCTCAGGCAACTGACATCAGAAAACTCATGCAAAACTGAAGCAGAAAACACCAAAACAGTTGCTAAACTTACACTGTTGCGTTGTCCAAATGCTTAGAAAAAGAGCAGGAGGCAGAATCACGCCACTGTCTAGACATTTCCACTTTTAAGGCAAAACTGTTCTGAAATTTGTGTATTTCATGATGACATAGACAAGTCAGGAATGCGTAAAAAATAATATTCTTGCTTTACAGCTAAACTCCAGCCTAGGGAGACTGGCATATAGATAAACGTGCTCCAGTCACTTTTTACAAAATAAAAAGGCCAGTTTTCCATGTTTAAAAGTTAAGTCTGGCTTTCCCACCCACTGCCAGCATTGAGATCATCTTACAAACTCCCACAGATGTCACAGGAAGGCCCAGAGAATTAACTGGCATTTGTAGGTGAAATAAGATACTTCCTTCCCTTCAGTCAATTCACATTCTTCCCCAATAAGTTTTGGAACAGATGTAACACCTTAACAGCACCTCAAATGCAAAAGGGGAGAAAATCTAGAGAGATATTCTAAAATGCACACTATTTATAGATCTGTCACACAAGGCAACAAACATCCATTAGCTTGTTCCAAGCTGATGGAGGAGTGTGTACTTGTTTCAACAGCTGGATCCTTCATGGAATACAGGAAGCTGCCTTATACAATATCAGGCTATTTGTCCCCCTAGTCCGCCATGATTTACTTTTGACGCTACAGCAGGGCTGGTCCTAACATTTGGCAGTGTGAGGCAGCCACCTCAGGCAGCAGATATGGGGAGCCAGGGAGAAGGGGTGACAAAGCAAGAACATCGGAAGAGTCCTGCTGTACCTAGTCCATCATCCTGTTCCCCAGGTTGCTGCTGGTCAGATGCCTACGGGAACGAGCTGCAGCAGGGAGAATACTCTGCAGGTTGGGCATCAGAACCTGGCTGAGGAGTGGGCCTTGTGGGTGGCCTGTGATGCTGACCACTCTTCAAAGAAGCTCAGGCCATTGCAGCTGTTCCACAATTTTAAACAGCATGAACTGGTGTGTGTGTGTGTGTGTGTGTGTGTGTGTGTGTGTAAGGGGGCAATATTTACCTTCCTAGCTGAAAGGATAGTTAGATTATTCATTCTGGCAAATAAATACTCTCAACAAGTATACATTCTTTTTATTGTTTACTTACTTATTTTGAAGTTTTGCACCCGTCTTTCTCAATCATCTCGGCTTAAAGCAACGATAACATACATACACACATGATGCACACACACCAAAGCATCTGGAGTATGCCAGGTTTGGGATGGTTGATTACAGAAGTGTAGAGATGGCAGGGACCATGAAGGCTGTGTAGTCCAACTCCCTGAATTTTTGCCCGTTGTGGGGCTCAAACCCACAACCCTGAGGTTAAGAGTCTCATGCTCCTATCAACTGAGCTATCCCAGCAGCCCCTCACCCTCTGCAGGATGGGGCCAGATTAAAGTTCCCCTCCTTCTAAACAAGCAACATGACCTGGAGTAGAGTCTTTTCTGGTCCATCTCTGGCTGATGTGTTGGGCTAGGCTGATGTTCCCCTTCCTATGCTGCTCTTCTTGGGAGCCACAGGAAGCAACGTCCCAGTGATCCTTTTCCTCTTAGCAGGTGGTGAGGCCCAGGGTGCACCCACTTTAGCTCTGCAGTCCATAAAATCAGTCAAAAACCAGGGGTACTCTATATGATGTTATCCAGATGTCCTTGGACTCCAACTTCCATCAGCTCCAGCCAGCATGGCCAAAGGTGAGGGATGATGGGAGCTGGAGTCCAGTGACACCATGCTGGCCACCTTTGATGAAGCTGAACAATAATACAGTGGTACCTTGGTTCTCGAATGGCTTGGCTTCCGAACAAAAAGTGTTCTAGTTTGCAAACGTTTTTTGGAAGCCAAACATCCAACACAGCTTCCACGTGACTGCAGGAAGCTCCTGCAGCTAATCAGAAGCTGCGCCTTGGTTTTCGAACGGTTTCAGGAGTCGAACGGACTCCCAGAACGGATTAAGTTCAAGAACCAAAGTACCACTGTACAGCACAAAGCAAGGAATCACCTTACAGAATGAGCCACCAAAGCTAGATCAGCCCAGTGCCTGCTGAGAAAGGAAGTTTTGCAACCTTTCCAGGAACAGATAAAAATGTAGGCTCTGCTTTTAGCTGTTACAGTCCTTAGTTGCTGTTAGCATGACATAATGAACAATGCCAGCTGAACTGATTTCACCAGGGGAAAGTAAACCCTGTTGGGCTTGTGAAGATGGTGCAACTGGCCCAACTTGCAAGGGGCAAAATCAGTGATCGGAGACCATTTTAAAAGCCTTGCTGGCAGAAAACGAGCAATTCCATCCCACCTGATGAAGAGCAACTCAAAAGCTTGCATATCTTTTACACCAACAAAATCTGATCCTCAAGATATCCAGGATTATTCATCAACCTATTCATCCCCTTTTTCATCATTCAAGACTGACAACAGCAGCCACACACTCACTTTTCCCCTCCAACAGCTAATGCCACACTGTTCCTAAAGTTGCTGGCAACCCCACCTATTACGGTTAGGTGCAATTGCTTCCCGGCGCCATTCCCTACTCACCTCACTATTCCAAGCAGAGATCTGGGAAGAAAAAAACTGGAGCCAATATTCCTCAAGTAAAAGTGTGGTGTTAAGTGACACACTGGATAAAGCTTCTCTTTGCATCCAGGTCTTTGAAGCAGCTGAGGCGTTTAATTCCTACGTTCTGAAGCCCCTTTGGGGGTCACTGGCTGTTTGTGAGCTTCTGCTTCTCTGCATCTCTGCTCCTGCTGTTGTGATGAAAGCTCTTATCTTTTATTCCCTGCACTCCCACGTTCGGTTCCCTCCACAGCCAAGCAACTGCATGCATTCAACTTGCCACCAGAGGACAGTAAAGGAGTCCTGGAACTTTTATGAAAGCAGGTAGTCATAAAGCAGGTATGTCCTCTGGGTTGCTTCACTGCAATTTTCAGAGTGGTTTAACAGCCAGCCTCTCTTCCCACCCTGGGATTTTAAGGTGGGTCTAAGGAGGTCTACAAGACGCCTGCTTCTTAGGAGAAAAGCAATGACAAACCTAGACAGCATCTTAAAAAGCAGAGACATCACCTTGCCAACAAAGGTCCGTATAGTCCGTATAGTTTTCCCAGTAGTGATGTATGGAAGTGAGAGTTGGACCATAAAGAAGGCTGATTGCCAAAGAATTGATGCTTTTGAATTATGGTGCTGGAGGAGACTCTTGAGAGTCCCATGGACTGCAAGAAGATCAAACCTCTCCATTCTTAAGGAAATCAGCCCTGAGTGGTCACTGGAAGGACAGATCCTGAAGCTGAGGCTCAAATACTTTGGCCACCTCATGAGAAGAGAAGACTCCCAGGAAAAGACCCCGATGTTGGGAAAGATGGAGGGCACAAGGAGAAGGGGACGACAGAGGAGGAGATGGTTGGACAGTGTTCTTGAAGCTACCAGCATGAGTTTGACCAAACTGCGGGAGGCAGTGGAAGACAGGAGTGCCTGGCATGCTCTGGTCCATGGAGTCACGAAGAGTCGGACACGACTAAACAACTAAACAACAACAAGGAGGTCGGGATCTTTTAGACTAAGGCTGCGTACACAAGATACCTTTAAAGCACATCCCCCCCCCTCAAATAAGCCTGAACACTCTAGTTTACCTGTCACAGAGTTAAGCAAGCCTTAAACAAACGACAATAGCACAAAATTGTTTGAGGGGGGGAAATGTGCTTTGAATGTACTTTAAAGGTATGGTAGTGTTCACAGGGTAAATCTAGACCCTTGTGTTAAACTACCAGATCACTGGAGCAAGGGGGTTTCACCACACAGGAGAAACCTGTGGTTCTCTCATCTATAGCATGATCATTGCCATGTATGATCTGAAGCTATTTCTTCATGATACATCTAGGCTTCAAATGGCACGCACGCTCTTCCATGTGGCACATTGGGGTTGGAATGACTGGATTGTTGAGCCAATGGTCAAGCATTTGGGCAGGGGCTAGGCTTTGAACTCCCGATTTTCCCATTCTACCCTCCTGCGACACCCTCCGCCCAGATGGGAGAAGCGTGAACAAGTACCCAACCTTGATGACTAATGCCAATAATGTAAATGTCAATGCTCAAAAAGAGGAGTTAAAGGTCTGATTTCCCCCTTATTACTCAAATCAACATGCCAAATTAATAGCAATTTAGACACACCATGTCTTACAAAGAACCATGAATACATGGAATGGTTTTAAGAAAGAAGAAATGAATACATTTTCATATAAAAGCCTAGGCCAGAGCAGCAATCATTGTCATTATGAGGACTGTTCCTGCACATTCAAAGCTTGCTCCAATTATAGTTTCAGCTTTCGCAGAATTCTCCTGCAAAAGCATAACATTGTCTGGTGAATTTTATGGAAGGTAACTTCTGAATTACACAAACACACACAATAGTACTGGCAACTTCAGAGACTACCATTGTTTGGGACAAGAAGGTGGTGTTGAGATGAGTCCAATACCATATTTGTTCTGGTTGCTCTGGTCATGGTGCTGTTCAGGTTCTTCAGATCATTTGTGTACTCACATCATAAATACCAATATTCTGACTGTCTATGAATCATGCTAATAGGGCATGATAACAGGGCAAGCTAGCCATTTTTGCCTTCCCATAGCCCACTCCCTTGAGTAAGGATAGGGCCTTCTCACTGGTCAGCCCAGCAGTTGTGGAACACCCTTCCTTAGGAATTACAAAAGGCCTCTTCAGAAGTACACCCTTCAAGCGTGTCTTGCAGACCCCCCAAGTATCCCTATTCTGCAGGGACAGCCCCCAATTTACAGAAGCCACCCCAGTTCCCGATTTGATCCCAGAATGTCCCATTTTTCCTTAGGACACCCCTATTTTCATCAGAGAGATGTTGGAGGGTATGGAGTTATGCAACTCCAGAGCCAAGTAACTATAAAACCTTTAGAAGACATCTGGATGTCAGCATCGCCCTAGAGCCAGTGCCACCAACTGGACTCATCCACGTCAGCCCCGACTGGGCTAGGCGAGCTGGGTAGCACTTCCAGAGACCACCTTCTGCACAGGAACAGGTCAAAGTGCTGTGGACTCACAGCTTAGAGTTGTGAGCACCGGATTCACTTCCACAAGAAGACAGTCGTCGCACAGCAGAGTACAGCAGAGTATATAAACAACTCGGAGAGCAGCTCTGTAGAATATCTTCTTTTATTCTATCTACAACTATACAAACTATATACAGAGCTTAATAGGTCTAAGCATAAATGAATGCTACACTGCACTGAGTGTCTGCAGCTGCTCTTAGCAGCAACCTTATCTCTACACACGATCTCTAACACTCAGTCTCTCTCTCTCTCTCTCTCTCTCCCCGACACTGACTGACTGACTGATTTGGTGCTGGAGCAGAATAAGTAGAGAGCAGAACACGCCTCCTCCTCTCTGGAGAATCAGCAGACTCCTCAGGAGGTTCTTGGATATGGGAGGGGTGAAATCTCCTCACTGAAGGCAGCCTTGTATAGGGAAGGGCTTTTTTATGTTTAATGTTTTTGTATATATTGGAATCTGCCCAGAATGGCTGGGTCAACCCAGTTAGATGGGTGGGCTAACAACAACAAGAGTTGCATAGGATGTCCCTATTTTCATTGGAGAAATGTTGGGAGGGTATGCAAATATTTTAAATAAAGACACAACCCTGGAGAAATCTGTTTGTCAAATGCAGCACTGTGCATCCTCTCCAACGCCAGTATCCTGCAGCCCGGACTGCAGCAGCTGATTGGTGCAGACTGATGACCTTTCAAGTTCCTTCCTGCTCTGATTTTATGACAGCCTTGAAGCAAAGGCCTAGGAACACTGTCAGTCTTGATGTCATGTAATTGCGCACTCAGTTGTGCGAGCCTTCTCCTTCCACCCCCATAATTTTACTACTCTACAAAAGACAGGTGGAGGAGGGAGCAGGTAGAGGTAGGCTGTTGGCATCCCCTCCCCCCAAACAAGATGTATCATTGTATAATCACTATAATTAAGTTGTCTCTGTTCTCTGTTATAACGGTATGACAGTAGGTATTTAATAAGCCAGTTTCCATCAAAAAGCCTCTCTCTCTTTTTTCAAAATCCCAGCTGCATTGCAGAGAGCTTTAAATAGCACACACTTATTCGGAAGGAACAATTTGTGCCAGGAACCAGAATCCCACCCCAAGCAAGAGGGATGCATAGGCTTCTACCATGGATGCTCCCAGGCCAGGTTGCATCTGCCCAAGCTTGTCAGGGTTGCATGCTGAGTTCACACCATGATCCCCATCAGTGTTTCAGCATTGCATGATCTGGTGTCCCCAGCCTCTTATTAAGCAACGCCACACCAATCAGTACTTGTGCACAACCATTTTTTTGCCATGGTCTATGCACTAGAG